TCCATAACTCTAACAGGTTCCATAACTCTAACAGGTTCCATAACTCTAACAGGTTCCATAACCCTCACAGGTTCCATAACTCTCACAGGTTCCATAACTCTCACAGGTTCCATAACTCTCACAGGTTCCATAACCCTCACAGGTTCCATAACTCTCACAGGTTCCATAACTCTCAAAGGTTCCATAACTCTCACAGGTTCCATAACTCTCACAGGTTCCATAACTCTCACAGGTTCCATAACTCTCACAGGTTCCATAACTCTCACAGGTTCCATAACTCTCACAGGTTCCATAACTCTCACAGGTTCCATAACTCTCACAAGTTCTATAACTCTAACAGACTTTATAACGCACAAGTTCTATAACTCTAACAGACTTTATAACGCACAAGTTCTATAACTCTAACAGACTTTATAACGCACAAGTTCTATAACTCTAACAGACTTTATAACGCACAAGTTCTATAACTCTAACAGACTTTATAACGCACAAGTTCTATAACTCTAACAGACTTTATAACGCACAAGTTCTATAACTCTATCAGACTTTATAACGCACAAGTTCTATAACTCTAACAGACTTTATAACGCACAAGTTCTATAACTCTAACAGACTTTATAACGCACAAGTTCTATAACTCTAACACACTCCATAACTCGCAAGTCCCATAACGCTAACACACTCCATAACTCCCAAGTTCTATAACTCCAATAGTTTCAATAACTAGTGGATGCCCAGCTTTATTTTTTACACCAAAAATCCTGCGCCAATAAACGAGTTAATTAGCAGAAATAATTAAAATCAGGTGTATGTAAATATGATGTAAATTTGAAAATGTGATTCCACGTCATAAAAACTGTTTACTCCCCTCTCACCCGGTAAAATTTACTAAAACTGTTTATCTTCTCGCAACTGCTTGTTTAGAATTGTCAAAAAAAAATTAACTGTAACAAACTATTAAAAATTGTGACGTCTCCTCGGCAATACTGAAACCGGTTCCACAAACCATGCCCGGTTTCTTCCATCTAGCCAGTCACGTGACTGACGAACCTAATGACCAGACGACCAGGTATTGCGCTGGAACAATGGCTGATTTATATTAACTCGGTTAAAGAAAGTTCTGGAAGAGTTATGCCACTTTCCTTTTAACTTTAGCGTGGAGAAAACATGAATGCATTTAAGAGAATTAATGAGAAACTCTGGCTAATGGGAGATCACTAGAGCTGGAACTCTCATCAAATATCAAAGGCAACAACTTGGATGGGCGACACGGAGGTGGGGGAGGTGTGTCCCACCAAAATAAAACAGTTGAAGCCTCGTGTTTCATGTAATGTTTTAGTTGTGTTTATTGAGTCGCCGCAGGTTTGATGTAATATTTTAGTTGTGTTTATTGAGTCACCGCAAGTTTGTTGTCATGTTTTAGAGTTACCTTTTCGGACAGGTGATGCCGAGATGAAGGGATAGTGTGGTCAGCTCTATACCCAGCCGCCTTTACTCATTGAAGTAAGTCTGGTACCCATCAGTGCTGTGTGGGCTTAAGAACGTCCTACATATTGAAGCTAAGGATCCGAACTTTAGACTTTCAGGACAGCTGTTGTAGGCTCTACCATTCGACCACGGCGTCCCATGCTGTGCTGCTTGTATTGTGTGGCTCAGAAGTTCAACAAACGGCGTACCTTTTCACTGATCACAAAAACCACTTTAGACCAACACAGATCCCACATCACAAATATGACATCACACATCACAAATACCATCAGAGCTCTGTTGTTTTATGTCTCAGTCAATACCACTTGATGTTGTGGCTGTTTGTTTACACTTTACTTATGTGTACACTTACATCGATAACTTAATGATGTGTACACTTACATCGATAACTTAACGATGTATGGACTGGCTAGGTAGTAACGACTTAATCCTACATAGGTCTAGTAAACATCTTGATCTCAACTGCCTAACGTCAGCATTACTTCTGTGTTTGATATGGATCACTAGCATCAACGACTTGAGTTGTCTGAAGTTTACAATAAATGGTTACAGTGTTTTACCACTTGATCAACATCTTCTGACTGTATCCTGCTGGTTTCTCGTGGGTTGGTGATTGGTAGTTACTGGGTTAGTTGCGGTAGTTACTGGGTTAGTTGTGGTAGTTACTGGGTTAGTTGTGGTAGTTACTGGGTTAGTTGTGGTAGTTACTGGGTTAGTTGTGGTAGTTACTGAGGTAGTTGTGGTAGTTACTGAGGTAGTTGTGGTAGTTACTGAGGTAGTTGTGGTAGTCACTGAGGTAGTTGTGGTAGTCACTGAGTTAGTTGTGGTAGTTACTGAGTTAGTTGTGGTAGTTACTGAGGTAGTTGTGGTAGTTACTGAGGTAGTTGTGGTAGTCACTGAGGTAGTTGTGGTAGTCACTGAGTTAGTTGTGGTAGTTACTGAGGTAGTTGTGGTAGTTACTGAGTTAGTTGTGGTAGTTACTGAGGTAGTTGTGGTAGTTACTGAGGTAGTTGTGGTAGTTACTGGGTTAGTTAATGTGGTAGTCACTGGGTTTGTTATGTGGTAGTGCTGGGTTAGTTAATGTGGTAGTTCTGAGCTAGTTTTGCTTCAGTTATTGGCAAGTTGTGTGGTAGTTATGTGATTGATGCGAAGAATAGCAGTAGCATTTCTAAAAGGTATTCTATGAAGGCAGGTAATTGATATGGACGTATCAGCATGGTGGGCTATACATGGGGGGGGGGGGGGGGATAATGTTCTAAACCCGAACAAGATTGGGCACCGGGCAGTCACAAGAAGGGGCGCCGAGAGGCCGCAAAAAGGGGCGCTAGCGAGATGTGTACAGGGCGTGGTACCAGGGAGTCACGTGACTGAAGTGCTGCTAAAATTAGCCCGGCACTTCCGAGCCCCACCCCCAGCGGTACGACCCGGCAAACAGTGAGGCACTTAGCAAATCAGTAAACCCAGCCTCAAGTAGCATAACAGCCCTTTGAACGTTTGTCCACATAGATCTATTGGGCTCACAGCCCGTGAGGTCCATCTCTCCTAGGACGTGACGCTTAATTTCCTGTCCATTAATATGATTGGTTGTCTCCCCCTCCCCCATTATTGGTAATTATTCATTTGACCTGCGCGCGCTACTGGTTTTGTTTGGATGAATTTTGGCAGACGACAGTCTCTGTGGTGTGTGTCGTCAGCTGTCCGCTGTAACCTTGACCTTTGTGGTGTTGTCGGCGTCACTTGACACAGCTTTTCACTGACCCAACTGTCAAACGAGGTACTCACTACGGATGCACGTGTATCAAACAAGTACAGAATTAATGAGTCTAAGGGGAAGGATTTGTTATGGTGCAAACATTCAAATCGAAATTTTAGCATCTCTACGTATTACAACTGTAAACGTTCGAGTTTTTTAATCGTGTGTGTATGTTTGTGTGTGTGTGTCTGTATGTGTGTCGGTATGTATGTGTGTGTGACCGTATGTGTGTGTCTGTATGCGTGTGTCTGTATGTATGTGTGTGGGTCGGTGTGTGTGTGTGTGTGTATGTCTGTATGTCTGTGTGTCTGTATGTATGTGTGTGTGAGTCGTTATGTGTAAGTTTAAAAAAAAGTCACTACCGTTTCAATGAGGTGAAATAAATTACTTGTTTTTCAAAAACTTGGGTGCCGTTTCGGTGAGGTAGACTAAATTTCACTTATAAGTATATGATTGTATGCCGAGGTTTCATTTAAATTTTAAGTGATTTCCGATATCCGTAAATGATACTTTTACCCATTTCCGATCTTAAAAACCAATAATTCGACAACCGTTTTACTTAGGTGTGTGAAATTTACGTAGGCATTAGATGGTATCTGTCAACTTTTGGGCGATTTCAAGTAAACAAGAGTAGCACAAATTCCTATTGCCCAAAACCCTAGATTTCTGTTCTTAAATCTTGATCTTATTTAGAGGTATTCTTTAAGACTTTTTTGTCTCTATTTGTTTACCGTATGTAATTTCCTCATTCTTTTCTGGTAAATTGTGTAGATCTATATACCGGCAAGAATTGTTATGGCACTTCAAACGGAATCGAGGTTTAGAAATGGTAAGTAGGTTTGTGAATTACTAATCGAGGTTTAGAAATGGTAAGTAGGTTTGTGAATTACTAATCCGTGTTCCAGTAAATTCTCTGATCTACCCCTGGCTACTTACGTGCCAGATGTGACGTCACAAGTCCAGAGTTTGTGTATACATCATAACATTTGCGGCTCATTAGGTGCCTGCCTAGTGCTAGGCCCACCCATCGTCTGCTTCTTTATTTCATCGTCTGCTCCTTTATTCCATCGTCTGAATAAATCAACAAGCAAAAGTGTCGGCTGTCCAATGTTAATTGTTTTTATTTTCTCTTCCCTGTAGGTTCTCGAATGTTCGGACTAGTCGACAGGGGCGTAGACAGTCATGTTGGACCCGCAGGGGCGTCAGATGCCAGCCCCCTCCGGGACCTCCTGTGTGAGCGGCGACAGACAGGTTGATGACGTGGCAGGGACTCTAGTCTTGCTGGACAATCTCCCCGTGGTGGTCTCGTACAGCTGATGTTGTCACACAGCTGGACACGCACACACACACAAGTGCGCACACACACATTGACCAGATGAAAACATCATGCGGAAAAAATACAAGCTGCACGTTTGTGTGAGGGTGAAGAGGTCAAGTTGACCCGTCATAAGGAGTGACGTCAGGCTTAGCTGGTAGCTTAAACATGTGGACATCAAACTGTGAGTGAATATCAGGAGATCCAACGCAGCAGCTCGTCCGCAGCACGACCGATTGACCAGCACGGCCAACTGACCAGCACGCTGACCAGCAGGGCCAACTGACCAGCACGAACAACTGACCAGCACGGCCAACTGACCAGCACGAGCAATTTACCAGCACGGCCAACTGACCACACACTGACCAGCAGGGCCAACTGACCACACACTGACCAGCAGGGCCAACTGACCACCACGGCCAACTGACCAGCACGACCAATTTACCAGCACGGCCAACTGACCAGTAGAACTGAGCCTAAAATGAGGACCATGCCCAGAGTCCTGCTGTTGCTGTTCGGTATGTCCATCGTGACGATGATGTTCATCGCCAGGTGCGGCCTCAACATGGACAGCCACGGCGGCTCACACGGAGCCATGCCCGTCTCCTCGGGCGGCTCACCCGGCGAGAAGGCGCTCAGAGAGGTAGGTATCACGTGGTCAGTCTAATGGGGGGAGGGGGGGCATTCAGAGAGGTGGGTATCACGTGGTCAGTCTAGTGGGGTGGGGGGCGCATTCAGAGAGGTGGGTATCACGTGGTCAGTCTAATGGGGGGAGGGGTAGCTCAGAGAGGTGGGTATCACGTGATTAACCTGGGGAGGGGCATTCAGGGAGGTGAGTATCACGTGGTCAGTCTAGTGGGGGGGGCATTCAAAGAGGTGGGTATCAAGTAGTTAATCTAATGGGGGGGGGCATTCAGAGGGGTGGGTATCACATGATTAACCTGGGGGGGCATTCAGAGAGGTGGGTATCACGTAGTTAGTCTAATGGGGGGGGGGGGCATTCAGAGAGGTGGGTATCACGTAGTTAGTCAAATGGGAGGGGGGCATTCAGAGAGGTGGGTATCACGTAGTTAGTCTAATGGGGGGGGGCATTCAGAGAGGTGGGTATCACGTAGTTAGTCAAATGGGAGGGGGGCATTCAGAGAGGTGGGTATCACGTAGTTAGTCAAATGGGAGGGGGGCATTCAGAGAGGTGGGTATCACGTAGTTAGTCTAATGGGGGGGGGGGCATTCAGAGAGGTGGGTATCACGTAGTTAGTCAAATGGGAGGGGGGCATTCAGAGAGGTGGGTATCACGTAGTTAGTCAAATGGGAGGGGGGCATTCAGAGAGGTGGGTATCACGTAGTTAGTCAAATGGGAGGGGGGCATTCAGAGAGGTGGGTATCACTATTAAAATAGTTTGTTAAATAGTTCCGATGGGTCTGTAACTGACAAGTTGATCAACCTTCTGCAGTATAGAGAATTTCAATGTGTCTTTAAATGTCACTAAAATAATTTACATTTATTGCAATGAGCAAAACTTTAGTGAGGATACGTTCTCTGGTAACTTTCTCGAATGGGCTTTTGTCCAAGTGGGCGTTTGCCGAAATGGGCGTTTCCCCGAATGGAACAGTTGCCCAAAAGTCTAAGGCCAAAACACCGATTACCCGAAAAAAAATATAAACATGTATTATCAAGTAGAAGTTTCTCATTAATTTTTTTTTTCATATTTTGATAATTACAACAATACAAAAACAGATATTTAATTTTTTTTATTTTTAACGGTTTAGCTTTCAACTTTAAATGAGAAACTCCTGTAAAGATCAGTAAGTCCCAGCCTCTTCCACCCCACCCCGTCCTCTAGCTTACAGATGTTGTCGAAAGTCTATTGGTCAACCAGTGTCACAAATCTAGCTCACAACAAAAACAAGTTAAGATTAGACCGCTCACAAATCAGCAACTTTGGGTGTTCCCTAACCTTTGACCTGAAATTTTTGGTGTAAGATAAACTCCCCAAAGTGCTGACATGCTGTAATGTTTACAAAACAAAGTTTGAAGACTAATGGCCTCCAGCGGCAGACATGTTTCTCCATCCCCCACCCTCTCGCTCAAGCAAATAACTCAAAGTATTCTACAAGATTTATGTTTTTTGTAACACTATTAGTCTGCACGCCCTTTATTTGTAGACAAGTTTTTCTATGGAGTGATCTCCCATTGACTTACTGTTTCCTATCTTGAGTAGTCTTCCCCAGAATTAGCGTTTTCTAGCTGTGAGTTATCTTCCCCTAAGTTACCGATTTGTATCTGTGAGTGATCTCCCCTGACTGACCCTTCCATTATTTCCTGCAGGTCATGCGCCGTAAGGAAGTTGAGCACATCCGGGACAAGACACATCTTCAGGAGCAGATCAAGACGTTGGAGGGTCAGCTCGCTAAGGTAATCTGTCGTCACCTGCATGGGTCATTTCATGTTGTACACATACAGGTCATTTAAGACTGGACACATACAGGTCATTTAATATTGGACACATTCAGGTCATTTAAGACTGGACACATACAGGTCATTTAATATTGGACACATATAGGTCATTTAAGACAGGACACATACAGGTCATTTAAGACTGGACACATACAGGTCATTTCATATTGGACACATACAGGTCATTTCATATTGGACACATATAGGTCATTTAAGACAGGACACATACAGGTCATTTAAGACTGGACACATACAGGTCATTTCATATTGGACACATACAGGTAATTTCATATTGGACACATACAGGTCATTTCATATTGGACACATACAGGTAATTTCATATTGGACACATACAGGTCATTTAAGACTGGACACATACAGGTCATTTCATATTGGACACATACAGGTCATTTAAGACTGGACACATACAGGTCATTTCATATTGGACACATATAGGTCATTTAAGACAGGACACATACAGGTCATTTAAGACTGGACACATACAGGTCATTTCATATTGGACACATACAGGTAATTTCATATTGGACACATACAGGTCATTTCATATTGGACACATACAGGTAATTTCATATTGGACACATACAGGTCATTTCATATTGGACACATACAGGTCATTTCATATTGGACACATACAGGTCATTTCATATTGGACACATATAGGTCATTTAAGACAGGACACATACAGGTCATTTAAGACTGGACACATACAGGTCATTTCATATTGGACACATACAGGTAATTTCATATTGGACACTTACAGGTCATTTCATATTGGACACATACAGGTCATTTCATATTGGACACATACAGGTCATTTCATATTGGACACATATAGGTCATTTAAGACAGGACACATACAGGTCATTTAAGACTGGACACATACAGGTCATTTCATATTGGACACATATAGGTCATTTAAGACTGGACACATACAGGTCATTTCATATTGGACACATACAGGTCATTTAAGACTGGACACATACAGGTCATTTAAGACTGGACACATACAGGTCATTTAAGACTGGACACATACAGGTCATTTAAGACTGGACACATACAGGTCATTTAAGACTGGACACATACAGGTCATTTAATATTGGACACATACAAGTCATTTAATATTGGACACAAACAGGTCATTTAAGACTGGACACATACAGTATGTCGATGTATATCAGTCATATACAGACACATTCATCCACACAACCCCCTTATATCCGCCACATACAACCCCGCTTACAACCGCCACATACAACCCCGCTTACATCCACCACATACAACACCGCTTACATCCGCCACATACAACACCGCTTACATCCGCCACATACAACCCCGCTTACATCCGCCACATACAACCCGCTTACATCCGCCACATACAACACCGCTTACATCCGCCACATACAACCCCGCTTACAACCGCCACATACAACCCCGCTTACATCCGGCACATACAACCCCGCTTACATCCGCCACATACAACCCCGCTTACATCCGCCACATACAACCCCGCTTACATCCGCCACATACAACCCCGCTTACATCCGCCACATACAACCCCGCTTACATCCGCCACATACAACCCCGCTTACATCCGCCACATACAACCCCGCTTACATCCGCCACATACAACCCCCTTTATATTCACCACATACAACCCCGCTTACATCCGCCACATACAACCCCGCTTACATCACCCACCCCCATGTCGGTATAGACAGCCACGCACTAGACTCAAACGACATCTTAATTACCACCAATTAACTTAACAAGCTTAAAAACTTCCGTTTTAAAAAGAGTTTGAAGAGTCTCTCAACGTTCTCTTAAAACGTCTGAACTCTGAATACAGATTCTGATTTAGGTTTTACATTTGTTTGAAAAAAATTACCTGTAGGAGACGGCTGGAAAAGTAATTTAACGATTAATGAAATGAAACAGAAGCTGTCTTTGTTCTCTCAAACCCTTGATCCGTATTGAAGTAGACATGTTACCACACATAGAAACTTGATCTCTTCTCGAACTCTATTTTGTTTTTTCACCTGTAGAGAATCTTTTCTAATTAACAAAAAAAAAAATTAAATTCCATGCAACATGTGCACAAAAGGGTGTTAGGTTACATTTCGTTTCGTTTGTTTTATAGCACACGTTTGTTTTATAGCACACGTTTGTTTTATAGCACACGTTTGTTTTATAGCACACGTTTGTTTTATAGCACACGTTTGTTTTATAGCACACGTTTGTTTTATAGCACGTTTGTTTTATAGCACACGTTTGTTTTATAGCACACGCTTGGACGCTGTTTTATAGCACACGTTTGGGCTGTTTTATAGCACACGTGATTGTAGACGTTTGCTAAAACAAATGTAGCATCTCGCTACCCAAATGATGCAGGTTGCTACTAAAAATGTAGCAGGTTGCTACCCTAAACGTAGCAGTTCGCTACCCTAAACGTAGCCGTTTGCTACTACAAATGTAACAGTACCCAACATGTAGCGATAAAAACAATGCCATGGCCGCATGAGTATCGTCAAGGGTCGTGTGGAAATTCCCGCAAGATCCACGGGGGGAGGGGGGAGGGGGGGTCTTTTGTTTTCTGCCGTACACTAGCCATGACGTCATCACACGTGCATATAGCAGCGCTCACACTGGAAGACGACATTCGACCACATTTGGCCACTCGGCCATCACATTTGGCCACTAGGCCATCACATCTGGCCACTAGCCACTAGGCCACCACATCTGGCCACTAGGCCATCACATTTGGCCACTAGGCCATCACATTTGGCCACTAGGCCACCACATCTGGCCACTAGGCCATCACATCTGGCCACTAGGCCATCACCACATTTGGCCACTAGGCCACCATCACATTTGGCCACTAGGCCATCACATCTGGCCACTAGGCCATCACATTTGGCCACTAGGCCGTGTAAACAAACACGAACCACCCTACAGTCACAAGAAGACACTGAGACGGAAAACGTCTGATCCGGTACGGAAATATCTGAATCGGAATGGAATCGTCCGGCACAGTAGAGAAACATCCGACAAGGTGCGGGAACATCCGGCAAGGTGGGGGAACATCCGACATGGTGGGGGAACATCCGGCAAGGTGTGGGAACATCCGTCAAGGTGGGGGAACATTCGGAATAGAGTGGAAGCTTTAGAAACGATATGAAAACAAACGACAAAGCCCGCAAAGAAACGAAACGGCACGGAAAAATACGAAGGGGTTTCAGGACACCACACACAGGGCATAGACCTCGGGCTAAGTCCAGAATAGCCGACAGTGTGGACTGACAAGGATATTGTACAATGCTGCTTTAATCCCGCCTTATCTTGAGTGATATAAATAACTCAAAATATTTCAAACTGGCCCGTCCGCAGAGGTGGTTGGTGGAGATAGGCGATGACGTCACCGACACTGAAACATCAAAACGAGGATAGTTTGATAGAAAAGTTGCGTGAAGCTAGGGTTAAATTACATTGGGTTTTCTTTTTATCAATTTTTATGTGTTGCATGTTCACTGTTGATATTTGTGCTGTAAGATTATATGCGTGTCGGAAGTCGGTTGATGTAGGACACAGTCGTCACATAGTCGTCACATGGTCAGTGAGTTGACCAGATAACGTTAAGCCCGCCAATTCTCTTGACGTCTGCTTGTGTGTGTAAAGTTCCTGTTGGTGAGCAGACATTTACCTCACCGGAAGTGACGTTTGCAGCCCCGACTCAACAATAGCGGGAAATCTGCAACAGGTGTAGTCAGGAACGTCTGCGAGATGGGGGTGGGGGGGGGGGGAGATGGCACCCCTCGTGTTTAATAACGGCCGCTGGGTCCTGGGAATGTATCTCAACAGCCCAGGGTCGACGGGTTCACAGACAGCCGTCTAAAATTAAAGAGGACATGTGGCTTCAGTTTCGACATTTTTGAGCGCGTTACGCTAATTTCGCGAGCGTTCTATCAGTGAGTCAGCTGATAAATAAAATGACTAGCCTGGGTTGTTTAGCGGTGCCTGATGACGTCATCGTATGAATCTCATGTTGTGACTCTCTAACCACGTCAGATAAAGAAAACCATCTCCCAGTGGGCGGATGCTTTCATGCATTTCTCTGGCTGTGGTTTCGTTTTTTGATTAGCTGAAGTTTATTTTGTCTCTAACTAATGCTGGTCTGGTCTTTCTAGGTGAGCTAACGTCGTGTATCTCGCCCACTTTCTCCCATGTAACAAGTTATCTCCCCAATTACCACCCATAAACAATTAATTTCCTCTCTTGTTTCCACCAGGTCCAGGGGCAGGTGAAAAACTTGACCGCCAACCTGCAGTCCGTCTACCGTCAGTCTAACGGCAACCTAAGAGACGGGGACAACCCACGGAGCCCTGGGGAGCCCCACCTTCGCTACCCTAGTGACGGCCTCAACCCCATCCCGGCCAACCGAGCCCACGGCCGGCCGGACGGCGAACACTATCCGGCAGGGTTCAGGCCGGCCTACAACCCCGGCGCGTTCTACCACGGCCAAGATTTTCCCAAGAACGGCCGGAACTCGGCGGAGGACTTGATCAACCAACGCAACATGGCGATAGACATGAACGCCGTGGACCGCCACGCGCTGGGCATTGACGACATGGGGCATCAGGCAGACGATGGTGCCCCCAGGGCAGCTCGAAGTGCCCCGGGGGAGAGCTCGGAGCTTCAACACATCAACGTCCTAAAAACTAAATTCAACGAGTCTTTAGACTTCGAGAAGTATTTCCAGGAGCGTCTGAAGAACGCCGAGGTGTTAAAAGGCCAGTCGTATAAAACGGAATACGAGCTGATTTCCTTCAACCGGTTCATTTACAACAGGATTTACCTTGTGGAGCCGGGGCTGGGGAAGCGGGTGGTCGAGAAGCCGATCGGGTCCAAGAAAAAAGATTTGAACGAGATCATGTTCCACGCGGTGGAGACGCTCAACAAAAACCGCAAGGACAGCGGTCAGTACAAGGACACCGGCCAGTACAACTACGACGATTTTGTCGAGGGGGTGTACCGCACTGACCCCGCGTTCGGCTCGCAGTACGAGCTGTACTTCGTCAACAAGGACGACCCTAAGCGGCATAACTCCTATCTGAAACTGTCGGTTGCCCGCCCCTTCGCCCCGCCGGTCACGGTGCAGCAGACGGTGGTGAGCACGGGGCCGGAGTGGATCAACATCATCCTCCCCCTGTCCAAACGCGTGGACACGTTCCGTCTCTTCATGGACCAGTTTGTCCGCGTCTGCATCAAAAGCGACAAACGAATCTACCTGACGGTCGTGTACTTTGGACCGGAAGGACTTCCAGATGTGAAAGGCATCATGGGACAGGTAGCCAAAACTCACAAGTTCAAGTTCATGAAACTCGTGACCCTCAACGAAACTTTTGCCCGCGGCCGTGGGCTACAAATTGGCGCGCTAAACTGGAAAGGCGGAAGTGACGTTTTGATGTTTTTCTGTGACGTGGACATCGTGTTTTCAGGCGAGTTCCTGGAGCGGTGCCGCTTGAACTCAGAACGAGGCCAGCGCGTGTACTACCCTATCGTGTTTAGCCTGTACAACCCGAAGATCGTCTACTCTCTACAGGACGTGCCCCTCCCGTCCTTCCAGGACCAGCTCGTCCTCTCGAAGGACACGGGATTTTGGCGAGACTTCGGTTACGGCATGACCTGCCAGTATCGATCAGATTTTCTGAAGATCAAAGGCTTCGATGAGCAGATCACGGGGTGGGGCGGGGGAGGACGTGTTCCTTTACCAGAAGTTTGTCAGGAGCGACTACTTCGTGGTGCGGGCCACGGACCCCTCCATCTTCCACCTCTGGCACGAGAAGTTCTGCGACCCCACCCTCAGCACGGAGCAGTACCGCAGCTGCATCCGGTCCAAGGCGCTGAACGAGGCGTCGCACGCGCAGCTGGGGCTGCTCGCCTTCAAGGACGAGATCGACGTGCACCGGGGGGTCAGCGAGAGGAACAGCATCCTCCAGAAGAACCCCCCGGAGGAGACGAGGGACGGGGAGCAGGGGGATAAGGGACAGTTCATTAAACGCTAGGTAGGGGTGGAAGGTTTGGTTGCCGCTAACACAAACATAGAGAAATGTGTCGGACTGGAAGGTACGGCTCACACATACAGGCGTGGGTCTAACACCACACACATATAGGCGTGGGTCTAACACCACACACATATAGGCGTGGTTCTAACACCACACACATACAGGCGTGGGTCTAACACCACACACATATAGGCGTGGGTCTAACACCACACACATATAGGCGTGGGTCTAACACCACACACATATAGGCGTGGTTCTAACACCACACACATACAGGCGTGGGTCTAACACCACACACATATAGGCGTGGGTCTAACACCAAGACGCCGCTAACACAAATGTTAGCCCAGTGGGGTCTAGTTATGATTACCCCCCCCCCCTATGAAGGAGCCGTAATTAGCCTCCCCTTATGAGACCCCATAAGTACATTAAAATGTTGATGTTACTGTGTCCTTGACCCCATTAGTACATGAAGATGCACGCACCAAACAACGCGCGGAATGTAATGCGTGGTTCGATGTCCAGACCCGCCCCCCCCCCCGCCCCCCCCCCCCCCCCCCCCCCCCCCCCCCCCCCCCACGCCTGATGTATCACTGGACTGCTGGACATTACGTCACTTCCCCGAAACTGTTATTTGGTATCGATTTTACATTTCTACAGTATCGATCTCTCATTAACTGACGAGTTTGGGTTAAAATTTCAACCACCCTGGCCAACTGAGCGCTTGCCTGAATCACGTGACAGTCTGAGTCACGTGACACTCTACTCTGTATATTTTCTTTCTCTAATTTACTGTATATCAAACGGAGTATATGTATTTGTCATCATTACCCACACTACGCCGTGGGGTTTTGTGGGTTTGTGTGGCTGTTCAATGTCCCTGAGAGATGTGGGCTTGGGACGGAGGTCTGTCCCATGATATAATATTTCGCCTACTTTTTAACTGTCTGACAACCTACGTATGACTACCCCATTATTTCTAGGCGCCTACGTGTACAGCAGTTGCTCGTGATTTTCTTTCTTCTATGTTTACGTCTACTTTTTCTCTTTCTTCTATGTTTACGTCTACTTTTTCTCGTGTTTTCAGATTTTAAACGTGATTTTCATTAACTTTTGTTGAAAAATATACGATTCAAATTCAATGTCTTTCATATTATCATCTACAATAAACGAAGAAACGAAAATGAATACCTCTTCCTTTGTCAACATCTTCTGCGCCTTATGACCCGTTGACTCCGACTTCAGCCTTTTCTTATTTTCTGGATTCTCTTCCCTAACCATCTAAGAACAAAGTACAAGGCAGCTTTGATTTTGGAGTTGTCTCTCTTCAAGGTGTTGTTGTCCCGAGCTAGCGGGCCTTGTCTCCTTAGATCCGAACTCTGGACTTTTGGGGTCAGCAACCATGCTCTGTACAGCCGGACCACGCAGTCTTTCTAAACCCCAGACAACCCCTGTTCAAACTCCACAGACAACCCACGATGACCCACGATAGACCCCCCCACCCCCGACCCGTGTTAAGGGATCTCCCCCAGCTCACCGCCAGAGAATTAATGATGATGTAACCCATCCGCTGCCACAGGTGAGGGCGAGTTTTGGCGGGGCTACCAGACGGATTTATTTTCACCAACAAGCAGACGATCTCCCCCCCCCTCACCCCACCCCCACCCCGCCCCACCTGCTCAGACCACCCAAGACGCATACGTTCCTGCTATTCTTCCACTAAGACCAACGGCCATCTTCTAGCACTGGCTCATGTAGGAATCTGCCACACATCCTCTAGCAACCGGATGTGGCGTGTGTACATAACCACAGCTGTGGACATGTACATATGTACGTAGCATTGTATTCAGTGTGGGGCAGTCCCTCTGTCATTTGCTTCAAGGTTAAGGTCATACAACATTTCTTAAGGTGAAGGTCATACAAACTTTCTTAAGGTTAGGGTCATACAATATTTCTTAAGGTGAAGGTCATACAACCTTTCTTAAGGTTAGGGTCATACAATATTTCTTAAGGTGAAGGTCATACAACCTTTTCTTACATCCAAATCTTTCTCATTGTTTGTGAAGCTGTTTTGCAGAACGTAGAAAGTTTCGAGAAGTTTCCTTTGTTGTATGCTACACGTTGACTACAGGTGCTCAAATGTCAGGTGCCATTCACAAGTTGTACTTGTCATTAATGTCATATCTGACAGGAAATATTGTTCTTTGAATAATTTTCTGAACTTTTCATGTTACAATAGAAATGCACAATTATTTCATTTTCTACACACTGCTGTTGTTATTGAGTTACATGTTGGCCAAACTTCGGTCGGTTTTGAAGAGCACAGCTAACAAACAGCTAAAAAACAGGCACATAGAGCTCATAAAAAAGTTTTTCAGCCGTGTGACTATTCAGTCAACTGGTCATTCAGTCAACTGGTCATCCAGTCATTAAACCATCCAGTCATTAAACCATCCAGTCATTAAACCATCCAGTTTAAAATTCATTTCGTTTAGGTCAAGTAGTAATTAAATCACGTGATCTTTCATACACTGGTCACTAGCCAATCTAGTCATTAGCCAATCTAGTCATTAGCCCATCTATTCATTAGCCCATCTAGTCATTAGCCCATCTAGTCATTAGCCCATCTAGTCATTAGCCCATCTATTCATTAGCCCATCTAGTCATTAGCCTATCTAGTCATTAGCCCATCTAGTCATTAGCCCATCTAGTCATTAGCCCATCTAGTCATTAGCCCATCTAGTCATAAGCCTACCCAGTCATTAGCCCATCTAGTAATTAAGTCCGAGAGGTACCTTGAATAGTTATAGATGTCAGTCACACGCTGTTATATAGTTGTAACCCATGAGTGTTTTAAACTGTGGGTCCCACAAAGATGTGTTTTAAAATGTGGGGCTCACAAAGATGTGTTTAAAACTGTGTGTCCCACAAAGATGTGTTTAAAACTGTGGGTCACACAAAGATGTGTTTTAAACTGTGGGTCCCACAAAGATGTGTTTTAAAATGTGGGGCTCACAAAGATGTGTTTAAAACTGTGTGTCCCACAAAGATGTGTTTAAAACTGTGGGTCACACAAAGATGTGTTTAAAACTGTGTCCCACAAAGATGTGTTTAAAACTGTGGGTCCCACAAAGATGTGTTTAAAACTGTGGGTCCCACAAAGATGTGTTTAAAACTGTGTGTCCCACAAAGATGTGTTTAAAACTGTGGGTCCCACAAAGATGTGTTTTAAACTGTGGGGCTCACAAAGATGTGTTTAAAACTGTGGGTTCCACAAAGATGTGTTTAAAACTGTGGGTCCCACAAAGATATGTTTAAAACTGTGGGTCCCACAAAGATGTGTTTAAAAGTGTGGGTCCCACAAAGATGTGTTTAAAACTGTGGGGCTCACAAAGATGTGTTTAAAACTGTGGGTCACACAAAGATGTGTTTTAAACTGTGGGTCACACAAAGATGTGTTTAAAACTGTGGGGCTCACAAAGATGTGTTTAAAACAGTGGGTCCCACAAAGATGTGTTTAAAACTGTGGGTTCTACAAAGATGTGTTTAAAACTGTGGGTCCCACAAAGATATGTTTAAAACTGTGGGTCCCACAAAGATGTGTTTAAAACTGTGGGTCCCACAAAGATGTGTTTAAAACTGTGGGGCTCACAAAGATGTGTTTAAGTCTGATAATGTTAAACAGTGTGTGTATTTAACAACTTTTAGTGTTATAATGATCGTTAATTATGTCTAATTAATTAAACAATTTATTTCATACCGTGCCTTAATTGTTAACCGAATAGAATGTAATAAGGCCACTGTTTCTTAGTGATATTTTTCGGGGGATATATATATATATATATATATATATATATATATATATATATATATATATATATATATATATATATATATATATATATATATATATATATTATGTATGGTGTTTAGTAAGCCAAACCCTGACAATTTCAAACAATTGAAGCATGAACTTTGTTAAAAACAATTTGTGTGAAATTTAATCAGATTTTTTTTTTTCATTTCAAAACTGCATTTATACAAGCTTTTTTTTTTTCTTTTTTAAATTTAAACTAGCACAATTAGTTCTGATTTTTAATTTGCCAATTATGGCGACATCTTGCCATTTGTGTCCACATGTCGACATATTTGTCCACATGTCGACATTTTTGTCCACATGTACATTCTTGAAACGACTTCTGTTGTAACGCTGATATTAAATGTCTACCAATTGATTCCAGTCTTCCATAGCTGTGCTCCATTAATGTATACACACTTTTTTACAATTTCAACCCCCCCCCATCCCCACACCCCTCCATCCCCACACCCTCAACACTTTCACTATCCTCACCATCACAAAACGTTACAGCTAGTCTACCAGCCAGATAACAGCTAGCCTACCAACCATATAACAGCTTGACTGTCAGCCATATACTGCCAGTTATATAACAGCTAGCCTACCAACCATATAACAGCTAACCTGTGGGGCCATATAACAGCTAGCCTACCAACCATATAACAGCTAGCCTACCAGCCATATAACAGCTAGCCTGCCAGCCATATAACAGCTAGCCTACCAGCCATATAACAGCTAGCCTGTGGGGCCATATAACAACTAGCCTACCAGCCATATAACAGCTAGCCTGTGGGGCCATATAACAGCTAGCCTACCAGCCATATAACAGCTAGCCTGATAGCCAACGATGTAGTTGCTAGCCTGTGTGAATCCCCCCTCCCACCTACCTCCAGCCCCTCGTTTCCCTAGACCACTACCACGAAACTCCCCCCCCCCCCCCCAGCACTAAACTGTCAAATCTATGTACATCATGCCCTGAATGTGTTTACCATTATTGTTTCCAATTGTTTTATTTGTAAATAATAAATTACATTGTCATGACAGGCCTTTGTCATATTTTGTGAGTTTAGCGTTTGTTGTGGTTTCATGGACAAAGTACATTTCAATAACGAAACAGACCGTCAGAGAAAACAGGAAGAAACAGGTTGACTGTAGACATGAAGAAACAGGTTGTCTATCAACAGGAAGAAACAGTTTGACTGTCGACAGGAAAAAACAGGTTGTCTGTCGACAGGAAGAAACAGGTTGACTGTCGACAGGAAGAAACAGTCTGACTGTCGACAGGAAGAAACAGGTTGACTGATGACAGGAAGAAACAGGTTGACTGTATACAGGAAGAAACAGCAGGCAGGAAGAAACAGGTTGACTGTAGACAGGAAGAAACAGCAGGCAGGAAGAAACAGGTTGACTGTCGATAGGAAGAAACAGGTTGACTGTAGACAGGAAGAAACAGGTTGACTGTATACAGGAAGAAACAGAAGGCAGGAAGAAACAGGTTGACTGTCGACCGGACGAAAAAGGTTGACTGTATACAGGAAGAAACAGGTTGACTGTGTACAGGAAGAAACAGCAGGCAGGAAGAAACAGGTTGACTGTAGACAGGAAGAAACAGCAGGCAGGAAGAAACAGGTTGACTGTCGACAGGAAGAAACAGGTTGACTGTAGACAGGAAGAAACAGGTTGACTGTGTACAGGAAGAAACAGCAGGCAGGAAGAAACAGGTTGACTGTCGACAGGAAGAAACAGGTTGACTGTAGACAGGAAGAAAAAGGTTGACTGTCGACAGAAAGAAACAGGTTGACTGTCGACAGGAAGAAACAGGTTGACTGATGACAGGAAGAAACAGGTTGACTGTATACAGGAAGAAACAGCAGGCAGGAAGAAACAGGTTGACTGTAGACAGGAAGAAACAGCAGGCAGGAAGAAACAGGTTGACTGTCGATAGGAAGAAACAGGTTGACTGTAGACAGGAAGAAACAGGTTGACTGTATACAGGAAGAAACAGAAGGCAGGAAGAAACAGGTTGACTGTCGACCGGACGAAAAAGGTTGACTGTATACAGGAAGAAACAGGTTGACTGTGTACAGGAAGAAACAGCAGGCAGGAAGAAACAGGTTGACTGTAGACAGGAAGAAACAGCAGGCAGGAAGAAACAGGTTGACTGTCGACAGGAAGAAACAGGTTGACTGTAGACAGGAAGAAAAAGGTTGACTGTGTACAGGAAGAAACAGCAGGCAGGAAGAAACAGGTTGACTGTCGACAGGAAGAAACAGGTTGACTGTAGACAGGAAGAAAAAGGTTGACTGTCGACAGAAAGAAACAGGTTGACTGTCGACAGGAAGACACAGTTTGACTGTCGACAGGAAGAAACAGGTTGACTGATGACAGGAAGAAACAGGTTGACTGTATACAGGAAGAAACAGCAGGCAGGAAGAAACAGGTTGACTGTAGACAGGAAGAAACAGCAGGCAGGAAGAAACAGGTTGACTGTCGATAGGAAGAAACAGGTTGACTGTAGACAGGAAGAAACAGGTTGACTGTATACAGGAAGAAACAGAAGGCAGGAAGAAATAGGTTGACTGTCGACCGGACGAAAAAGGTTGACTGTATACAGGAAGAAACAGGTTGACTGTGTACAGGAAGAAACAGCAGGCAGGAAGAAACAGGTTGACTGTAGACAGGAAGAAACAGCAGGCAGGAAGAAACAGGTTGACTGTCGACAGGAAGAAACAGGTTGACTGTAGACAGGAAGAAACAGGTTGACTGTGTACAGGAAGAAACAGCAGGCAGGAAGAAACAGGTTGACTGTCGACAGGAAGAAACAGGTTGACTGTAGACAGGAAGAAAAAGGTTGACTGTCGACAGAAAGAAACAGGTTGACTGTAGACAGGAAGAAACAGGTTGACTGTATACAGGAAGAAACAGGTTGACTGTATACAGGAAGAAACAACAGGCAGGAAGAAACAGGTTGACTGTCGACAGGAAGAAACAGCAGGCAGGAAGAAACAGGTTGACTGTCGACAAGAAGAAACAGGTTGACTGTAGACAGGAAGAAACAGGTTGACTGTATACAGGAAGAAACAGCAGGCAGGAAGAAACAGGTTGACTGTAGACAGGAAGAAACAGCAGACAGGAAGAAACAGCAGGCAGGAAGAAACAGGTTGACTGTAGACAGGAAGAAACAGCAGGCAGGAAGAAACAGGTTGACTGTCGACAGGAAGAAACAGGTTGACTGTAGACAGGAAGAAAAAGGTTGACTGTCGACAGAAAGAAACAGGTTGACTGTAGACAGGAAGAAACAGGTTGACTGTATACAGGAAGAAACAGGTTGACTGTATACAGGAAGAAATAACAGGCAGGAAGAAACAGGTTGACTGTATACAGGAAGAAACAGCAGGCAGGAAGAAACAGGTTGACTGTCGACAAGAAGAAACAGGTTGACTGTAGACAGGAAGAAACAGGTTGACTGTATACAGGAAGAAACAGCAGGCAGGAAGAAACAGGTTGACTGTAGACAGGAAGAAACAGCAGACAGGAAGAAACAGCAGGCAGGAAGAAACAGGTTGACTGTAGACAGGAAGAAACAGCAGACAGGAAGAAACATGTTGACTGTCGACAGGAAGAAACAGGTTGACTGTATACAGGAAGAAACAGGATGACTGTATACAGGAAGAAACAGGCTGACTGTAGACTGTGTACAGGATATTGCAACAGACACGCCAAAAACGTTGTTATGTCCAGGTAAAGACAGCTCACGTTTGCCAGTTTGTCATGTGGATCGTCTAAGCTGGTTTGCTCAGATCAAAGATGGCAGAGAATTCCTAGCGTCTTGTGCACACCGAGCTAGAATCGTCGGTCAGAGTGGCACTGACATGTGGCACTGACATGTGGGTCTGACAAGTGAGTCTGACATGTAGGTCTGACATGTGAGTCTGACATGTAGGTCTGACATGTGGGGGTCTGACATGTGGCACTGACATGTAGGTTTGACATGTAGGTCTGACATGTGGGTTTGACATGTAGGTCTGACATGTAGGTCTGATATTTGTCGCACTGACATGTGGCACTGACATCTGGCACTGACAAGCGGTCTGACATGACAGTCTAGAATCGGCCGACAAGTGGGTCTGACACAATCATGGCAGTACATTCCAATACAAATAACAAAAAGTAATGGCTGATGCCCATGTTGCTAAGCCTCGCATGCAACATCGGGCATCAACAGTTTACAAAACGGCCGAGTATAATACCGACAATTATCTTATGTTAATTTGTAGATTAAATTAGAACAGTTTAAAAAGCATTCGCATAATGCCAAATCTCAAACTCCAGATATCACAAAACGAATCAGATTTTTGTTTATAGTTTTCTGCTCCACCGAGTTTTTCATTTGGAGTTTTTTAATGTAGCTTTGTCTTGAGCGTTTCTTTTAGTCGCAGGTGTGGTGTGGATTAAGGTAGAGATGTTGTGTGGATTAAGGTAGAGATGTTGTGTGGATTAAGGTAGAGGTGTGGTGTGGATTAAGGTAGAGGTGTGGTGTGGATTAAGGTAGGGATGTGGTGTGGATTAAGGTAGGGGTGTGGTGTGGATTAAGGTAGGGGAGTGGTGTGGATTAAGGTAGAGGTGTGGTGTGGATTAAGGTAGAGGTGTGGTGTGGATTAAGGTAGAGATGTTGTGTGGATTAAGGTAGAGATGTTGTGTGGATTAAGGTAGAGATGTTGTGTGGATTAAGGTAGAGGTGTGGTGTGGATTAAGGTAGGGATGTGGTGTGGATTAAGGTAGAGGTGTGGTGTGGATTAAGGTAGGGGTGTGGTGTGGATTAAGGTAGGGATGTGGTGTGGATTAAGGTAGAGGTGTGGTGTGGATTAAGGTAGAGGTGTGGTGTGGATTAAGGTAGAGGTGTGGTGTGGATTAAGGTTACGGGTGGATTAAAGTAGAGGTGTTTTGTGGATTAAGGTACCTGTGGTGTATTAAAGTAGAGGTGCTGTGTGGATTAAGATACAGCTACAGACAGCTACAGGTGATGTGTGGATTAAGGTACAGCTACAGGTTTTGAGTGAATTAAAGTACAAGTACTAACTCGGGTTGGACGGTAAACTAAAATGCCAAACACCAAATATCATTTGCACTGTGAAACAATAAAAGGTTATTTATAGTAAAAATTTTGTTGTAAAAATTATCTCGTTTGTCGCGTTATATATCGTCTTACATCTTTTGCCTTGTTACTCAATATTATTTTGTTGAGTAAGAATTTAAAATAATCTTCATGTGAGGACGAAAGACTTTTGCTGAACTATGCGAATCTTCCAACATGCAAATCTGGCAAATATTCTTGTTTGAACCTCTATGATGAGATCGATACATACATAAAACACCAGTCCCCCCCCCCTCCCCCTCCCCAAGAGATACGCTGACGTTTCTCGCCCGGGATAAAACAAAACGAAGCCGCATGTTGGGTTACTCTCCAGGTAGCATCTCCAGGTAGCCTGACAGGTAGCATCTCCAGGTAGCATCTCCAGGTGGCATCTCCAGGTAGCATCTCCAGGTAGCCTGACAGGTAGCGTCTCCAGGTAGCGGACTAGGTTTATTGCCAGGTAAGTTCCAGACATGTCACCGTTTTTTTCCAGCGGTTCTGTCTTGAGATCACCCCCCCCCCCCCCTGTCTTGAGATCACACCCTGTCTTGAGATCACCCCCCCCCCCCCCAAAAAAAAAGATTTTCTCACATGTTAAGAAAATTCAAACACGAGACGGGTTGACGGTTTTAAAACAAACAGTAACCTCGAGCTTTTAAATCTCGCGAGAGCTGAGGTCCTGTCTACGTCAATCTCGCGAGATTTGGCGGTTTTTGTTGCAGGTAAACCATTACCTTACAACACAAAACAAATCAAAAACATCAATGTGGTCTAGTTTAACAGGAACAAATCAAAAATATTAATTTGGTCTAGTTTAACAAGAATAAATAAAAAATATTAATTTGGTCTTGTTTAAAAAGATCAATTTAAAAATATTAATTTGGTCTAGTTTAACAGAATAAAATTTAAAATATTAATTTGGTCTAATTTAACAAGAATAAATCAAAAATGTTAATTTGGTCTAGTATAACAGAATAACATTTAAAATATGAATTTGGTCTAGTTAAACGATAAACACACCAGAACATCAAGTTGGTCTAGTTGAGAGTTGAGAAGAGAAGCGATCTTTCATGACTAGGGTCACTTAAGCTGCTGTGGGCATCACGTGACACCAACATATGGATGTCACAGTTCTCTGTCTTAGTGAAATAGAGCGACACGTTAAAACATAAACACTGATTAGCAGAACAGAATCTCATCGAAAATTCGAGAAGTTGAGAGACTGGCGTCTGACTAGCCAATATGCCATGTACTACCTTTGCTGCTCAAAATGGTAACTCAAGTCTGACTAGCAAGTGAAACGTTAATTTTTAACGTTTTTTAATATGCTGTTTTATATATTTGAATGGAAACGAATTAAGTTTGTTTTCTCTTTCAACTTACCCAGCATTCTGGAGTTCGTATATTGAATTATGTCATTCCACCCGCAGGATGTGTACGTACATTGAATCATATCGACCCAGGAGAATGTGTACGTACGTTGAATCATATCAGAATGTGTACGTACATTGAATTATATCATCCACACAGCAGAAAGTGTACGTACATTGAATCATATCATAAACCCAATACATCATGACTCTATCTAACCTAACAATTAAAATATGAAATTAACGCAGTCGGGTGCTTTGAAAAGTTTTAATAACAAAGTAACAAATCTCATCAATAATAGCACATCAACAAATCTCATCAACAAATCTCATCAACAAATCTCATCAACAAATCTCATCAACAATAGCTCATCAAAAATAGCACATCAAGTTTGGAATGTGGCAAACATCAAAACAACCCTACACATTACATCCTTAGGCCGGGGACATTACATTCTTAGGCCGGGGACATTACATCCTTAGGCCAGGGACATTACATCCTTAGGCCAGGGACATTACATCCTTAGACCGGGGACATTTCATCCTTCGGCCAGGGACATTACATCCTTAGGCCAGGGACATTTCATCTTTAGGCCAGAGACGGTCCGTTTTCATATTTTCGTTACACGACTCATGTCGGCCGTTTTGCTTGAATACAATCCACGACGAAACAAATCCACGTTAAACCAACCACATCCACGTTAAACCAACCACACACACACAGCTGATATGTAAAGGGTTGCAGATCGAATCTTGAAACAAACCAGATTATAAAAAACTTAATCCAAATTTGAACCGATTATCGCACGGTGTACTTAGGTGCAGCACATGTTTTGACTATCGATTCTTACAATCCTGGACTTAACAATAGAACACTTGTGCCGTGGTTAGCTTGTTTAATGCGATTTTTATTGTTGTTAAACATTGCGTTTAACCCGGTTAAACGGTACTTTAAGCGTGGTAAAACGAGGCGCTTATCCGGGTTAAACACAGCGTTTAACCTGGTTTAAACACTGCATTCATTAAACACGGTGTTTAACCTGGTTTAAACACTGCGTTCATTAAACACAGCGTTTAACCTGGTTTAAACACTGCGTTCATTAAACACAGCGTTTAACCTGGTTTAAACACTGCGTTCATTAAACACAGCGTTTTACTTGGTTTAAACACTGCGTTCATTAAACACAGCGTTTAACCTGGTTCAAACACTACGTTCATTAAACACATCGTTTAACCTGGTTTAAACACTGCGTTCATTAAACACAGCGTTTAACCTGGTTTAAACACTACGTTCATTAAACACAGCGTTTTACTTGGTTTAAACACTGCGTTCATTAAACACAGCGTATAACTCAGCGGCACAGATAGCCATGCGGTAACAAGAGTATCAAGATATGAATGTGGGTCACGGGTTCGCATTTTACCGCCGTTACGTAACACGAGACAACCGGCATCAGGGCCAGAGCGAAAGTTTTTCGTCTTGGTTTAACCAAAAACAGACCACAACTGCCCCCCCCCCCCCCACACACACACACAAACACTTCCTCCCACACAAATTCACATTAAAGAAAAGCAGCGTGGGAAATGTGTACCTCTGGATGTGGACAATTGAAGTAAAATCACCCCGGATTTTTGTAGACCTGTTTTGTCTCACTCAGCAACATTAGTTGGCAGCAGTTGCCATCCTTGCTAATACACAGACACCAGCAACATTAGTTGGCAGCAGTTACCATCCTTGCTAATACACAGACACCAGCAACATTAGTTGGCAGCAGTTACCATCCTTGCTAATACACAGACACCAGCAACATTAGTTGGCAGCAGTTACCATCCTTGCTAATACACAGACAATGATTTTTATACGGTGATTAATGATTTATTTCAGCTTTAGTTGGGTCACCGTGACAAAAGAATTGAAGAACAAAACTTCTACCGCACCTGCTACACAACCTTTGCGGTTTTATCTCTGCGGGCGGGGGAGGTGAGGATGGAGTTGAAAAGATTGGATTGAACCCCCCCCCCCCCCACCTCAGCAATGTATTCTGACTCGGTTCAAACATCGGATTAATATACCTTCTTAGCAATGTATTCTAACTCGGTTCAAACATCGGATTAATATCCAACTGGTTTTTGTTATGGCTGGCGAATGATGAGTAACAACAATGGTACTCATCAATGATGTACATCTTAAGTGTACATGTACAGTAGCATCAGTAGCTTTTTTACATTTATTTGGTACACAATTCTTGTACAGGTCATACTTTTTATTTATTCAAATTTTTGCTTGAAAACAATTGTAAAAAAATATCAAGAAATATCAAGAACAACTGGCCAAAACAGAACACACTGACACATCTACACAAACACACTGACACATCTACACAAACACACTGACACATCTACACAAACACACTGACACATCTACACAAACACACTGACACATCTACACAAACACACTGACACATCTACACAAACACAACATCACTTAGTTACCATACACGGACACCAACACAGAAACACTCACATACTCACACAGACATAGACAATATTATAAGTGGTTGTTCCAACGAAAGACATATGGGCTCTTAAAGTCATGGATTGACCTAAAAGTCATGGTTTAACTTAAAAGTCATGGGTTGACTTAAAAGTCATGGGTTGACTTAAAAGTCATGGGTTGACTTAAAAGTCATGGGTTGACTTAAAAGTCATGGTTTGTCCCAAAAGTCATAGTTTAACTTAAAAGTCATAGTTTAACTTAAAAGTCATGTTTTGACTTAAAAGTCATGGGTTGACTTAAAAGTCATGGATTGACCGACATCAGAGCGTAAGTCCGATCCTAACGCCAACAAGTTGTACACCAGACGCCCGGGGGTTGACGGTAGTCACGTGACAGGGCAGTTGTCTGGCCGCAGCTGGTGAGGGTCGGGACTAGAGAGGTCTGGCTATCCCCGGGGCTTCGGTGGTCAAAGAGTTCTGGACAGTGTCCAGAAACCCAGGAAGTTCTCCCAGGTTGGTCAGGAACGTGTGGCCGCCCTCACTGGGGAGAAAGTGAGAGAGGTCACGGGTCAGGTGCTGTTCACTTTGGTGTGCACATTGCTCATAAACTTGGTGTGTACATTTACTGTAAGCACTGAGTGCAATCACATAACTAACATTATTTTAAACATAATATGCAAATTCCACGCGTCAAATACAATATTAGAGTGTAATTTGAAACTTGTAATCAAATGTAAAGTACAAATTAAATTGCTTAGATTCTCATCGAACGTTAAACACTAATTACATTAAGAGCTAATCAAATATTTATGTAAATTGAGATTGTAGCATTAATGTGTAACAGCAGTTTAAAATCAATGCAACAATATTCTTTGTGAGTGTGCAACAGTTGGGGGGATAGTGTTTCAGTGGCGGAGTAATGTGGGGGAACCTGTGGGAACCTGGGTGTCAAACGACAGTGGCGGAGTAATGTGGGGGGAACCTGTGGGAACCTGGGTGTCAAACCACAGTGGCGGAGTAATGTGGGGGAACCTGTGGGAACCTGGGTGTCAAACCACAGTGGCGGAGTAATGTGGGGGGACCTGGGAGAACCGGGGGGGAACCTGGGTGCCACACAACAGTGGCGGAGTAACCTGGGGGAACCTGGGGGAACCTGGGAGAACCTGGGGGAACCTGGGTGCCACACAACAGTGGCGGAGTAACCTGGGGGAACCTGGGGGAACCTGGGAGAACCTGGGGGAACCTGGGTGCCACACAACAGTCTGACATACGATCGGATTAATTGTTTAATGGCAGCGGCTTTTGCTTTAAGTTTGAAGTGTGACAAAAGGGTTGCTGTCTAAAATATTTTTCAATCTTTAATACAAGATGTTTGATGACACATTGGATGGCACATTAGATGACATTAGATGTCACATTAATGACACATTAGATGACATTATATGTCACATTGAATGACACATTAGATGACACATTACATGACACATTAGATGACATTATATGTTACATTAATGACACATTAGATGACATTAGATGTCACATTGAATGACACATTAGATGACACATTAGATGACACAATAGAGCATACTTTAGATGATACTTAAGACGACCTATTAGATGACCCATATGTATCAGAATGCGGGTAACTCCAGTATTTGGCTAATGTAGCAATGGTAGATAACTCCAGTCCGTGACCACAATGTAATAAAGGGCAGATAATTCATTTAATGCCATGTTGTGACGATTATGTCAGTGCTGTGTCAAACATGTCATATCATGAGTACATCTTGTCAATTCAATGTGTTTGGTGGGCGGGGGGGGGGGGGGTAACAGGGGGGTACAGGTGGGGGTCACAGGTGGGGGGTCACAGGTGGGGGGGTCACAGGTGGGGGGTCAAAGGAGGTGTTCACAGGTGGGGGTCACAGGTGGGGTCACAGGTGGGGGTCACATGATGCCCCAATTAACTAAGCGTTCATGAATCTGTGACTCAAGTTGGTTAGCCGTATCCATTTGTCTACTGACCAGGTAACCAGTCCCCCCCCCCCCGTCCCCCCACATCGAATTATCTAGCACTTCTACTAGTTACAGTAATAAGACTGGACTTACCCTTGTACAAACTTTAAAGATTGAGGTAGATCTACACCTACCTATCCACGACAACATGAAAACGTATGTTAGGGTACGGCTAATCGATGACCATCGGATGTTGTATTTTAAATGCTAAACTATATTTCTTTTATCTTAAAATCTTAAATCCTAATCTGTATTCCTTTAAACTTAAAATCTATATTTTACTGTACTTGCAAGTCATAAATGTTATTGGCAATACAAAACGCCAATCTAGCAAGTTCAATTTTACCTATCTAAGAAACTGAATTGATTTATTTTTATTTTCGAAAAACAAAACTAAAAGTGAATGAAAGAGGACTGATACTTTAGCAGTGGATGATATAAAGGTTTATGATATAACACTGTATGATACAGGAGCTGATGATACAACGGTTGACGCCCCATGTGTTCAGCAGACGACCTGGCCTCGATGTGAATGATGTGTGAGGTGGAGCGACCCACCCCACATCAAAGACCGCTCACAAACTTTGGGACTTTTTTACTGCTCCGCGGAAAGGGCAGTTGTGCAACATGAATGGCTGTCAGCTGGGGTGGAAGGTCAAAGTTTCTGGCAGACGTCAAGACGTCAGGTCACGTGACTCTTTCAACAAGACGAGGGTGTAGTGGAACAAGTGGGTTCAGGGGGACTTGGGTACAGTGGTAAAATCTAAAGCGTTGGGGCGACAGGGCGTGACAAGTGTGACGGTAGGATGTGGCTAGGGCAGGGTATAGAGGCCGCTATAGAGGGACGTGACTGGTGTGGTATGGTGTGACTGGTGTGGTGTGGTGTGACTGGTGTGGTGTGGTGTGACTGGTGTGGCGTGGTGTGACTGGTGTGGTGTGGTGTGACTGGTGTGGTATGGGGGACGTGACTGGTGTGGTGTGGTGTGACTGGTGTGGCGTGGTGTGACTGGTGTGGTGTGGTGTGACTGGTGTGGTATGGGGGACGTGACTGGTGTGGTATGGGGGACGTGACTGGTGTGGTGTGGTATGACTGGTGTGGCGTGGTGTGACTGGTGTGGTGTGGTGTGACTGGTGTGGTATGGGGGACGTGACTGGTGTGGTATGGGGGACGTGACTGGTGTGGTGTGGTGTGACTGGTGTGGCGTGGTGTGACTGGTGTGGTGTGGTGTGACTGGTGTGGCGTGGTGTGACTGGTGTGGTGTGGTGTGACTGGTGTGGTGTGGTGTGACTGGTGTGGTGTGGTGTGACTGGTGTGGTATGGGGGACGTGACTGGTGTGGTGTGGTATGACTGGTGTGGCGTGGTGTGACTGGTGTGGTGTGGTGTGACTGGTGTGGTATGGGGGACGTGACTGGTGTGGTATGGAGGACGTGACTGGTGTGGTATGGGGGACGTGACTGGTGTGGTGTGGTGTGACTGGTGTGGCGTGGTGTGACTGGTGTGGTGTGGTGTGACTGGTGTGGCGTGGTGTGACTGGTGTGGTGTGGTGTGACTGGTGTGGTATGGGGGACGTGACTGGTGTGGTATGGGGGACGTGACTGGTGTGGTGTGGTATGACTGGTACAATGTTTTTGTTTACCTTGTGAGCAGTGAGGCCATCCTTGACTGGTGTGGCGTGGTGTGACTGGTGTGGTGTGGTGTGACTGGTGTGGTGTGACTGGTGCAATGTTTTTGTTTACCTTGTGAGTAGTGAGGCCATCCGTGAAGGGGCGTGTCCCAGGAGGATCAACAAGAGGCGCATGCTCTGTACCTGTACAGGTGCTGTTGACGACTTGAGGCAAAGTTGGACGATCTCTGGAACTGCTTGGATCTGTGGAGATATGGTCAGTTGATGACGTCATGTACTGGACTATATGGTCAGTTGATGACGTCACCTGCTGGACTATATGGTCAGTTGATGACGTCATGTGCTGCACCAAGTGGCCAGTTGATGACGTCATGTGCTAGCCCATATGGTCAGTTGATGACTTCATGTGCTGGACTATATGGTCAGTTGATGACGTCACCTGCTGGACTATATGGTCAGTTGATGACGTAATGTACTGGACTATATGGTCTGTTGATGACGTCATGTGCTGCACCAAGTGGCCAGTTGATGACGTCATGTGCTAGCCCATATGGTCACTTGATGACGTCATGTACTGAACTATATGGTCAGTTGATGACGTCATGTACTGGACTATATGGTCAGTTGATGACGTCATCTGCTGGACTATATGGTCAGCTGATGACGTCATGAACGGATAATATGGTTGGTTGATGACGTCACAAGCTGGACTTCATCAAAACCTTTTTATAATGGAATTTATGGGTGGGGGGTGAGTTTTCTTTCCTCCTCACGGGAGGAACATGACGTCATCACCGGAACCGGAAACACCTTCTCAAAGCAGTTTTTGCCGTCTGTCAACGTCAGGGGTGTGTTCCTCTACTGGCGTTATAAGGTACACAGGGGGGGGGGGTCGATCGTCAAAGTGATCAGGAGACAAGGTAGTTTGGGGGGGGGGGAGGCGAAGATCAAGTCAGTCAGAGCCTCCCACGCGTAAAGAACGTGCTGCTGTTTGATTTTGTTCTGTATAGCGTGGAGGAACAGATGTCGGACTGTTTTGCCGCGCAGCAACAAATTACTAAGATACACAGCTTGTTGGAAAACTTGACTCAGGCATTGATAATTCCTAAATTTTTTTATATACAAATATTGGTTCATATATATATATATATATATATATATATATATATATATATATATATATATATATATATATATATATATATATATTGTTGAAACTAAGCGCACTAAAAGAGACTAAATAGATGCCGTGTTTGACTTACTAAATGATTTGTATTTGACTTGTAAACAGCAAAGTTGGCCAGTGCGCGGGTCAGGTGACACAACAGCTCTGTGTTGTGGTCAGCAGTGGACAGCCTCTTGCAGCAGCTGTACAACAGCTCCTGGAGGTAGCCCTGAAATTAGGAGGGGCGGTGGGGGGGGGGGGGGGTCAAGATATAGATTAGATCAATATCTGTTAGAGTAAATTGTTTCCTGGGTTGGAAACATGAAGGCATTACTGACAGCAACAACATGTGATCTTTGACAGCTACAAAAAGGTAAACAGTTAACATATCTGGCGACAAAGTGGGAACATATCTGGCCACTTAGGGTGAACATATCTGGCCACTTAGTGTCAACATATCTGGCCACTTAGGATGAACATATCTGGCCACTTAGGATGAACATATCTGGCCACAAAGTGTGAACATATCTGGCCACTTAGGGTGAACATATCTGGCCACTTAGGGTGAACTTGCCTGTTCCTCTGATGCTATTGCCAGATTGGCCACAAGGCAGGCGGCGTTACACAGGATCTGTGGGTTGTTGGGGTTGCTGTCCAGCAGCTTAGACAACCTCCTGTCGGAGCTGGCGTCCTCCTGGTTGTGGGAACGAAACCACGCAAGGAGTTTAAAAATAGCAGTGTACAACATTTATGGGCTTGTGCAAATGTTACATATTTTTTTAAATATTGAAAAAGACATTTATAAAAACAAGCTTTTATACATGCGATAAAATGGGGGGGGGGGGGGGGGAGAATGATTTTCTTTAAATATATGCACAGCTAATTCAATAACTATAAACAGAAGCACGGGATGCTATATTATAATGGTGCATTATAATTCGATTATGTCACGGGTTGCTATATTACAATGGTGCATTATTATTCGATTCTGTCACATTGCATTGTCATCGGCTTTTCGACTTATACCTCAAGCTAGAAACAAATAGGTTTGGAAGAAGAGGTCAAAGTTGTGTTGGCAAGTTTAGAACGATGAGACAAAAGATCGACAGGGGACAAAAAATGGAAGATTGTAAAATAACGCGCTTTATCAACAATTCATGCCAAAATAACTTTTCAATGAAGCGGTGTAAGAACTATACAATTTGGTCGTGAATAAAATCATTCAAAGAAACAGCCTTGTCAAGCCTCTACAAAAATTGGAATTTAATTTAATTAATCATGTAATTTTAGCCAGAAAGTAGACAAAATCTCCCCGCTGCTCTAGACCACAAGAATGGCAGAAATGAATCAAACAGCTGCAGACGACTTCTATTCGGTTTCAGTTTGTTAGTCAGCCAAGGGAAAGAACTGAAGCAAAACAACTACATATGTGTTATCATGGTTATCTCCCCTTATGCGCTGTGAGCGAATTTTAATTTAATTGAGCATGATTTTTAATAAAACTATTTTTTTTTTTTTTTTCATGTTGCGAAGAAAAATATAATTAACTAACAATAAAAACAATATTTTAGATTACAAAAAAACCTGAATGTAAACCTACCTGAACGTAAACCTACTTGAATGTAAATATATGATCACGTAAAGTTCGTAAACCTACCTATACATAAACTTACCCGAATCAGCCTGAGCCTGTGTTGGTGTGTGCCTGTCGATAAAATGGCCAACGTTTTTAGCGCCACCTCCTGCATCTGGGGAGTAAACATGGTCGATAGGAGCATTAGTCTATAGGAGCATTAGTCTATGGGAGCATTGGTCTATGGGAGCATTGGTCTATGGGAGCATTGGTCGATGGGAGCATTGGTTTATGGGAACATAGGTCTATGGGAGCGTTGGTCTATGAGAACATTGGTCTATGGGAGCATTGGTTTATGGGAACATAGGTCTATGGGAGCGTTGGTCGATGGTTACATTGGTCGATGGGAGCGTTGGTTTATGGGAGCATTGGTCTATTGGAGCGTTGGTCTGTTTGTGAGCACGGGAGCATTGGTTTATGGGAGCATTGGTCTATGGGAGCATTGGTCTATGAGAGCATTGGTCTATGGGAGCATTGGTCTATGGGAGCATTGGTCTAATGTTGTCTGACTATCAGTCGGTTTTTGTCTGTTCATAGGGTGCCACACTGGTCTACAAAAAATGTCTGGAACAATGGTCATGCACTACCCTACAATCTGACATTCCCGCCTGACAGATCAACACGTCTGGCACCTACCTGCTCGTCTGCTGATGCGGTCAGCTGCAGCAGACGTGAAACGGCGTTGTGCTTGCTGTCGACGATGGCGGCGTGTGTGCCCAGGTGCTCGGCGATCAGGCTGAGTGTGCTGATGGACAGCAGCGCCACCGTGTCGTCCCTCGACCAGCACAGGTTCAACACCGGCTGGAGGCCCCCGTCGTCCAGGGCTGAAATAGGGGTCAGGGGTCACTGGGTTAGGACTGACTGATAGGGGTCAGGGGTCACTGGGTTAGGACTGACTGATAGGGGTCAGGGGTCACTGGGTTAGGATCAACTAATAGGGGTCAGGGGTCACTGGGTTAGGACTCACCGATAGGGGTCAGGGGTCACTGGGTTAGGACTGACTGATAGGGGTCAGGGGTGACTGGGTTAGGATCAACTAATAGGGGTCAGGGGTCACTGGGTTAGGACTGACGGATAGGGGTCAGGGGTGACTGGGTTAGGACTAACCGATACAAACAATAGACCTACGGGCATTACTGCGGCGTAGCTTCACGTTTAAGAAGAGACGCGATTTTTAGGCCGTCTCAATTTACATAATGTACAGAGAGGTCAATAACAGTACCCCTCTCACAGTTAACCCCCCCCCCCTCACCCTCGTCATTACTCCAAGGCTATTGCCCTCCTAGTGCATTGCCCTTGTTGATCACCACCCCCTCCACTCATCCTATCCATGGGAATTAGCCTCTCAAGAATACGTATTAAAATACTCTGCCTAATCCTAATCCTAGCCCTAGCATTACCATACGTTTCGGGTTAGTTTACCTTTCGTCTTTAAGTTAGGTGTTAGTTTACCTTTCGTCTTTAAGTTAGGTGTGATGTGGTTTACCTTTAGTCTTTAAGTTAGGTGTGATGTAGTTTACCTTTAGTCTTTAAGTTAGGTGTGATGTGGTTTACCTTTAGTCTTTAAGTTAGGTGTTATGTAGTTTACCTTTAGTCTTTAAGTTAGGTGTTAGTTTACCTTTAGTCTTTAAGTTAGGTGTTAGTTTACCTTTAGTCTTTAAGTTAGGTGTTAGTTTACCTTTAGTCTTTAGTGATGTAGTTTACCTTTAGTCTTTAAGTTAGGTGTGATGTGGTTTACCTTTAGTCTTTAAGTTAGGTGTTAGTTTACCTTTCATCTTTAAGTTAGGTGTTAGTTTACCTTTCGTCTTTAAGTTAGGTGTGATGTGGTTTACCTTTAGTCTTTAAGTTAGGTGTGATGTGGTTTACCTTTAGTCTTTAAGTTAGGTGTTAGTTTACCTTTCATCTTTAAGTTAGGTGTTAGTTTACCTTTCGTCTTTAAGTTAGGTGTTAGTTTACCTTTCGTCTTTAAGTTAGGTGTGATGTGGTTTACCTTTAGTCTTTAAGTTAGCTGTGATGTAGTTTACCTTTAGTCTTTAAGTTAGGTGTGATGTAGTTTACCTTTAGTCTTTAAGTTAGGTGTGATGTGGTTTACCTTTAGTCTTTAAGTTAGGTGTGATGTAGTTTACCTTTAGTCTTTAAGTTAGGTGTGATGTAGTTTACCTTTAGTCTTTAAGTTAGGTGTTAGTTTACCTTTAGTCTGTAAGTTAGGTGTGATGTAGTTTACCTTTAGTCTTTAAGTTAGGTGTGTTACAGAATATCCTGAGAGCGTTGATACAGTCTACAGCAATTTGTTGGTTCTTATCCCCCACTGTGCTCAAGATTCTGTAGAGATTTTTGTATTGAAATCAAGTTGACAAATTACTTGACGTCAGTAAAATACAAAGGTTTGAATTGTACAAACAATGACGTCATCATTCTAGCAGAAGTTAGAAGCCCGTTGGATTATGTATATATAAATTTTATAAACTAATTACCATTGGTAATTAAATCATGTTATGTTAAAAAAACGAGACACAGGCACACGGGCATGTATGGAGATGAGGTGGGGGTTACGTGCGGTGGGGGGTAGGAAGAGAACAGAGTATGGAGCGGAAAATAATTTGTTTTGATGTTTGACCTTCGCGGATATTTGACCTTCGCGGATATTTGATCTTCACGGTTATTTGACCTTCACAAATAAACGGATAAAGGAATTAAAGAGTTTAAGGGTAAATAAAAACTTCAGTAGCTTAACTAATGTTAACAGCGGTCTACGGTTAACTACTCTCTAATACTAATGTTAACAATGGGCTTATTTTAACTATGATCTACTATTGTTGACATGGATAAAATTCGTTTTGCTTTTTTTTTTATTTTGACTCCATAGCGTCCGTAAAATAATAAAAGATAAAAACGTAAGCCTAAAAATAATTTAGAAATTTAATATTTTTAGAATCAATGTTATAAAGCTGCAAATGCAGAGAACTTGAAAATCATTTTTTTTGAGTTTCAGGTTATATTTCTATTTATTTTCACCAAGCCTAAGTTATAACCGGATGTTTCACTTTTGTAAGACAAACATTGATTGGCTGTACAGTAACTCCGTGATCGATAGTTATTTGTTTACAAAACTTTGCAGATAAGTGTTTTTAAATAACATAATGCTATTTTAAATCATATGACCTAGTTCTGCCATTTCGTTTACATTTTGTATGATACAATTTATGCTAGCATATCGAATGCCATCGTTTATGTCGGTAATACAACATGAAAACCAAATTGCTATTGCCTTTTTTTTACTTTCTCGTATATACGAAGTATAGAGAAAGTCTTGTAATCGTGTCTGTGTGTGTGTGTGTGTGTGTGTCTGTGTCTGTGTGTGTGTAAACACGATAACTTGAGTACCGTTACAGCTAGGTTGATGAAATTACATATTTAAGTATTTTATCAAAATTGTAGAACCCTATCAACTTTTGAGCGATTTCCGATAACCACAAGTGGTACTTTTTCTACTTAGAATTTTTCAAAAGCCTATAACTTGAGTACTATTTCAGATAGATAAATGAAATTTCACACGTAAGTAAAAGATCTAATTCTCTACCTTCTGTCAAATTTTGAATAATTTCCGTTGACCGGAAGTGCTAATTTCCGATGTCTCAAAAAAATAAAGTACTAATAATATTGCGCACTATTATGAACATCTTTATTTGGCGTTCGCTTGGTGCGCAATTCTTTTTTCTATGAGATTCTATTCTATTTTTTTTAAATTTAAGTATTTAAAATGGATTAAAAATCATAACTATATCCTGAGTTCCCATCCCCTGTTGTTTTATATAAGAATATTCGAGAAAGTTTAGGGGAGATCACTCCCGGTTTTTTTTAAATTGTGTTTAATCACCGAAAATACTAAAACGTCAAATACATCCACTCTTTTTTAAAGTCCGAAAAAAACCAGACAGTTAGGATTTTATAACTATATTAATTATAATTACACCGTGCATTATTTTTAACAGATTTAATGGGCCTCTCGAATACCTTAGAGACGATTCTCGCTAGGGTCCATTAGCTATGGAGTCTTTACAAGCAAGACACATTTGATAGGAATATCAGAAAACAGAGCAGAGGAAATATAAGCAGACAGAGGATGTAATTGTTTTAGAAAACAAAGTGTAAGAAATGTGTAAGCAGACACCAGTCGTCCTTGACCTACTTGCAGATGGCCTTGATAGCTCCAGCCTCGGCCAAGTGTTTGTGAAGTGACGTGTGAGTGGACAGCGATTGGATGCCTGACGCCACGTGACCCTGCAGACAGTGACCTTCATTCAAACACAATGTATGATTCTTCAGGTCAGCTAAGCTCAGGGACCAAGGAGCTAACTTAAATCATGGACCAGCAGAGATAACAGCTCATTGCCAAACGGAGCTTAATTTATGCCCAAATTGAGATAGCTAAGCTCAGGGACCAAGGAGCTAAGTTAGCTGAAGGACCAACGGAGCTAGCTTAGCTGTAGGACAAGTGGGGAATTTAAGCTTAAACACTAAGCATTTATTAATTATATTGATTGTGTTAAAGTTAGAGGCTGATTGGGTTGAAATGAGAGGTTGATTGTGTTGAATTGAGATGTTGATTGTGTTGAAATGAAGTGTTGATTGTGTTGAATTGAGATGTTGATTGTGTTGAAATGAGGTTGATTGTGTTGAAGTGAGAGATTGATTGTGTTGAAATAAGATGTTGATTGTGTTGAAATGAGATGTTGATTGTGTTGAAGTGAGATGTTGATTGTGTTGAAATAAGATGATTGTGTTGAAATGAGATGTTGATTGTGTTGAATTGAGGTGTTGATTATGTTGAAATGAGGTGTTGAAACGTCCAGTACTCACCAGCACAGTAATGTTGTCTGTTGATGCCAGTACTATCAACGCCTGCATCCCACCAAGTTCAATCAACTACAACAAGTTTGTGACAAAGTCAGCCATTGATGCAAGGCAAGTTTGTGACAAATTCAGCCATTGATGCAAGGCAAGTTTAGATCATAAAAACGTAATCTTCCATCCATAACAAAGTTTTCATTATTAACTTTTTGATGTGCGTTTCTGATATTTACCTTTCTGAAGTGCGTGTCTGATATTTACCTGTTTTATATGCGTGTCTGATATTTACCTTTTTGATGTGCGTGTCTGATATTTACCTTTTTGATGTGCGTGTCTGATATTTACCTTTTTGATGTGCGTGTCTGCTATTTACCTTTTGATGTGCGTGTCTGATATTTACCTTTTTGATGTGCGTGTCTGATATTTACCTTTTTGATGTGCGTGTCTGATATTTACCTTTTTGATGTGCGTTTCTGATATTCACCTTTTTGATGTGCGTGTCTGATTTTTACCTTTTTGATGTGCGTGTCTGATATTTACCTTTTGATGTGCGTGTCTGATATTTACCTTTTTGATGTGCGTGTCTGATATTCACCTTTTTGATGTGCGTGTCTGATATTTACCTTTTTGATGTGCGTGTCTGATATTTACCTTTTTGATATGCTTGTCGTGTCTGGAGAAGGCCGCTAAACCCTTGGCCGAGTCCGTCAAATAGGCCTGTGGGGTAGTTCAGTGGGTGTGTTAGGGGCGCCGCCGGGTTATGTTGGTGGGGCGCCACCAGGTTATATTAGAGGCGTCGCTAGATTATGTTAGAAGGGCGCCGCTAGGTTACGTTAGAGGGGCGCCGCAAGGTTATGTTAAATGGGCGCCACAAGATTATATTAAAGGGCGTCGCTAGGTTACGTTAGAGGGCGCTCTAGGTTATGTTAGAGTGGCGCCGCTAGGTTGTGTTAGAGGGGCGCCGCTAGGTTATGTTAGGGAGACACTTTATGTTAGAGGGCGTCGCTAGGTAAAGTTAGAGGGGCGCCGCTAGGCGGTGTTGGAGGGAAGCTTCTATGGTGTGTTGGTGCACTGTCGCTAAGGTGTGTTGGGGGGAAGCTTCTATGATGTGTTGGTGCACTGTCGCCAAGGTGTGGTGGAGGGAAGCTTCTACGATGTGTTGGTGCACTGTCGCTAAGGTGTGTTGGGGGGAAGCTTCTATGATGTGTTGGTGCACTGTCGCCAAGGTGTGGTGGAGGGAAGCTTCTATGATGTGTTGGTGCACTGTCGCTAAGGTGTGGTGGAGGGAAGCTTCTATGATGTGTTGGTGTGTTGGAGGGAAGCTTCTATGGTGTGTTGGTGCACTGTCGTTAAGGTGTGTTGGAGGGATGCTTCTATGGTGTGTTGGTGCACTGTCGCTAAGGTGTGTTGGGGGGAAGCTTCTATGATGTGTTGGTGCACTGTCGCTAAAGTGTGTTGGAGGGAAGCTTCTATGATGTGTTGGTGCACTGCCGCTAAGGTGTGGTGGAGGGAAGCTTCTATGGTGTGTTGGTGCACTGTCGCTAAAGTGTGTTGGAGGGAAGCTTCTATGATGTGTTGGTGCACTGCCGCTAAGGTGTGGTGGAGGGAAGCTTCTATGATGTGTTGGTGCACTGTCGCTAAGGTGTGTTGGGGGGAAGCTTCTATGATGTGTTGGTGCACTGTCGCTAAGGTGTGGTGGAGGGAAGCTTCTATGGTGTGTTGGTGCACTGTCGCTAAGGTATGTTGGAGGGAAGCTTCTATGATGTGTTGGTGCACTGCCGCTAAGGTGTGGTGGAGGGAAGCTTCTATGATGTGTTGGTGCACTGTCGCTAAAGTGTGTTGGAGCAAGTTGTATGAGTTCTCAATATGGCTCAGAATATGTAACCAACATTATCGATTTAAGGAAAGGCATGTCTATAATAATGGGGAGGAGGGGGGGGGGGGTTGAACCAAGGGATTCGGCTGCTAATTTTGACTATTAGAATAGAGCATCAGCCTTCCCTCCCCTCCTAAGGTCTAATTAACTTTCGATAGGTAATAATGTAGGGTGTGTAAGGATGTCAGTGCATCAAGCGATGTGGGTTTAGGAGATGAATTGATTGTCTGAATGTTTGATGATATTGATTAGACTAATCTATCCTGCTGCCTAGCCATGGTGGGTTGCTGAAAGGGGGGGGGTGGTCTTCTGTAAGGGGGGGGGTGTGGGATTCTGTAGGGGTGGGTGGGGTGCTGTGGCGGTGGGTGGGGGTGTTGTAGAGGCCGGGGTACTTGTAGGGGTGGTTGATAAAACTGTATTGACAGGTCAGTGTTTACATTGGATACCAACCCTCTGACAGCAACTGAGTACAATCCACCCACCCCTATCCTACTCCCCTCTCCCCTCCCCTCACCCCCACCCCACGTCTCATCCAACACCTGGATACAACTTCCGTCTAACATTGTTAACCACAAACTCAATCTCTGGACACGAGATTAATGCGAGTATATCGTCTGCTAATCCCGCCTGCTTATCTCACAACGAAGGTGAAGTCCACCAGTGGACGGCGCTGTGTTCTAATCAAGCTTAAGTAATGTAGGATTAGGGCAGTCAATGGGAGATAATCCATATATATAGAGCTCGCTTCTTATTCTCTCGCACGACACGGTTCGCACGCTGTTTATTTATTTACATTCATATATATATATATATATATATATATATATATATATATATATATATATATATATATATATATATATATAAGAAATCCCAGCCCACAATGTTTACTTACGTAAAACACGATTGGGTTTGATGTGAGTTGAGCTTACCTTAATGGATGACCTTGACTTTGTGACCAGCTCCGTGACAGTCTTACATGACTCACACACCCTCTCCGCCTCTTCGATGCCCAGCTGGGGCAGGGGGACCTGGGTGGGGGGGAGGTACAATATTATCTCGATAATCTCATTACAGTAGATTGCTGTGGTGGGTTGGAGGAGGAGAGATTAACACCAAAGTCCAAAGTTAACAGTCGTATGACCTTTCACCCCAAAACAAAGTTTACCTTCTCGTTGCAGCACTTTGCGCACCGCACGGCACCGCACATGCGGCAGTGATGACGTCGTTTGAGTTGCGTAAATCTGGTGGAGCAGAGCTCACAGTAGCTGGAGCTTTCATCGGGGACCCAGCTGTAAGGAGGGGGTGGGGGTGGGGTCAGATTGTCAGACACGGTGGGGATTTTTTTTAAAGATAGTCAGACTGTGACACACAATAGGGCTTGGTGCAGGACAAAAGAACTCGGCCTTATTTCCTGTCGGCTTTTTGTCTTGTCGGCCTTTTGGATGCCGGCCTTTTAGATATCGGCCTTTTAGATATCGGCCTTATTTCATGTCGGCCTTTTGTCTTATCGGCCTTTTGTCAGTGTCGGTTTTTTTTTCCATGTCGGTTTTTTGTCCGGATTTCGATTGGGCTTTTATTACCACCATAAATTACAGAAATGCTGATTTTACTATCTTGTGCCCTACAACTATACCTAACCCCAAACCAATCCCTAACCCTAACCATGATCGTTTTACCATTACATGAGAACCATTGAAAGGGGTTCAGAAGACGCACAAAAAACAGGTGTGGTTCGGTACGTCCAAAAAGATTATGAACTACTGTCTTAGAGTCTTGCTACTGCATCATCATAACACCCCTGCCGTTAAATGTCTCCTGTCATAATGCATGCTAGGACAGTTAGGCCACGTCCGGCTAGAAGTGAGCGCCTCTTTGGGAGGAGCATGTTGCTATATATAGACACATCTGAGCAGAAAGGAAGATGTTACCTGGGTTTGACTAAGGTGAAATAAGGGCACTGGAAGACGTCAGGTGGGCCATCAACTTTTGCAGGTAAGATAAGGCTCCCCTCCACCTTAATGTATTCCATCACAGGAGACGTCATAGCATGCTTGTCAGTCTACCTGTCATAGATCCTGTTTTAGCGGAGAACAAAGGGAGGTAATACATGACCCTTGTTGTCATAATGCTGTGGCCCATGTTGTCATAATACTGTGGCCCATTGTGTTATAATACAGTGGCCCATGTTGTCATAATACAGTGGCCCTTGTTGTCATAATACTGTGGCACCTTATTAATGCCATCGATCTTGAATCTGATGCCTAAATCATCTGAAGCCCATATAATTTGACACTATAGAAACTGATGCCTAAATCATCTGAAGCCCATATAATTTGACACTATAGAAACTGATGCCTAAATCATCTGAAGCCCATATAATTTGACACTATAGAAACTGATGCCTAAATCATCTGAAGCCCATATAATTTGACACTATAGAAACTGATGCCTAAATCATCTGAAGCCCATATAATTTGACACTATAGAAACTGATGCCTAAATCATCTGAAGCCCATATAATTTGACACTATAGAAACTGATGCCTAAATCATCTGAAGCCCATATAATTTGACACTATAGAAACTGATCCTTAAATCATCTGAAGCCCATATAATATGACACCTATAGAAACTGGTGTCCCTATTTAATCAGCTGAAGCCCATATTTAATACCATTACAACGTTTGCAAAAGCCAAACTTGGCATAGTATCACACATAAGGAAATATCACTAAATGAAATTTTGAATACTATTGTATTGAATTTGTGTAGTCTAATCATTGGAAGAAACTGGCCCAATGATGATTGTTGTACGCTACGATCCCACACGTTACAAATCTCACACGATCACACTACACAGGTGTGTTTCACACAGGTAGGCAGGTACTCACCTGAAAAACACCTGCATTCGGTGAACTGATTTCATCCGTTGTTTAGTGGAACTGATCCACACCCATACACATGTCAACACACACACACACACCCATACAACGCATACACACAGCCATACACATGTCAACACACACATCCATACACATATCAACACACACACACACATATCCGTACACATATCAACACACATATCCATACAGATGTCAACACACACACCCATACAACACACACACAGCCATACACATGTCAACACACACATCCATACACATATCAACACACACATCCATATGCATGTCGACACACACACACACCCATACACATGTCAACACACACACACACCCACACATGTGTAAACAAACACATGCCATAATACCGTGGAACTAATCTGTAGCAATTTAGACATGTAATGTATTTGTTGGTATATATATATATATATATATATATATATATATATATATATATATATATATATATATATATATATATATATAGGCTATATATAATACATTAATAAAATCAACATGTAAAATTACAATTTGAAAATTAAATTACCTTTATATCAAAACTGTCGGCAAAACGACTAACTCGCCAATGCGGTGAAGGAAATTAAATTTATCCAAAGAGTGAAATCAACGATTCAATTAAATATATAAGAGAACCAGACACGGCAACACGCACCGTCAATAGTACACACCACAACCCAACACACGACGGGGGCGTTTCTTTGGCGTTGGTTGTTTCCCTTGGATCTTCTATTTATAGCTGCACGTACCAAGCGGAGAGCGCAGTTTTTATTTAACAACCCATTGCACATTTCTCATTAGAGGCTCTACATACACAGATAACAATCGATAAAAAAATTATCTCTCACGGTCCAGAGTTTATCTTTCATTATTACTTACCAACGTTTTATTGAACAACAATTTAATCCATCAAACATGTTTACATGATAATAGTGGTGTATAGGTAAAATAGTCCTAAATTAAGTGATTAGACTATCTGATTATTGATGTGGTCTGTATTGATGGATGTCCATTTATATATATATATATATATATATATATATATATATATATATATATATATATATATATATATATATATATACATATATATATATATATATATATATATATATATATATATATATATATACATATATATATATATACATATATATATATATATATATATATATATATATATATATATATATATATATATATATATATATATATATATATATATATATATATATATATATATATGTCGGTTCTCCCGTCTATTAAACACAATTAACACACACGACTGAGAACCAACAAACACATCATTTAAAACCTCTCTCTTTATTGTATCTTTTGAAAGATAACTGATCAACACTTCAAATATTTCTAAAATTTGTACACATTTCTTCTATGACGTGTATAATAAACGCAGATTTTTTAAGATAGTTTAACTATTTTTACAAGCTTTTATTTAGTCAGTCAATCTATCTGTCTGTCTGTCATTGATCGAAACGCCCGAGCGAAATTGCAGGCACTTTTAACTGACAGATATGGTTCGTAATTGGTACGAGGGTCAAGACATGAAGACAATGCATCATGATATTCAATTTGACTTAATTGGTCGCCTGATTAATTTTTTATGAACTAATTAAAATTTTGACCAAATTAGTAGACAGTTCTATCCACACGAGTCATCACGACAAAAGCGCGTCATCACGTTCAATAGCTGCGCAATGGTTTTTAGTCATGTAACTCTATTGTAAATAAAAACATGTAAAGTACTAAAAAAAAATTCAGAAAAAAACGTTTTAATAACAAGCTTTTATGTAATAATGCACTAAAAAGTAGAAAATACAAAAATTCATTAAAACCGTTTTAATTACAAGCTTTTATGTAATAATGCACTAAAAAGTAGAAAATAAATTATACACTACTATTTAAATAACTATAAAGAAAAGCGTGGGTCTCTTCCCAAATATTAGCAAAGGTATCCAATAGGTACTAAAGTGACCCACGCTTTTCTTTATATTTATTTAAATAGTAGTGTATAATTTATTTTCTACTTTTTAGTGCATTATTACATAAAAGCTTGTTATTAAAACGTTTTTATATGAATTTTTTATTTTAATCATCGTTGTCCTCATCGCCTCCATTGACGTGAATCGAGCCGTTTAGTGCGAAGTTTTCGACAGTCTCAGCTTCAACGCTGACAGCCGGGCCTTTCACAGACAAATTTTTTAAATGTGGAGCCTGAATAACTACAGACAGATTGTATACTGGATTGATAATCACCTGGTTATTATGGTACCTGTTGCCTCCTGCAACAACAGGAGCTGTGTGGTTTGGGTCAAGATAGGTCGCGACCTCTGAACTCCCGTAGTGCTTTGCTTCCATAAATGCATTGCGGCCTTCGATGTTGACTTTAGTGACGTCGGCACCAAGTTGTATTAATTTCTGAACGGCTGCCACATTGTTGGCCCTGGCTGCGACCATCAGAGGGTCTGTGCCAGATTCGTCTGTAAAGTTGACGTTGGCACCGGATGTGATTAAAGTGTCCGCGATTGTGTTGTGACCTTGACCTACTGCCAGCATGAGAGACCTGGAGATGTCCGTGGCACTGTGTTGCAGCAGACATTCGACCGCCTGGTGCCGCCCACTGAACGACGCCGCACCCAATGCACTCCAGCCGTCCGGAGAAACATAGTTGACGTCTGCGTGAGACTGAAGCAGCAGATTCAGAGTTTGGAGAGCGCCAGGCGCGTTACTCAATGACGCCATCATGAGAACTGACACCCCCTTAGTGCTGTGAAGGTTGACGTCAGCGTTACGCTTGACCAGCTGTTGAACAACGTTTGCCTTGCCTTGCTTCGATGCATAATGTAAGGCCGTCCAACCGTTACCATCCTGCTGGTTTACGTTAATGTCCCTTTGTTTCAACAAAGTTTCCGCTATAGCTTCATGGCCAGCATACGCTGCATACATCAAGGCCGTGTTGCCTTCATCGTTAGCTACATTGACACCGTATCCATATTTCAGCAGCAGCTTCACACATTCCGTGCGACCGTTTTGGGAGGCTATAAATAGAGCCTCTTTGTTGATACTATCGCAATTTTTCAGCAAAAGTTCTAGAATTTTCCCATGACCTTCGCACGAAGCGTACATTAATGCGTCCCATCCTTGGCGGCTCACGAGCTTGACATCAGCTTTTTCATTAAGTAGCAGACGCACAGTGTCGTAATATCCTCGATCCGATGCTTTCATCAAGGCAGTGACGCCTTCGCTGTTTGCCAGATTAACATTCGCGCCAGCCCTTATGAGCATGCGCACAAGACTGGCGGAACCCGATCTGGCAGCGAAGTAAAGTGCTGTGGTGCCATCTCCGACATGCGCCTGGTCTACGTCAGCTTGACACTGCAGGAGAAGCTCTACAACCTCAAGGTCCACGTTGTGCACTGCAAACAGCAATGCGCTTTGTCCTTTTCTGTTAGTCCAGTTGACGTCTGCTCCAGCCTGCAAGAGAAGCCGGACGACAGCTACGTTGGCGTTTTTTACAGCAACCAACAGGGGCGTCCATCCATTGTCTTCAGCGTTCACATCATCTCCCCTGTCCAGTAGTCTCTGTACAGCTGTGACGTCGTTGTTCAATGCAGCTTTCGTCAAATCGGTTTTAAGTTTTGACGCCATCTTAATCTTAGTGCTGGTTCTTTTGGGCAGGAGAAACGGTAGTGCCGGTACCTTGGATTGTGATTAGGGGATATTGAAAACACGTCGAAGGATTTTATAGAGATGTACGTCACGACTCGTTAGCTAAAAGTAATAAAAAACTTTTTCAGACTTGATACGAAGACAAGTAAGCTAAGGTGTTAGGTCCTGGATAGTTAGGTACAGGTAGGTGTTAGGTCCTGGACAGGTAGGTACAGGTAGGTGTTAGGTCCTGGACAGTTGGATACAGGTAGGTGTTAGGTCCTGGACAGGTTGGATACAGGTAGGTGTTAGGTCCTAGACAGTTGGATACAGGTAGGTGTTAGGTCCTGGACAGGTTGGACACAGGTAGGTGTTAGGTCCTGGACAGGTGGGTACATGTAGGTGTTAGGTCCTGGACAGGTATGTACAGGTAGGTGTTAGGTCCTGGACAGGTTGGATACAGGTAGGTGTTAGGTTCTGGACATGTAAGTACAGGTAGGTGTTAGGTCCTGGACATGTAAGTACAGGTAGGTGTTAGGTCCTGGACAGGTGGGTACAGTAGGTGTTAGGTTCTGGACAGGTTGGATACAGGTAGGTGTTAGGTTCTGGACATGTAAGTACAGGTAGGTGTTAGGTCCTGGACATGTAAGTACAGGTAGGTGTTAGGTCCTGGACAGGTGGGTACAGTAGGTGTTAGGTCCTGGACAGGTGGATACAGGTAGGTGTTAGGTCCTGGACAGGTGGGCACATGTAGGTGTTAGGTCCTGGACAGGTTGGATACAGGTAGGTGTTAGGTTCTGGACAGGTGGGTACAGGTAGGTGTTAGGTCCTGGACATGTAAGTACAGGTAGGTGTTAGGCCCTAGACAGTTGGGTACAGTAGGTGTTAGGTCCTGGACAGGTGGATACAGGTAGGTGTTAGGTCCTGGACAGGTTGGATACAGGTAGGTGTTAGGTCCTAGACAGGTGGGTACAGGTAGGTGTTAGGTCCTAGACAGGTGGGTACAGGTAGGTGTTAGGTCCTGGACAGGTATGTACAGGTAGGTGTTAGGTCCTAGACAGTTGGGTACAGTAGTTGTTAGGTCGTGAACAGGTGGGTACAGGTAGGTGTTAGGTCCTGGACAGGTGGGGACAGGTAGTTGTTAGGTCGTGAACAGGTGGGTACAGGTAGGTGTTAGGTCCTGGACAGGTTGGATACATGTAGGTGTTAGGTCCTGGACAGGTATGTACGGGTAGGTGTTAGGTCCTGGACAGGTGGGTACAGGTAGGTGTTAGGTTCTGGACAGGTTAGACACAGGTAGGTGTTAGGTCCTGGACAGGTTGGATACAGGTAGGTGTTAGGTCCTAGACAGTTGAGTACAGTAGTTGTTAGGTCGTGAACAGGTGGGTTACAGGTAGGTGTTAGGTCCTAGACAGTTGGGTACAGTAGGTGTTAGGTCGTGAACAGGTGGGTACAGGTAGGTGTTAGGTCCTGGACAGGTCTGTACAGGTAGGCGTTAGGTCCTGTACAGGTGGGTACAGGTAGGTGTTAGGTCCTGGACATGTAGGTACAGGTAGGTGTTAGGTCCTGGACAGGTCTGTACAGGTAGGTGTTAGGTTCTGGACAGGTTGGATACAGGTAGGTGTTAGGTCCTAGACAGTTGGGTACAGTAGTTGTTAGGTCGTGAACAGGTGGTTTACAGGTAGATGTTAGGTCCTGGACAGGTGGGTACAGGTAGGTGTTAGGTCCTAGACAGTTGGGTACAGTAGTTGTTAGGTCGTGAACAGGTGGGTACAGGTGGGTGTTAGGTCCTGGACAGGTGGGTACAGGTAGGTGTTAGGTCCTAGACAGTTGGGTACAGTAGTTGTTAGGTCGTGAACAGGTGGATACAGGTAGGTGTTAGGTCCTGGACAGGTCTGTACAGGTAGGTGTTAGGTCCTGGACAGGTTGGACACAGGTAGGTGTTAGGTCCTGGACAGTTGGGTACAGTAGTTGTTAGGTCCTGGACAGGTTGGATACAGGTAGGTGTTAGGTCCTGGACAGGTTGGACACAGGTAGGTGTTAGGTCCTGGACAGCTGGGTACAGTAGTTGTTAGGTCCTGAACAGGTTGGATACATGTAGATGTTAGGTTCTGGACAGGTTGGACACAGGTAGGTGTTAGGTCCTGGACAGGTTGGACACAGGTAGGTGTTAGGTCCTGGACAGGTTGGACACAGGTAGGTGTTAGGTCCTAGACAGTTGGGTACAGTAGTTGTTAGGTCGTGAACAGGTGGGTTACAGGTAGGTGCAGAGGCGTAGCGACCCTTCCCGGCGCCCGGGGACATACTTCCAATTTGGCGCCCCCTCGAGAGCAAATTTTCGATTTGCACCCCCCCCTCGAACTTTTCATTTGCACCCCCCCCCTCAAACTTTCAATTTGGCGCCCCCCCTAAGGTCGGCGCCCGGGGACATATGTCGTCCCCCCCCCGCCCCCCCCCCCTCGCTACGCTACTGGGTAGGTGTTAGGTCCTAGACAGTTGGGTACAGTAGATGTTAGATCTTGGACAGTTGGGTACAGTAGATGTTAGGTCCTGGACAGTTGGGTACAGTATGTGTTAGGTCCTGGACAGTTGGGTACAGTAGGTGTTAGGTCTTGGACTGGACGGGCGTGTTGGTGTTAGGGTATCAGTGATAACGATTGTAACCTTCATCGTGAATTGAGATAAACAATCCATTCACATGAAGGTTTAGAGATAAACATTACATTTACATGAAGGTTTTAATTTTTTTTTCTTAAATAGGAATCATAGTTAATGCTTATAAAAATAATAGTTAAAAATTGAACATTTAATTCATATCGAAAATAGAATTATCGTAATCGAGTTGAATGAATTATCTTTAAAAATATTAAGGTAGACACACATTACGTTAAAATAATAATAATAATTGTTGTTATGTTAATAGTTACGTACCAATAGACCAAACCTTTATAATATATTATTTAAATTGTAGAAAAGTGTTTTCCAACCACCTCAAAGATGTATACAAGTATACATTTAAAATTCTTGGGAAATTTTTTCAAAGGGGATTTCCCGATCTTACTGAGTATTCCCAATAATAAATACGAAAAATATGGGGGGGGGGGGAGGGAGGAAGTCCGTGTCCGTAATTTTGTGTCGGTATGTGAGGAGGGGGGTGTTTCAGAGTTTCTTCCAGGCATCTCTTCGGGGGGGGGGGGGGGGGGGGGGGGCTTAAAATTCTACCGCCCCCCCCCCCCCCGAACGAAATTTATATAATTTATATAGAAAATATATACTTTTAACAGTGTCCGCCCCCCCCCCCGAAGAAAGCCTACCAAATTTCAAGTGCCCCCCCCCCCCCCGGAGAAAAAAAGTCTGGAAGAAACACTGGTGTGTTTTAGTCGTCATTTCGCGTTTTAGAAAACTTTTAATAAATTGTGATTTATAGGGTTTAAAATACTCTATGTTGACAGTTCAGACAGGATTTTAAAAAAATATCGTATTATAAGAAATTCAACTGCAATTTTGAGGGGGGGGGGGGGGTAGGCTGAGGTGTGACGTCATTTTAGGGGTGGGGGGGTTCAGATTTTTTTGTGACGATGTGTGACAGAGGAGAGGGTGTAATACTCGTCAAAAAAACGTGACGTCATTAATGGGTGACCCCTAAGTAACCAAAAGAAAAGAAAATCGACGCCTAACTAAGGACTATTTTTATCTCTGCTGGAGGAAAAAAAAAAACAACCTTCGCATAATCATTATTCCGTAACCTGGGTGTCAAAGTCAATAATCTAAGGACAAAACTGTACGAGTAGGTCGGAGCAGACAGCACTGCTCAGAGCTATAGATGCTGCTGTATTTGTCCTGTTAGCGATTTTATTTTTTTAATTTATGTCTCTATTAGTATTACCAATACTTTATAACAAGTTCACCCCTCCACCCCACTATGCTTCGGGAGAAACAAGTACAAATCGTACTTTTTTACGTTTTAAACCTCCCTGATTCGGAAAGTTTTGTAATTGTGTGTCTGAACAAGATAATTTGAGTACCGTTATAGCTAGGTGGATATTTCACATGTATTATATCAATCTTGTATCTCCTGTCCACGATTCCGGTAACCATACCTATGGTTTTTCAAAATTTCACTTAAGTCTAATGATCTGCCTTCATTCCTATTTTAAGTAAAGTAAGCGCAATTCCTATTTCTCAAAAACAAATGGAGAAAGTACTAATATTTCGCAGAATTATACATTTTTAAAGAACTTAAAATGGTCTATAGGTAGTATATCCCAACTTGCCATTCCCATAGTGCTATTTTAAACTATTGACTAAATTCTGAAACTTATATTTGCTGCACTTTTAGATGTGTCAGACAAATTAACAGAAAAGGCTTCAAACATGGACATCTATGAAATGCATCATTCAGAATGAGATATCCATTTTAACAGGCAGGAACAAAGCAGAAACCAATTCCATAAAGCCTTACAAACACTAAAAAAAAAAACATTCACAGAAAAACAAAACAAAATATTAACAAAACAAAATAAAGAAGTTCAAGTTTTATTCATGCTAATGATAATTAAGCAGAAACAGCCTCTTTATCCTTCAGCATAAGTTCCTTTTTAAGAGGACCCATGAAAGTACGCTTCTCCTCTGCAGTCTGGAAGCGACCATGTCCCCACTTGCTAGAAGTATCAATGAACTTGAGGGTAATTTTCTCCATAAGACGGCGGCGGAAGCTAGTCATCAATGACTGGAAATTGAAAAAATAAAATGTGAATCAACTGCGCAATCAACACTTTTAAAATGATTTTCTAAATGTGCAAGTTACACTAACAAACTGCCGTACCTTTCTAAGGGTGATAACCCTTTTACGAGGCCCTACAACACAGCCACGAATCATGAGGTAGTCATTTCTAACATCACCATAGTGAGGGAAGCCACCAAGGGGGGTGATGGTCTTTTCAGTTGGGTCAAATTCAGTGGCAGCATTGTTCTTAATGACCTTGCCATCCTTAGTGTGAATACCAGCACCAATACGATAGATCTGAAAATAAAGATGCAACAGGTAATAACTAGTGTAAAATCAGTAGCAAGACAATGACTTATTTCAAAAATCAAGTTACCTTCTTGTTAATCTCAGTACGATGATGGTAACCTTTCTGACCAGCCCTAGCCACTGAGTACTGGACTCTACTAGGATGCCAAGCTCCAATACAGGCAACTTTACGCAGACCTTTGTGAGTCTTCCTGGGAAGCTTCTTTGTGTGCCAACGGGATGTAACACCTATAGCAAAAACCATTAGTTAGCATATATAATTGAAACATAGCATGCAGTGTTTAAGTATTACAGACTGAATATCAGAAGGAAGGCAACATGGTGAAAATCTTCAATAGTTCTCAGAGCATTTCTGGCGAGAAATGCTGATCCATGTTCATCATATATTCTTGAACAAATGACAAGTTGTTAGCAGGTTTAAGTACCTTTAACACCACGGCCCTTGGTAACTCCAATGCAGTCGATGAGTTCATCCTGATGAAAGACAGACCCCACTTCAATAGGCTTTTCAAAATGCTTAACAGCCCAATCTACTTTCTGAGAAACACTGCCTCCATTTAGCTGGATCTCCATCAGGTGAGCCTTCTTTTGACGCTTGCGAAGCAATTTGGTCTGATTAAAACGAAAGAAGAAAGTATGTTATTTCCAGAACATAAAATGATAGGGGAAAAAAAAAATTATAGACAAAAGAGGCTTACCTGAGTATGGGCCAAAATACGAACAACTTTGCAGTATTTCTTGATTTTCTTCAAATCAGTGTCAATCTCTTTCTTGCCTGTTTCATCAGCCCATTTTTTGGCATACTGAGTGAAAGCCTTCTTTTTAGAGCTGGACCTGTTTGATTTGTAATGACACAGTTGTATTATTTGCTTTCATCTATATTAAGCCTATTATAGTTCAGCCCAAGAAAAATTGTATGCACAAGTGGAACAACAGCCATAGCGTTACGATTTCCTACCTTGTACCACATTTTTTTCACCATCAAATGGGTGCTAGGACTTATTCCCAACAGCATGATAACCAAACAGCATATCTAAAATTTAAATCTCATCATGACTGGCATAGCAGTCATGAGCGGAGATTAGTCCTGAATATCTGTACCATTATGCTCATCAGCAAAGATGTGACCATAAGTGGACACTCAATAGCTGAGAGGAGCAAAGGAGTGTGATGTTACAGGATTGACAAAAAGAACAATTTAATTAGTAACAAGATAAAAGTTTAACATCACTACAAAGGCCTACATAACCATACTTCAATAGCAATTTATTTTTACCAGTTTTTATAAAATCGACGTCTGCACTCTTCACTTAGATGTTCAGCAAAGACAGTTCTGAATGTACGAAGTCCAGTTGGGGTTTCAATGTAACCAACAACTCCAACGCAGACCATTGGGGGAGCTTCAATGATGGTTACTGCCTCAACGACCTCTTTCTTGTTGGTCTCTAAAAAGAAATTGTCAGTTTAATAACTCTCAAACTTGGTAACAATGGAAGACCCACAAGTTAAGGCAAGTTAAGCGGAAACTACAGAATGGCGTTAAAAAATCCTTACTTGATCCAGGACGGTCAACCTCACGAACAATGTGGGTCATGCCAGCTTTATAGCCAATAAAGGCTGTTAGGTGAACGGGCTTAGTCTTGTCATCCTTGGGGAAAGCCTTTACCTTTCCCCTGTGACGAGTACTTCTTTTCTTGGGAAGAAATCCCTTAGAACCGTGTCTCGGTGCAGAAAACTTTCTATGAGACTAATAAGAAAAACTAAATTAACACACAAAATAAAAAGTGCATGATGGTGATAGATGTGTAAAGCAGTCTTTTTGATTAAGTATGATAAGTTAAGAACATTATTAATAAGGGATGACTATGGATAGGTGTAGCAAAGTAAGAGAGACTCAGAGCACGTCTTACCATCTTGATGCCGAACGTGGAAAAGGAACAGGAAACGTAAATGAGGCCAGATCAACTTTTAGAATAACTCGGGGATTTGTGGCCAAAACAGTTATCTTTCTAGCCTTTTTATTTTTAAGCAAGAGCCAGTCTCTCCGTTGTGACATTTAGGCTAACTAAATTTAATCGTCTCAAGGTTTTCATCATATTATCAAAACATCGCATAATACACAATTAATCGAGGCACTCAACTACAAATTTTAATCGAGCAGTGTCAAAATATTTCGAAAAGACCAAAATCCTTTTGCATACAATTCCAATAATTTTCAGCCCATTCGTTCGTGTTTTTTTTTTTTTTTTTTTTTTTTTTAAATAATATAGATCTAGGCCTATGATATAATTAATCAGTGGCGTAGCGAGGTCGGGTGTCACCCGGTGTGGCACTTAATGGTGTCACCCCCCAGAGGCGTAGCGACCCTTCCCGGGGACAAACTTTCAAATTTTTGATTTGCATCCCCCCCCCTCAAACTTTCCACCCCTCCCGCCCTTTTTTTCTCTATATATTTTGCTATTTTCTTGCCTTGGTGTCACCCACCCCCTAAAAGGTGTCACCCGGTGCGGTCCGCACCCCCCCCCCCCGCTCCCCCCTCGCTACGCCCCTATAATAAATTAACTTTTTACAAGCTTTTATTTAACGTGCGTCCTCTGTCTTTTGTTGTCCGCCTTGGATCGAAACTGGCGAGCGAAATTTTGACCACTTCTAACCAACCAATTTTACTTAAACTTGGCACGTCGCTCAAGACAACAAGTTTGACTTAATAGATGCTTAATTAAGTTTTAAAGAATTAATTAAAATTTCCTACATAAAGTATACTATGTACCGCGCTATCGACATACGCACATTTTCGTCTCCATTATATGTGCGCAATTGTATTTAGTCATGGAACTCTATTGTTTTAAAATGTTTGAAGTTCTGAAAGAAAAGCGAGGGTTGCTATGTTATGTATTGATAACCTTTACTAGAATTTAAGAAGCGACACACGCTTTTCTTTTTAGTTTTTTGAATAATAGTTTGATTATTAGATCTATATGTTTTTTTTTTAAATCTTTTTTTCTTCTCATTTTTAGTGCGAATTTATATAATAGCTTGTTATTAAACGTTTTTTTATGGATTTTTTAAAAAGTGTAGCCTCCCCGGAAGATTATTTTAAAACTAGTTTTAAATACCGTACACGCAACTTAATTTTATTTAGTTAAATGTATTATAGATTTTTTTTAACCAGTAAAGAGTAGCATACCACGTACTTTCTGAATAAAATAATATTTGTTCACGCGAAATTTGTTGATCTTTGCTTTTTACAAACTTTTATTTAACTTGCTTCCTCTGTCTGTCGTCAGTCATCAGTCTGTCTAGATCGAAACGCCCGAGCGAAATATCGGACACCTCTAACTGACAGATTCGTTTCAACATCGGTACTTGGGTAAAGACACGAAGACAATGCAATCTGACATTAATTTTGACATAAAAGCTTGTCATTAAAACGTTTTTAAAGATTTTTTTTCACTTGGTTTTCCTCAACCCTGCTTTTCCACTCAGGTCGTTATTTTTAAAATAAACCTGCCCAAGTTTTATTTTTTTCCTCTCATTCAGAATGTTTGGGATAACAATTATAGGTAATCGTCATTAAATGGCGGTGAGATTTTTCCTCGAACTGTTAAACAAGCTAATCCGGTTACTCTTGTCTCATACTTTGCTTGAATATCAAAGCTCTTACCACCACAATCTCGTATGTCGGGGCATTCGTATGTCGAGGTTCCACTGTAGAAGGGTATTTAATACATAATATATCGACGTACGCTTTTCTTTTAAATTAAAAGCTTGTAACTTGCTTTCGCGTTCTTCGTTCTTACTTGGTCGTAATTACTGCCGGTCAAAAATTCCGCCACTTCTGTACGAATTCTTTCAAAATAGGCACATCGAGACCCAATAAAAATGCAAAAACGGCATAAATTTCGACTTATAATTTACCGCTCACTTAATTTGTTTTATTCTAGCAGAATGTGCACGTCAACTATTATCTGCCTATTCTGCACCCCCCTCCAAGTGCTAGACTTACGTACAGAGGCGTAGCGAGGGGGTGGGGGTACATATGTCCCGGGCGCCGACCTTACGGGGCGCCAAAATGGGTTGGAAAAAACAAATTAAAATATCATTTTAGCTTCAGTTTTGCAAATTAAATATAAAAAATATATGGTGGGGGTGCAAATTGAAAGTTTGAGGGGGGGGGGGGGGTACAAATTAAAAATTGGAAGGTTGTTCCCGAGGGGGTTGCCAAATTGAAAGTTTGTCCCCGGGCGCCGGGAAGGGTCGCTAAGCCTCTGCTTACATATACGGATTTTTACTTTCTTGATGACAAAAGTCAGACATACCCAAAAGGTCGACAAGACAAAGATAAACACACAAGATAAACATATAACACGTTTGGATAAAACATAATTTATTATATAATTTAAACTAAACTGTTGTTTTCAAATAAAAAAAGTGAATATCAACTTTAAGCAACTGTATACGGAGAGATGTTGTGGCCTTTGTAGATGATATGTAACCTTACACATTGGGGTAGGAGGTGTGTAAACATAAATCAATCATTTTGGAAAATTTTAGATTGGATTTCATTTCTATGCTTAATAATTTATCAAATACATTCGACCTTCTTTTAAATTTTAAGTTTTGATATTATGTGAGATCTTGTACATATGAGGTAAGGGGGGGGGGGATTAAAATCTCGTGAAATCATTTATGGATGACTGTTAAGTTTTTTATGGCTCTTTATTTTCAATGTAGATCTAGGTATAAAGTATAAACTATTGTAAATAATGAAGAAAAAAAGCAACCGCTTTTTACTAATATAATAATAGTTTTCAGTTGATTAATATTTTAGTTATAGTTTTCGGTATATAAACTTTCCTAAACAAGACTGCTGTGAGCTAAGGCATATAACTGACCTTGGATTAGACATAAACAAGAAATGGGGCACGAAGAAGAAGAGCATCATTCAGCATCACCCCAAAATAGTGGAAATTTCAAGTTTCAGAATGTTGCAATGGCTTTATTTAAAGTTTTCGACGGGCCAGTGACTTTTGTACGAGGTAAAACTGGGTATTGGTAAATTGGGAGACGAGAAACGCGAAAGGCGAGAAGAAAATTCGAGACATCTCATACCAGCTCACGCAGCTGAATCGCTTGTAAAATGTAGATCTAGTACCTAGTCCTCTAGTAAATAATAAAAATGGTAAAACTCCATTTTAGCGTATTTTATTCCGCGCTTCACGTTCACCTCCAGTTGAGCATATTTTATTATAAACACAACCGAAACACACAAAAACGTCAGGAAAACACTAGATCTACTTATTTTTTTCAATGAATGTGATTTTTAATTAGAAAAGATAAAAAAACCAACATAAAAAGCATTAGAACTGTTCCAATTAAATATCGAATCTCGTATAATCGTCAGCGGGAGAAAAATCCTTACACGGTCGCGGGTTCACCGTGAGTTCACATTGACATTGAATTATCAGCATACGTCATAGCTCGGGCAATAGCTATTTGAAATTGTGTTGGCCTCAGTTTTGGGATCATTGTAAGTTCATTAATGTTTATTTATAGTATCATGCCTGGGAGATACTTGTAACAATACAAACTTAACCGCCTTGCAATTGTGAGCTACGTTTACGTACTTCACCCATTGCCATGAAAATTCTGACACACGAACATTGCACATTCAATATTCTAAGTTTGGATTTTTCTCAAGTTTTAACAAAACTAAATTATCAAAATCTAAAACAAAGTCACTCTCTTTATTTTTTTTATTCATTTTTATTAATTTGTTAAAACAAAAATACAATACAAATAAATGAATCGTGTTTTGGTGTGTTTTGGTTGTTTCGGTTGTTATAATAAAATACGCTCAACTGGAGGTAAACAAGCAGCGGAGAAATAAAATACGCTAAAATGGAGTTTTACCATAAAAATACTTATAGACCTAACAGCGAGACAAATTTTCGAGACATTTCTTTGTTTCATGCACTTATAATGGTTTGTTTTTCACATGTGCAAGAAGAAAATGTATAAAGTATAATATTAATAATGCAGATTCTAACCAGATGCGCATAGCTCTAACTCTACAATTAGTAAATTACTATTACTAACAATTAGGGCTACCTGGTTCAGTGGTTATTCTTGTCATCTAAATTGTGTTTAGGCCTGTGTGTTGTCTTGATGGACAGGGATTAATAATAAGTTGTTGGTTAATTGCTAACTGACAAGACGGGAAATTGCAAGAAGAAAATGCGAGACATACTTGCGGAATCACTGTGAGGGGTCATAGTCAGTGCTTACAAAAGCTTTAACCTAGGTCATAGACTGAGCAATAACAATATGACAAGTGTCATGTGCTTGGGGGCATTGTGAGTTCATATAATCTTGTCAGCAGGGAAAATATTCAGCCACGCTGTTAATGTAAGGCTAATACCTACCAATCTTTAACACTTTGTATTGTTGTATTTGTAGAAAGTGTAGAAGTTATATAAACAATTTAAAAACTGTAATGAGAGTGTTTTTACTTATTTTCATAGTGCTAATGTCATGACTGCCACAAATCATTCTCAAAATTTTTTAATTTCCTAAAGAAAACCAATAAGTTGAATAAGTCACTATATTTTTCTGGCATACAATAATAGAAACACTAGTAATGTTTTTAATTTACCCTATGTGTAGCCCTCTTATGCCGGCCTGAAACTGAAGGTTGAAACTAAAACATGAAAACAAAACATAAAGCTGGACCACTCATTTTTATGGTCAGAGGACATTTCTGTTATTTGGCTAGGAGACATTTTACAAGTTACTTAATAATAAACAAATAGGCCCTATTTTTATTTACTATTTTTATAGTTACGTGTCTTAAAGATTTCCTCACCTAGTTTGAGCTGTTGATTCAAGTATTATCCTTTTACAGTTAGCGCTATCAATGGACCCTAGGGAACTACTGCTGGGGAGCAGCCCCTTCAAAATTTAACAATCTTCCAAAGTTTCATGGAATTGTATGAATGGTGTAGTGATGCATAGAAGACACAGACATAGGCCTACAGTCATTTATATCTATCTAATGACATATATGTATATGTATGTAGACATATGTATATGTATGTATACATATAATATATATACATGTGTATGTATGAATTCATAAGTTTTCAATCTTGCAGAGAAGGTGGTGTTACCTATTCAGAGCAGGAACCAAACCAAGTATTATCACAGGCGTTTCAATAGGGTCCCAACAGTTGACCAGTGTGATGAAGAAGATCCAGTTTGCATCTATGAAGCTGACCAGCAGTTCCAGAGAGACAAGTCAGTACAACAAAATGATAGCTAATTTATTTGTACCTAACATTGACACATATATTGTTGTAAAAAGATTACGTTAGTGTTTAAGTTCCACTTTAGTAGAAGAGATCAGCCATTTAAAAAACATTATGATAGCTTGTAAAGTTTAATGTGGGATAACCATAAATAAATAAAGAGGGAGTGATCTCCTCTAAACTTTCGTGTATATTTTTATGAACAAATAGGGTGGGATAGTACTTCCAGCGCAATCAGAATATAGAATTATAGAAGTTTGTTGCAAAACCGCATGTTTCTTTTTTTTAAGAAATAATAAAGGCGTACAGTTCCTAGAAGATGCTGCTTTTAAAAGTATGAAATAAAATTAAAAAATTCCACTTCCTGGTGCATTAAGTTACTCAAAATTTGACAGAATCTAAGATATAAGATCTTATATCTATTTTTTAAATTTTATCCATCTATTTGAAACAATAGCCAAGTAATGGGTATTTTATAAACCAGAACTGGAGTAAATTACCATCTCTGGATATCAGATGTTGCCCAGAAATTAAAAGTGATCAGAAAAAAGTCGAAAGAAAAATGTGCATATAAATTTTAATACTTTTGTGTCAAATTCAGTCCATCTGACTTACACGGTATTCAATTAATTAACTTTTTTGAAAACAAAAGTTGCACATGTACCACTTAACTGTTACCAGAAATTGCTCGCCAGTTGATAAAAAAAATACACATTTGATTGTAAGACTTGTTTATGAAATTTTGTCAACATAACTGAAACTGCTCTCAAATTATTATATTCACCGACATAGAGACAAAATTGCTGAACTAAGTTTTTTAAACTCAGGGAGGTGTAAATGTCAAATTGTCTAAATCTCAATTTTAATTTTTTTTTTTTTTGCATGATTACAATACTCTGTATATGAGAAAGTAAAAAGATTTTCAATTTGATAAAGGAAGCGAATCTACATGTACAGTTGGTTACCCACTGGGTTTATGCTATCCTGAAGGACGTTTTATTTTCAGGATGGTTGACAGCGATATTGTCAGGATTCTGAGGCAAAGAAAGATTGAATGCTATGCGTGGGAAGGTCCTGATAAAAAAAACAAATGTCAACAGATTGAAGAAGATTATAACCAGGCGGCTGTTAACTGGTTCATCAAATGTAAGTTTTCTTGGTGCTAAATTTGTTTTGTTACAAGACTTAAGTTTGAATGTTGGATCTTCAACTGTCTAATTTAAGTTGAAAATCATATTGCCTATAGCTGCAGCTTGATTGAAAATCATATTGTCTATAGGTGTAATTACAGTGCCAATCATGTTCTTGCTAGCTCTATTTTAACATTTGAGCTACTAGAAAGAAAAGTTGAAAGGATTCAGTAGGTGTCGGCGTGGTCGGGTAGGTAAAGCTCATGGTTGCTAAACTGAAAAGTCTTGTGTTCGAATCCTCGGGCAGATGAGGCTTGTAAACTGGGGACAGCCACTCTTCTAGGAGAGACAACTCTAAAATCAAACAACTGCTGCATTGTAGTTTGTTCTTGGTTAGTCTAAGGCTATGGAAGCAAATCCAAAAAGAAAAGAAGGCTGAAATTGGATTCAATGGCCTCAATGGCGCATAACCAGTTGACATGTATAATTAATTGTGATGGATGCGTGGTCAAGTCGGCAAAAGCTCATGGTTGATAAAGTCGAAAAAGTCTTGAGTTCAAACCCTCTGCCAGATAAGGCTCGATCCCTTCCAACACTAAAAATTAAGAACTAAGAAGAAGAAGAAAGGATTCAGCATCTCTGATATATTTTAGGCTTGAAAAGTGTTTTTTTACATTATTATAAGATTTTATTGACTAGCTTTGGTTACTATTTTTATAATTCATCATTTAGCTCTGTACTATTTCCTGACTATGACTTAAGTGATGTCTTCTGACCAATGACATTGATGCTATTGTTTTTTCCAACTACAAATACTACAACTTGAGTTATGATGGACGATCAAGTTTATTACCTTGCATTCATATACATTAACTTGAAGACAAATAGTTTTCCACAATAGATTTAATACCAACATAAAAAAGCACACTACTTCCTAGATTCACAGTAGTGCTCTTCATCCCCAACCTACACATCTCAATCCCTTCCTACTTCATACACCTTACAACAGGTCATTCTTGCACTGCACATAATCCATTAACTTAACCATCTCTCTCCTAAAAGTAGTAATTCATTTAAATAAATTTATCTTTAGTCTAGCCACTTGCTGTCAGTTTAAAATGACATCTTCAATATTTCAGATGGTGATATGAGAAGCGGGAAAGGTGCTTTAGAGGCCTACATGAAACAGAAACATAGACTTATTTGGGAGAGAAGGAATCCAGATAAAAAATTACACTGAATAAATAGTTCTATTCAAGATACTAGTTTTTAAATAAATGAACTAATTAGAATGTGTATACTCGCTGTTGATGTCAAGTCTATGAAAACGTAGTTGATTAAAAGAAAAATTTGTGTTAACAGTTCAATCTGATTAGCCAATATTTTTATTTTCATTATTGATTCAACTGACCTAGAAATAAGGACTATTAAAACAATTTTCCTGTTATAAAAACTTTATTCATCTTGTTTTCAGTGCTTTAGTTTTCAAAATAGCCATGTTTTGAAACTTTTTTAACTTGCTGATTTTCAGTTGAATAAAAATGTGTAACTTGTCTTACTTTGTCTTACTGTGTTTGAATTACCCCCCTCTCCCCCTCCTTCCTAACACTGATTTAACTCTTTATTAGTTGCATTTCCTAGAATTCATAAAACACAATTAAACTAATTAAGTACTGGAGGTATAGAACCTGGTTTTCAGTTAATCTGCTTCAGTTTTTAAGAGCCACAAAATCCCTATCATTCCAACATAGTTAAAATTTCCCTAACTACTATACATTTCACCCACCCATGTCTGCATGCTTACATTAAGCGTCTAACTAAATAGCTCAGCTGGCATGTTTTTCTAGCAAGGATGAAGCTTTAAATTCTAGCGAATTGCTTGGTAAGATTTCTAAGGCTTTTAAAAAAATAGTTTGTCAATATGAGCTGTAAAGTCTAAATGGTAATGGTCCAATACACACTACACTTACTTATATCAGTTATAAAGGCTTTAGTGGATTCATACAGAATTTGACAAATGGTCATTGATGAGATCTCTTGCATAATTTAGAGGACATCACATAGGCTACGACTCAAACTATTTGCTTTAAAACCCAATCAGTTGCATGCAATCTCTAAAAGACAACTATCTGCTCCTTGTAGTCGACTCCTGAGCAAGAAATCAACCATTCTTCACAAACACAGTTCACCAGCATCAGCTGAGGGAGTAATCTCTAATATTTAATTTCATCTCCCTTTTTATTATTAAATCAAGTAATTTTAAATTAAAATGTCTAATTGTCTTCCCTAATTGTTAATGGCATCAAAAATAGACCATTGTTAACTAAGTAAAAGCTTATACAAAGGTCAGAATAAAAAATTCAGCAACCTGTTTTAGTAAAGCACTGGCTAATAAAATTATGTTTGAAACATGAGAAGTATTACATTTAATTTTGTGTATAAGATTCTATTCGAATGATAGTCTTTAACATTCATGTCAGTTTCATTCAGGCATCTCTTTGTGAGGGATGGAGGGGGGGCACCACCCACTACCCTGCCTGATTAAAATATAATTTGTAGGCTATACAAAATATATACATTTTACCAGTCACTCGCCCTCCTCTAGCTACGCCCCTGATCACCACCCCACATGAACCATAGCAGTAATAGTAATAAAACAATTTTTTCCTGATTAAATATTAAAAATCATGAGATAAGAAAAAGGCGAATATAATTATTGAACAATTTTGAGCACGCTATAAAGCAGTTTCGGTATTTTAATAGCAGGAAATACACCCTCAGACGGAGTCAGAACTAAACGATGTAAATCTAGACATTCTAGATCTCTAGACAATACTTACTAGATCTAGATCTATTACTTACAAAAAAAAAAAAAAAAACCAAACGTCATTTTACACCCGTTTTCAATATAATGTAGACTATATTAATTGCATGTAAAAAAACAACAACACACCTGCCTACTTAGTACTTACTACTTACTACATAACATATTACATAAAGTTAAAGAATGGACGGAATTGATGGGATGATGGACGATATTGCTGAATTGAAGCATGACATTGATAAGAAACTAGGAAAGGTAAGGCCTCCCAATATATTTTTATAATTATAATAGTAATAGATCTAGATCTATATAACAACTTGTCAAGTGACTTTTAAATATGTGAACACTGAACTAAAAATTTGACTAAACCATTCTGTTGATACTGCTAAGTGAAAACCTTTAAGTAATAAGTAGTATGGGCTTAGTTAGTACATCATCGTAGCTGAGTAATGATAGTAATAGTAATAGATAGATCTAGATCTAGTAGGTAATTAGTAGGGGCAGGGGCCTAAATTTTACAATTACTAAATAAATAATTAATAAATGGTATAATACTATAGTACAGTTGTCTATAGGTCTAATAAAAGAATGAAGATGACTATGACATTTATTGTTGTGAATTATTACATTATAATATCTGACCATAATTATGAAAACTATAATTCTGATTATTGTTCTGTTATGTCTTCATTTTAAACTGACACAATACATATTTAAGCTGTTTAAACTATATCTAAAGGAGGAAGCCAATCTCACCTTGCTTCGTCAATGTTTGACCAAGTATGACAGTAACACAACAGGTATGATTAACATTTTAAACAGCTTTGAAGAGCGGTTGAAGAATTTGGAAAAGACAATAATTCCTGTTTACAATGAAACTGAAAACTTGCGTCGCAGACAAGAAAGTATCCTTTTGAAATAAAAAAATTCAAACCATAAATAAGTTAAATGTTTTTATTTTAAAGTATCATTGAAAGTTATTTTGAAAATAGTTTCATAATTATTCAGTTATTGAGTTTAAAATATATTTAAAAAATATAAGTATGAAGAGTGTTAAGAAGAATATGATAAATGATTTTTGTAACCACAGTATTTGAACCTGTAGAACATTTAAACAATAGTGAAGTAGCAGCTGCCTCTTGGGGAAAAAGAATAACATAAATGTACTGTAAACACATTTTTATTCTTAACCAACAAAAGATATTGAAAAGACAATGCACACCTTGGACAATGTTTTAAGTTTTTATCATACAGCTAAAGATGTGGAGCAAACAATCAAAGAAGGGTAAATATTTTCTTCATACTTGGTTTTGTCACTTTAAACAATCAGAGAAGGGTAAATATTTTCTTCATACTTAGTCATTTTAAAAAATAATTTTAGTTCTCAGAAAATTAATTTTATTCTGATTAACTCAACTCTTAGATAATTGAAAACTTAAGCAGTGTGAATAACCTCTGGCTTTTTTTTTCTTTGCAGGCCTGCCGCAAGTGATCTGGAAACATATTTGTCTTATTTGGAGAAAGTTCTGAGAGCCAAAAAATATTTTGAGCTGTTTAGTCCAAACAGCAAGGAGTTGAAAGAAATAGTATGCTTCACTTTGTTTTTTTGGTCTTAAACAAAATATATGAATTTTTATATAAGGATGTTGTTAAAGGAATTGTGTTTTATTTTACTTCAAGTAAACTTGGTGAGAATAATGATTTTAATTAATTTTTTTGTGGTGGGCACTACATACATGTTTTTGTGCTTTGTTTGAATGTTAAAGAAAATTTACATGCTGAATTTATTTTCTCAAGGAAAGAATATTTGAAGAGGGTAAAGACGCCCTCCACCATGAGTTTGGGTCTTTGTTGAACAGGCATGGGCGGCCTGTACCAGCCATTCTAATATTAGATCTACTCAATACTGATGAAGGTACTTTACTTTTACTTTCATTGTTTACATACACATCAAAATATTCTTTGTTTTAAACAAATGATGATACAGATTTAATAGCCATACAATGAAGCAGCTAGCACACACAATTTTTTCAAAGTTCTAGAATCTTAATAACTTTTAAGCGTTGAAATCTATACTTTTTGCCTATTTTGTTTTATTTTTGTCTTTAGAGCTACCTCCCATAGGAACAGACACTGATTTAGCTTTACAGCAACTTTCTGAGAAGGTCACTGAAGATCTCATCCTGATTTCAAAATGGCTGACAGAACATGGGAAAAGCTCAGATTTCATTCGTACTTATACACGGGCCAGATCAACAATGTTGAGCAGATCACTTGCAGGGTGGGCTACAGATCTACTTCCATATTTGTCTACACACTCATACATCAGCCTACACATCTCTTTACAGATCTACTTTCTCACCTGCTACCACATCCACCTACTATCCAACTTACTTATCTGCTACATGCCTACATACACAAGTACTCTAACACCTGCTTATACATCTACCTAAATGCATACTCAAAATACTTACATATTAGCTTAAATTTTATATAAACCACTGTAATATTCTATTTTACGCCTACTTAAATAACACATTATTGACATTGAAATTTAGACAATGAACATGTGAAGAGGATTAGGAAGTTGTTGGTGTGGTGGCTGTTAGAGTGGGTCAGTGAATGCTGAATAAAGAAATGTTTGTGTCAACAGGCTGAAAGAACATCTAAAGTCATCCAGTGGGGGCTCATTCAATGTGAACCAGCATGCCTTCAGTGTACAGAACTCTCCAGCTGGGGTAAGTGGCCAGCCTTGACTGTCAGGTTATACACAAGGTAAGGGGTCGGCATGGTCAAGTCGGTAAAGCTCATGGTTGCTAAACCGAAAAGTCTCGAGTTGGAACCCTCAGGCAGATGAGGCTCGTTAGCTGGGGGCAGCCACTCTTCTAGGAGAGACAGCTCCAAAATCAAAACAACTGCTGCCTTGTAGTTTGTTCTTGGTTGGACAAAGGCTATGGAAGCAAATTCAAAAAGAAAAGCAGGCTGAAATCGGAGTCAATGGCCTCAATGGCGCATAACCAGTTGACAGGTATACTTAATTATGTTGGAGGGGATTCCTTCCAACACTAAAATTAAGAAAGAATAAGAAGAAAAAAGAAGATAGCAAGGTGCCAGGTAAAGCTGTAAGATCTCACCAGTGTTTGCTTGTCTGATAAATTTTCCTCATCTCTACAGGGAGGAAAGTTTCGTGGCACAAAAGAAGCCCCACCTAGAAAAAGCATGAACAAACTAGCGTAAGTAGAACTTAGAATTTACAACATGGCTTCTAAAATTAATGTGAAAGTCATCTTTCTAGCCTCTTCAGATCAATTTGATGAGATAACTTAACACTTAGTTTTTACTATAAAAATATAATGTACCCAATATATGATAGATGTGATAGCCTCAAAACTTTATCCTTCCCAGGAAAATCACAAAGAAAGCTTCATCATTGCTGCAACTTGAGCCAGGTAATTACAAGATTTCAGATCAAACTATAAATTAACTGCATTTCACTATATATCAAATTAAACCAGTCTGTCTGTCTAGAAATTTTAAAACAGCAGCATTTACATATGAATTTGTTTATAGGTCACAGACGTCAAGGTTCATATCCTGATCCTGTAAAGGAAGAGTCACCTGACCTGGAAACAGATTTGTACATTAATGAGCTCAGTGCTCTGCTCAGGCTGATGCAGGTAGGGCAGCATTAAGCCAAAACATCATTAGAAAACATTAGGTCAGCATCAAACAAAACATCTTTAGAAAACAATAGGTCAGTATTAAACAATCATTAAAAAACAAAAACTTTTTTTCAACTTTTCTGTTTATGAACCCCTCAGAGTGAGGCCCATTTGATGAAGGGAATTATACCAGAGAAACACCAACGTACAGCTTTCGACAACATTATTCAAGCTGCTCTGGAATCACTAGTCAATGAAGGAGAGGTAAATATCTCCTTTGGTGAAGTTAGAGTACATTTCTTGATAAAGAAAATAATTCCTTGTATTTTGTGTAACAGTGAGGTGAGTTTTATACTAGACTACCCACTTCACTAGTCATAACATGTTGACTTTTTTATCTCTCTGCTGCTATCAGCTGCTAGCAACGGCAGCTCGCAAGAATGCTGCCAGACACGACTTTGCTGCAGTCCTTTCCATCTTCCCTATAGTCCAACACCTGCGTGCTGTTAAACCAGAGTTTGATCTAATCCTAGAGGTAATTTTTCACAAAAAATTGCCATGTGATTTTTAAGATGCCCATACCAGATTTTTCAAAATAATGCATGCGTTTTGAATGATGATTAAGAATGAATTGTTTTAAATAATGTTCAAGCTACCCTGATAATCAGAGTGGGTACATTTTTTTTTCAGGGTTGTCAGGCACCAACAAGAGCAAAGTTGACCTCACTCTTGTCTACATTAGATAATACTGTAGGTTTATTGTTTAGTTTCTAGAGGAGATATTTGTAAACCTGTGTCTACATTAGATAATATTGTAGGTTTATTGACTAGTTTCTACAGGAGATATTTGTAAACCTGTGTCTACATTAGATAATATTGTAGGTTTATTGACTAGTTTCTAGAGGAGATATTTGTAAACCTGTGTCTACATTAGATAATACTGTAGGTTTATTTTCTAGAGGAGTTATTTATAATACAAGCTTAGTCAGCCTTTTGTATTTGTTGTTGTATTTATCATTGTTAGATAAATTAACCCCCTACCTCTAACTTTTTAGAATTACATAGAAAAAAATATCTTGCGATGTTGTGTTATTAGATAACAAATACATTGATTCATATCTTATATTGAAGGGGGCCAAAGCTTTGGAAGAATTCACAGATAGTATAAGGGTAAGAATTATTTTTTTGAAATTTTTACATCTCAAGATTGTTACTGTTAATATTATATTCTGCAAATTATTTAATGTTAATTGTTCAAAATTGTCAGAACTGAATTTTTAAAATTATTTTCCCTTATAACTCTTTTTACCATTTCTGGTTGTCAATTACAACCCATGCAAATTTTACAAACTTGGAATTAAAATTTTCTCACAGAATGACAAATCAGCCAACATGCCTAGAGATGGAACTGTTCATCAGTTAGCCAATCAGGTCAGGAGTTGCTATACATTTTTTTTATAATAGTCAATCAAAAAATTGTTTAGTCTACATGGTTTTGTCTATTAGTTACTAAAAAAATAGAAATTTGGATGAAGACGTTAAAAGTGTAGAACAATGAAATGTATATAGGCAAAAACATGTTACAAATAAATACTTTGACTTTTTAAAATGTTTCAGACGATCATATTTTTGGAGCAGCTGCAAGAATATGCAGAAACAGCCGGAGCTATGCTTCTTATGCATGGTTAGTGGGGAAGGATGAACATAATCGGATTGTATTAGTGTTTCCTTGACATCCTGTCTAATGATAAAAATTAAAATTCTCTTTTAAAACAATATGATTCTATTTAGTTTAAGAGAAATGTGGATGATAGTATTTGATGTTATTCTTTAGAATCAAGTATTAGTTAAGGAAATCTGATGAATGTTTTTCTAGGTGAGAAGGCAACAACTGCAGCCATAGTGACCAGTGAACACTGTAGGAACAAGGTGGCGGACTACATGAGTAAGTTCCCTTTTTAGTGGGCAGTTTGTAATGGGAGGTTTGTAGGGGTTTCCTGGCTAACAGTGTCATGTTGGTTAAAAATGGCATGGGTTGAGTGACCAATGGCTACAATTGTCCCTTACAGCCAGAGTTTTATCAGCACTGGGCCTGAACTTGAGCAACAAGGCTGAAACGTACAGCGACCCAGCACTTAGACCAGTCTTCATGTTGAACAACTTCAACTACATCTTGAAATCTTTAACAAGGTAATCTCTAGCTTGATATTTGCTTCTTTAGAACTGATTGAACCATTCTGTTCTGTTTAGCTATAATCACTTAGACAATTCATAGGACAGTGTGGTCTGATGTTAGAGTTCAAAAGTCTCCCAGGCTCTAGTCTGTAGTATGTCCCTTAGGCTACTCAGCTCTGATGTATACCTTACTCATATTTGGGAAACTAAGGCGTTAAGGCATAATGCTGACCACACTTTCCCTAAGTATGTCATATACTGTCACAGTGGTATATTTAATGTTAAATCATACTGTCCCTGTGGTATATTTTATCTAATACTGTCCCTGTGGTATAATTAAAGTCAAATCATACTGCCCTGTGGTATATTTAATGTAAAATCATACTGTCCCAGTGGTATATTTAATATCAAATCATACTGTCCCTGTGGTATATTTTATCTAATACTGCCCTGTGGTATAATTAAAGTCAAATCATACTGCCCTGTGGTATATTTAATGTCAAATCATACTGTCCCTGTGGTATATTTAATATCAAATCATACTGTCCCAGTGGTATATTTAATATCAAATCATACTGTCCCAGTGGTATATTTAATGTCAAATCATACTGTCCCTGTGGTATATTTAATATCAAATCATACTGTCCCAGTGGTATATTTAATATCAAATCATACTGTCCCTGTGGTATATTTAATATCAAATCATACTGTCCCAGTGGTATATTTAATGTCAAATCATACTGTCCCTGTGGTATATTTAATATCAAATCATACTGTCCCTGTGGTATATTTAATGTCAAATCATACTGTCCCTGTGGTATATTTAATGTCAGCCAGTCGTATTAAAAAAAATTGGTTTCACCAGGTCAGGACTAATTGAGCTATTGAAAGCATGGAACAAAGAGATAGCTGTCTTTTATAACAATCAGATAATTGAGCAGAAAAAAGATTACTCACAAAGGTTTGTGAATCTTTCTTATGCAACTTATCACCCTAGTATAACTAGGTTCTGAGTGCTATTTTTGGTAAACAAAATATCTAGTTTTATTAAATCTTTTAGCTATGTCCACATTTATTGAAGAATTTATCTGAAGTCCTTGAAGGCTTTGGCTGATACTTACTTTTTTTTTCAGTTGGAGCAAAGTTCTTCACTACATTCTAGAAATGGACAAGCCATTTTCCCAGCAGAGGGCCCAGGAACATGTGAAAGTAATTAACTTAAATAAAACAAATAAAAAAACCTTTAAGATAATAAGCTTTTTAAAGCAACTACAAATTAAAAAAAGGAATTAGAACTAGCGGTCTTCAAAACTAAATTAAACCAACCACCCTTGACCAACAGTTCACCATTGTAACTAGCCTGATAGGTAGCTCATTCTAATTTAATATCTACTTAGATTAAAAATGAAATATTCATATCTGGATAGTTTGAACAAAATTGCAACATTAGAAGTGGTTCAAAATTGAGTAAGAAGATTTGCCACAAACAATGAATAAAAGATTTTAAAAATACTTGAAGTTTTCCTTTTTTTTTCAGTTAAAGGACAAGGAGAGGCAGAATATCAAAGACAAATTTACAGTAAGTTTTTTTTTTATATCAAAGACAAATTTACGATAAGTTATCAAAGACAAATTTACTGTAAGTTTTTAATCCACACTACCATTGTGCAGTTAAACTACTTCCCCCACACTGCCATGGTGCAGACAGTTAAACTATTTCCCCCCACACTGCCATTGTGCAGACAGTTAAACTATTTCCACACACTGCCATTGTGCAGACAGTTAAACTATTCCCCCACACTGCCATTGTGCAGACAGTTAAACTATTCCCCCACACTGCCATTGTGCAGACAGTTAAACTATTTCCCCCACAATGACATTGTGCAGACAGTTAAACTATTCCCCCACACTGCCATTGTGCAGACAGTTAAACTATTCCCCCACACTGCCATTGTGCAGACAGTTAAACTATTTCCACACACTGCCATTGTGCAGACAGTTAAACTATTTCCACACACTGCCATTGTGCAGACAGTTAAACTATTTCCCCCACACTGCCAATGTTCCAGGGCTTTAACAAAGAGCTGGATGAAATCTACAAGGTCCAGAAAACTTACGCCATGCCAGACAGTGAGCTGAGGACAGCACTTATCAATGAGAACAAGGAGTACATGGTGCCCAGGTACACCCTGTTCTACAACAAATACTGCCAGCTCAACTTTACCAAGAATAGGAACAAGTACATCAAGTATCAACCCTCTGATGTAGCTGCGCTGTTAGAAAAGTTTTTTGATGCCTCCGCTTAAAGTTTACCTATCGGCCAGTTGGTGTAGCACTTCTTTAGGATGCCTCTGCTAAAGCTACAATGGACTTAATTTCTCATGTGATACAAACACTATTTAACCTATTGTTGAAATGATAACAGGATTAAATTATTCAATTGAAAAAACAAAGCAAATCAATTTAGTACAACTTGATGTCTAGTTTGATTTCTATGTTGGCTGCAAAGTTTAGTTGTGCTTGACATCTGAACAAAGGTTAATTATTGCCATGCATTCCTCTGTAATAACATTTTATGTATTTTCTTCTGTTGATTTTACTTTATTTTTCTTCTATTTAACCCAACCAAAAAGTACCATGTTTAGTTTACTTGTCGCATTATATACATTTCACAATGTGCAATAATAAAGAATGACAGTTGTCAGTTCCGTCTGTCATTAAAAAATGTCTTTACTTGCTTGTCAGGTGCTATACATCTTTTGAATTGAGAAGGGTGATTTGTTAACTAAAAAGCAACCACATTAGTTTAAAATTTTGGTATAACTAGAACAGATTGACCCATTCATAAATGAAAACAAAAGTCAGAAGTTGCAATGGTTTTTCTGTTAACAAATGAGTGGTCACCACACATGAACAAGTCATATCAAGGTGAACAAAACAGGTCTTGGCTTCAACTGGCTAATCTAGGAACATCCTTACACAAATTCCTACAGCTACACTAACATTCTTACAAATGTCTACATTCTAACAGAACAGAGTTGAGCTAAACTTACTACTATTGCTTATGAAAACCGACTAAATACAGATATTTCAACACTGATTTCCATACAACCATTTGGTGAAACTAGAACTAACACATTTGAATAGTGCAAATAAGTGGCATAAGGACATGTCTTCTATAAAATAATGTAGAAATTTATATCTTGATTATTGGAACAGTAAATGAAGTAGATATGACACCAAACACTTCTATACAAAGTGAAATGGCTAGGCTACCCTGGAACAAAGAACACGAGGAAGGTTCACAAAATGTGGCTAAATAACCACAGTTGGATACAGAGATCTTTTTTGCCTAATAACTACATCTAACAACATCACATCAAGATACATTTGTGGAGGAAAAAAATGTCGCCCACCCCTTTCTCACAGAAGTCAAGACATTATTTAGAAATTGCAGGACCCGACTTGATTAAATAAGCATCTTTTGATTTACAAAACATTTTATAAAGGGTCTTTGTGCAGACAAGTTTGGGAACCTCTGACAGGTTTCAACAGACCACAATAATAGTTAAACCAGACTTGAAACCATTTATTCCTTTTGTCTGCTGACCAGTCCAATACCAATCCTTACTATCTCCCAGATTCATTTTTGCCTTTAAAGCCAATCATTGAATACATCTGTTACTAAGCAGATTTAGAATGTATTGTATCTCACACATATTTATAATTATTTAAGGAATGAAAACAAAGTTTAAATATTAAGTTATCCTATGTACAGTTGCAAACAAATCGATCAAATGATGGACGACACAGTGTCATCCCATTCACAGCTGGGGTGTACACTGCTCACTGGATATACAAGTCTTAATTAAGTAAATACAAGGGTTCAAGGTACAGCAAGCAATGGCTGAAAACAAAGGAGAAATTTATACATGATAAAATCTGGTTTCTCCTCACTCTTGTACAGTATAGAGATAACATGTCTTTTAGTGACAAGAAAATTATAAAAAATAAAGCAAAGAAAAACTACCTCTCCCAAAATAGAATCAAATGATGGAGTTCTGATAAAAATAAATATCTGGCTGGATGCACCTATGGACTGAATACCTAAAAACCCAGCATTTGACGCTTGAGATTTTTAAAATGGTATCCTGGAATATATGAGTAAGACAGAATCTATAGACTGTCAAAATGATTGCAACAAAAAGATACAAGAAGCCACCCTAAGGCAAGAGCTGGTGGGCTAAGATCTGTCTTCCTCAAGGTTGCATTCTGGGAGCTTGGCAGCGCAGCTCATTGTTACACAAAAACAAAATGATTGCCATTTCTTAATAAATCAACTGTTCTTTCCAACCTTCAAAGTGTACAATTCCATAAAATCTAATCATTGCACATTTTTCACAGCACTATGTACATGAATAAAATAATGAGTCTGGTTACCAATGTAAAAAATTCTGTGATGTTTGGGGAGATAACCCTGACCACTAGAAATAGAATGAAACCAACTATATGAATCAACTATATTCAATCTATGCAATACTTAAATAAAATGTCTAAACCCCTACCCTGTCTTGGCCTCACCCATAAAAAACTTTCTCTGACTAAATGTTGGCACAGGTGTACAATGATTGACTAATCAGAAAATTACAAAATCAAATAAGTCGCAGTATAAAAAAAGAAAATGAATGAAATATTTGCTCCAATGGTACTCCCTAGTGTGTAGATGTATATGTAGTTGACTAGTAAACAAATGTGCTGGACTAGTGGGGGTGTACAACTCACTTTGTCTAGTCTAACTACAAGTACAAGAAAACTCTACGTCAGCATGTATTTCTCTTGTTTGAACTTGGACCATCCCTTTGACCATCAGTGCTGCAGCCAGGACCAACTGACCAGCAGGGACTGGCATCACTCATTAGCTGCCTTTCATACCTCATATGGTACTCTTCTTGTTACAAGTAAAACCCCTTCTCAGTTTTCACTAGACATAGACAACAGCTCACACATTTGGTAACACCACTCTAGGAAAATATGGAGCTACTATATTGACTGGAATGATGGGTAAATTACAAGTTATATAAGCATGCTGGGCTACTTGCTAACTACATACTTCCTCTAAAACATTGATTTGATTGGTTGAAACAAGGTGTACAAAAACATGGCTGGGAGGACATTTTGCCACAGGTAAAATATATGACTAGACTAAGTACTGAGTAAAACAGTAGTGTGTCAGACTTTGGAGAGTGGTGCACTAGATGTGTGGGTGTGTTTTTGTGGTTAATCTAGAGCTAATAACTTGCCTGAATAAAATGAGCTTACTACTCAAGTGTACAAGTGAAAAAAAAACATGGAGGAGTAGTTAAATGACAGAACCTGAATGAAGAGAAGAATAAGTTCAATGGTTAGTCTGACTGAGACAAACCAAAAGTATCACATCTGACTGATATTGATAGCTGTGAAACAAGTAAGAATGTTCCCACTTCTACTTCAGTTAATTGCTTTATACCTATGGCTTGTTGACTAGTGTTTACTAATAAATCTGTTGAAGTGTGAGGAAGGAAGCATTGATGGAACTCAGCTAATCCTGAAATTGATGAGATAGCAACAACCGACCAGTGGACAGCATGCATTAAGAAACTCCTAGCATCTATCAGCAACTGTTTCAACATACAGCAGCCATCTGCACAACACAAGACCATCATTTTACAGCTTAAGTTTAAATGCTACTTCTTACAGTAATTTTATCTATAAAAACATTTGAACTGTATTAGAGAGAAAACATATAGCAGTATCAACAATTACATATTCACAACAGCCCATCAGTGAGTCAATGCTATGTTAACAGTTCTAGAAATTAATTCTCTACCTAACATATTACATTGAGTATAAATTCATGTTCTACAACTTAATAAGATTACATTTAAAAACTTGATGTCTTGCAGTCTACAAATTTACAATAGAAGCTTCAATAACATGACAACAAAGAAGGGTTGCTATAGCAACTAACATGTCAGAGAAAGTACAGCCGACTCAGCCAAAATATACATCAACTAGAGCTTATCACCCACACCCAACATGGATGGTCAGGTTCAACCATGCACAAGTCACGATCCTGCCTCAATTTTTTATCCGGAATTTCTCAAACACTAAAGTTTCTATTGTTTTACTTCTTTACAGAGAAAGGCTCAGCATGCCGTTTGTGTTTGCGTGGCCACGTCCCTGTGTCATAGCCAGTGGCCGGCACCATGGCCCTGCCCACCTCCCCACCAGCAGGGGATGGCTGGCCCCTGTGTGAGGATGACTGGGCCAGTGGTGACTCACGCGATGAAAATTCATCCTCGTCGTTAAAACTCATGTTAGCAAAAGCTGAGGTGCTGAGATCCCTGCTGACCCGGACGTTAACACCAGGCCTGCCCTTTAACCTCTGGTATTTACTCTCATCATCGTAGTCCCCAACAGTGTCCCACACCACGTCTTCCTGGCCACCCAGGTCCCTGGCTGTGGAGGGTTGGGGTGGGGAGGGGTTGGACACCATCGGGAGGTCTGCAGGGCGCTGGATGGATGGTCTGACTAGGGGCTGTCCAACTGGCTGTTTACTGACTGGCTTGTACAGCGCAGGCTGTTGTTGCTCTTGGATGCCCTGCAGGGGGATGTGTGGAGCCACATAGGGCCGGGGTTTGGCTGGAGGAGGAGAAAATAAGGCTGGACTTTGTGTGGAGGGCAACACCTGCTTGTTCTGGTACTGGGAGAAGGGCAGTGTCACCTGTACAGGCAGGGCGGGCCTGGTGGGGACACCCGCAGCTGGGAAGAAAGGGGCGTGTCCAGGCTCTGGCAGGGAGTCTTGTAGTGTGGGCAGGCTCTGGTTGCTGGCCTGTTGTGTGCCAACACTGGGGAGGGATGTACTGCCATGTTTCCTGTCATTGGGAGGTGAGAACATGGCAGCTGGAATGGATGAGTTGGTCAGCTGGTTGGTGGTGCTAACCTTCTTTATGGAACGTTTCATTGCTTTGTTCAGCGGCACCGCTCCAAAGGGGTCTTCAGGTATGGCCACCTCCACAGCAGGCCTGGCTTGTACATTATTTTCTTGAGTGAGTTCAGTTTTGAAATGAATGTTGTAGCTAGTGCCAGAGGTCCCAGTGGAGTGTCTGGCGGCCACGGCTGCCCCCTGCTGAACCACCAGGGCTGGAACCTGTTGAGGTGACAGAGCTTGTCCCAGTATTGCCAGGCTGCCTGGCTGGGCCTCGTCTGGTGTCTTGATGTACATGATGTCTTCCATGGAGGGGGACACTGTGCTGGAGGATGGGCCCGTGGAGCTTGGGGTAAGGGAGCTGTTGAAGGGGGCACTGCCAAACACATCAGACTGCTGCTCACCCTTCCACGAGCTGTACGACTCACCAGCAGACGTGGTGACTGAATGGCAACTGCCTGGGCTGGTCACTGTGGAGGAGTTGTTGCTCTTGCTTGTCTTGTGTTTGAATGGAGCACCTTCAAAGACATCTGAAGACATGCCAGTGACAGAAGAGGTACCAGAAGCTTGAACAGAGGCTGGGGTGGATCTCTTGGAGGTTTTAGGCTTGAAGGGGGCAGCAGAGAAGACATCCAGGCCAGCCTCCAGCTCTGGGGAAACTACCAGCGACGAGGAGGTCATGGCAGCGTGGTCAAAGTTGGCTTCAGCTGGCTCAGAAGCCACAGCACTTTGTCCAAGACAGTTCCTGCCAACTGAGGGATGGTCTGAAAACGCTGTCAAGCCCTGGTTGGTCATCCCATGTTGGTTAGCGTAGAACAAGTGTCCAGTACTGTCCCCAGATGCAGAGTGTGACCAGGACTGGGTCTGACCACCGTAAGCGTCCTGCAGCTCATCGTCATCCAGCAGGGGCCGCACCCCGTACTCATGCCCCACAATCCTGTCAGAGTTGGGGGGGTACTGCGCTGAGCTATGGTCTCCATTGTTCACCTTGACGGCCACCGCAGGGTCCACAGGCCTGGATCCAAACTCATCATCCAGCTCCTGATAGCCAAAGTCGTTAGACTGAGCTCGCTTTGAAGGGTGATCCTCCTCCGCATAGGATGAACTAGACTCCTTTCTAGCTCTGGGCTCCAGTTTATTGACAGCAGCGCCAACAAGGCCCACATGTTGAACATCATCGTGGACTAGGTGCTTCACATCCCTCAAGCCGTTACCATAGAAACCAGTTTCAGTTTTCCCCTCATCTTGTTCTTCAGTTTCATCTGAGTCAATCAGCTGGGAGTACTTAGCTCGAGCTAAAGCTGCCAGAAGTTGACCCGTGCCAAGAAAATCTCTGGCGCGTGACTCTGCTGGAGCAGGATCTGTGAGCAGGGCGTCGGTGTGAGCCACCTTGTGAGCACTCTCACCATCAGAGCTGTCACTGGACGACTGCTCCCTGGATTTATCTACAAAATTAAGAACAAAAGTTAGTCATGTCATCAAACAAACCTTGAACTACAACAGTAAGTCATTTGACGCACCTAAGCTTTAACTATAAGACTAAGTTAGTTGAAATTAATGTAAAAAGTTGTTTTTTTAAAGATGGTAGCTTTAGACGTTAGTAAGTAGTTTCAGCCTCTTGCTCAAAAGATTAAAAAAAAACAGGGTCAGATGAGGACACAGCACTAGCAAACAAAAATTCTCCAGTTGTTTTTGTACATCAGAAAACACAAGAAACAAAAAAAATGAATTCAAAAATGTTCTTGTGCAAAAATATTTATTGCATTAGGTACGCTCAATTCTCACAATAAAGACTCTTTGAATCATTATACAATACTACTATCAAAATGGCCAGGTTTATACTTCCATTGGGGTTATTAATTCTAGAATCCCGAGAATTAACTTATATTAACTTTATATAAAGCAATTCAGGATGTAATCGACAAGTTTAGAGACAAAATAGTTCAGTTTGAGGCAAATCTTATTTGCACGATATGTCAACAAAAATACTTAATTCATGTTGGTGTCACATGTGTATCATGTGACACCAAGTCTGTACACTCAGTGGAAAAAATACTTGTATGAATAGAGCCATGCATTAAATACAGAATTGGTTAGTAAATCACTTGACATAATTATCATACATTTTAAATACAAGAAAATACATACAGAATAAATCTTTTAGATAAAAGAAATGTGGTTTTTAAACAAAACTTAAGACAAATACTTCCAAAAATCATTCGAAATTTTATAATAAATAATTTAGGGGATATCTATTATACCTTCAAGCAAAATGCCAGATTTGCAAAAATAGAATACACTGAGACATAAAGATGTTTAACAGGAATGAATACTTCAACTTTCAGGCCTAACTATATGGGCTGTTACACTAACAAGTGACCTGATAAGCCAACAACATCCAAAATCTAAATTTTTGCTTCCTTTTTTAACTACTGCAACCTTTACATATGTGTCTTAACATATGCGTAAGCTTTTAAATAATGCCTGAAATTGACTATACTTAATTGCTTATAGTTTAATGTCTGTTTGATCTCAGAGATATCAAGCTCTAAAGGATGAGGAAATGGTCTAGCATATGACTAACACAAACATCAGCTCAACAATCAACTTCAAATGGTCAAGTCTAGCACATGACTAACACAAACATCAGCTCAACAATCAACTTCAAATGGTCAAGTCTAGCACATGACTAACACAAACATCAGCTCAACAATCAACTTCAAATGGTCAAGTCTAGCACATGACTAACAATCAGCTCAACAATCAACTTCAAATTATCAGACTTATAGAAAAAAAAATAAACTAACACACACCCTGCACATTTATGGAATGTTAATTCATGATCAGATTAAAAAAACTCTTAAAATATATTAATTGCACTGTTTCAATTATATAGAAAGAAATTTAAAATAACACCAGTAAAATGGATATACAAAACATGTGGTCTATCTACTGCGTTAATCATTGGTAGAAAAAGTATTCAAAAGTAACTTTTTTACTCATTGTCTTGTTAAAAAATTGCTCTCTAAATATGTGAGCATACATTTGTGTGTACTAAGCAATACTGAAACTCTGATATGGTGCTTGGTAAATCTTTAAAAATAAAACAGTTATAAACATACTCTTGTATAGAAATTGCACATCACTGAAGCACTGAAGTATAAAATAATTTCTCAATACTGTGGACATTTAAAGCCTTAGGATTTCATTCAAATGTACACAATCATGTTGCAGGGTATAAAGCTTATGTCAGCTACATCTCAAAGTTTCTGTTTTACAACTGTACTAGTGGATCTTAACTAACCATAACCCAAGCAACCCCTCAACCTTTTTTTCCATACAACTGTACTAGTGGATCTTAGCTAAACATAACACTAACCACATTTCAACACTATTTAACACAAATATTCCAGTAAAAACAATGACTGCAGTGATCTGGTTTGTCGCAATAACGCTGTGCATTAAAAAAAATTAAACTTAAAAATTTAAAAAAAAAAAAAGCTAAAAAGATGTGGAGTAATGAGCCAAGCAAAACACCAGTTATTTAAGTCTGTGGATAATTTGGATAACTTTAAAACAGTTTTCCATTTTACACAGAAGGAATGTAAAAAGAAATCTTGGTGTACATAAAATTTTTGTTCTTTACATTGATAAAATGAAAATTAAATAATCTGGTGTTTGGTGTTTAATGCTCTTCTTCTGCCATTTCCTCATCAAATTAAAGTCATCATGTCTATCAGGTAATGAAACAATTTTTTGGCCACGCTCAAGGTTTTTAAAATACAGAAATGTGTGTATAATTAAAGCAAAAAAAAAAATATAATACAATTCTAGAAAGAAAAAATAAACAAGAATATTAACAATGACAGTATTTACATGACAAAATGGCTATGATATAGCTCATGCTCACACAAAAAAATCTCCGCACATTATAAACACAAGCCATGTGCAATGTTAATAAGCCATCTTGTATAAGAGGAAACATGCCTAGTTGATGATAGTTTAGTGGCTGTATTTATTTTAAACTGCTGTATATGTATACTTCTATGTCTAATAACTACAAGCTCCTTAAAACTCAAGGTCATGCATCACCTTAAAAACAAACACTCCACATATTACAACATGATAATGGCACTTAAAAAATTCAGTAGGACACATTTAACCGGTGATCTAGGATGAAATCAGCTAGCATTCCTTAAAATACTTTATCTTGTAGAGCAGTAAAAAGGAAATGTTGCATTCCAAGAAATGAAAGAGGCAAGTGGCCATAATTTTCCACTGGAGCTCTAAGCAGGAAGCCATCTGGGATGTAAGGGAACTCACTGGTCAGAAATTTACCACTTTTGGCCTGGGAAAATAAATGTGCGCCACAAGTTAGTCACTGTCAACAGCGGCTTAGGATCTGGGTTAAATGTGACGCTTGGCATGACGATTTGTCAACAAAAATAAGAGGGGAAATAAAAGTGAGGGGTGTCCAAAACAAGTGGGAGTGTTGGGTGCAACTATAAACCATAAAAAAGTAGTTCTCAATTACTTTCAATCAGGTATTATTTAGAAAGTGTTTACAAGGTCTCTTAGTATACACTTCTTTACAGGTACTGTACAACAGTTTTAGGGCCATTCATAAGTTGTGATATGCAAGCTTGAGGTTTCTTAGGTTCAATTCATTTCACGGCTTTACAATTAATAGATTTGAGTTTAAGTTTAATACTTTTAAACATGAAAAAAAAGGGTCAAATATCAGGCAATAGTTTTGTAGTGGTACAAGTGTAAAGCTGGTGGCTAGCATTAAAAAAGTGCAGTAAAAGTTGTAGCTAGCACAGAGTGTGGTCACATTTATTTCACCAGGCCATAAAGTCAGACAAGTCTGGGCCACAGGCACACTGACCTGCTCCATACAATCAAAGAGGCTACATCAACTCACTCTTCAAGATACAGACATGCTTTCTGATGCCATTAAAAAAATACAACTACTACACCAAGTGTGAGAGAATAAATCAATCTTAGAAAAAATAAATACTAATACACCAATTGTCATGCAAAAGTGCAGAAAAAATGGAATGAAGTTAAAACAAACCAAAGATGCAAACAGAAGATAGTGGGCAAAAAATGTGCTTGAAAATCATAACAGCATAAAGCTAGTCAATGATTTATTTTAAAAGTTGAAGCAGCATTTTAAAGTTTATTAGTGTTCACACTTCAGTCAAACCAACTCAATGAAGGGGTCTTCACAGCATTGAACAATGAGCACATTAGAACAGGAACACTAGGGATTAGTAATCAGCTCAGTATTTTTTTCATAGAGAATAGATTTTTAAAAATCTACACACAGAGTATTTTTATAGAGAGTAAAAATAAATGTACATTAGGTCAACAGATCTATGGTAACACATGAGGAGGCAGTTTCTTAATGTGTCATCATGATTGGTGGGGAGAGGGGGGGGGGGGGAAGGAGAGATGGTAGCATCTGTTTTTACAACTGACCATATATTTGAGACTCTCGACATCACAAAAAAGGCAAAATTTTAAAGCCATCTTTCTTAAATCTTTAGGGTTAATAATAATAGGATCAGCCAGAAGAAAAGAATAAATGTCCTAGGTTAGCTACAGGGGATTAGGGTCAACAAAAGGGCAGGTAAGGACATTAACCAGGTAAGTTTGTTATTAGAGAACATCCAACACCATCTACTCAATGTTTTATCCATTAGTCCCATTTAGCACCTAGATTAAAGACATCCAGTTACAGTCACCATCAGATCAGAGATATGATCATGTTAAAACTAGATTAAACTCTTTACATTCTTCTAATAGTAAACAAGCAGTTTTTGGAAGACACTGAGCTACTTCATACTTCAAAAGCTTACCCATAACAGCATAAACAAAGATAATTCATTTTTCCCCTTCTATGTAACTTTTCTCAACATACAGAATGGGCCAAAGTAAAGATTATATGTGTCAGTAAAATAACACTTCTCTAATCTTCAGTACAATAAAACAAAAGCTAATATTCTCCCCATGAAATGTAATAAAATTGTTTTGAGGCTACGGCCAAACGAGTCACATGCAAAGATTCTTCCCACTGTATCAGATACTATTAGACCAATATTTAAAAACCTAGAATACAATAGATGAAAAGCCAAGATTGTCCCCATTCTCTGCAATGCTATTAGAGTAAACATTTTGAAGCGTGGGGTCAGACCTACCAGCTTTTTTGAATGGTGCATTACAGAAAGGATCAGATGAGTCAGAGCCAGACATCACAAGATCTTCACGACTTTTTACATTGGAAATGCCTGTGGTAAGAGACGTGGGTTAAGAGAGACAAGGAAAGACGAACAAGTCAAACTACTATAATAATTCCTCTAACACAAGCTGCTTTAAGTTGATCTGTCAAGTTTCACAAGACTTTATCCCCTAAAATCACTTTGTGCTTTATACAAAAATGGGGGAAAAGTGAGGTCATGTGACACAAGGAGGGCGGGATAACTGGTTATGTGTTAGCACTCTGATTAAATAAATGTGAAACGAACATATTAGTGGGGTGTTATGTCTACAGTATAAACTCGCTCATAAGCCTTGGCCCTTGACCCTATTTTTGAGGTTAAGCAACAGGAAAGGGTACGAATTCCATGTGACCCACCACATTAAATACATTCCCCAAGTATTGAGCCCACCACATTAAATACATTCCCCAAGTATTGAGCCCACCATATTAAATACATTCCCCAAGTATTGAGCCCACCATATTAAATACATTCCCCAAGTATTGAGCCCACCATATTAAATACATTCCCCAAGTATTGAGCCCACCATATTAAATACATTCCCCAAGTATTGAGCCCACCATATTAAATACATTCCCCAAGTATTGAGCCCACCACATTAAATACATTCCTAAAGTATTGAGCCCACCACATTAAATACATTCCTAAAGTATTGAGCCCACCACATTAAATACATTCCTCAAGTATTGAGCCCACCACATTAAATACATTCCCCAAGTATCAAGCCCACAACATTAAATACATTGAGCGAGTTTACACAAGAATGCTAGCAGGGTTATTAGTGGCATCACAAACTGATATAGTTGAATATTTTTCACTACAGTGTTGCTCTCATTTAGTTCAAGGATTGCTGAGTTTACATAACAGTTGCAGCTCTCATTTGTGGTCATTAACTTTTGACATTTTGGATAAATTAAAATTAATTTAAATTATCCAAAACCTATTGAAGTTGGTCCCTAAAACTGTTGTTTTAAAATATAAAATTGTGTACCAGACAGTATAAAAACAAGCAAATGCTGGGCAGGAGGTGATTAAACTATAATGTCCATCCCTTCCAGAAAATAAAAAACCAAACAAACCAACCCAGTGTAGAGTATACAAAGATAAAACTGGTGGGGGCATGTGAAACTTACTGGTGTTGGAGCCTCGCCTGATTTTGTCAAACTCTTCCCCAAACATCATGTCATCATTCTCTGTACCAAAGTTGTCATCACCAAAAGGATTCCATTCCACAAGGTCAGCTGATAATGGCCGGGTAAACTTTTGAGAACCTCTGAAAAAGCATTTTTTCTTTTAACTTTGTAAACATACTAGTGAAGTAATAATGTGTGGTGCTGGAATTGGTTTTTATCTGCTTAAGCTAATGTATGCAATAATTACCTATTTATTGAAATAGAGCGTGGTAATGAAAACAATTTAGATCCAATGAACTCTATGAAAAAACTAATGAATTCTAAGACAAAATTAATATTTAAGTAAGTGAAGAACTGAAAAAATACAGCAACTTACAGCGGAGGTGGTGAATTAATGGGTGTGTTTGTTGCAGACTTTGATTTTGTCTCATTTGTAGCAGACAACTGATTACCATGATAGGCTCTGGAGAAATATCAACCATTTAAGTTTGACTACACATTGGGAAAATATCAACCATTCACTACACATCACTATTATGAAAAAATTATCAAATGGCTATTTAGTAAGTAATTTCAAAACACAACCTTTTTTTTCAAGATATCAAAGCAAAAAGCAGTAGAATATTGAATACCTAAAAGCACTTCCTTTTCCTCCCATGGTCAAGAATGATGTATCACTTACATTCCGTCGATGTCGATTCACTTTGCTATCAGCGGGTGGATTAAGTAGGAGGGAACACGACTAAAAAAAATATTACCAGAATTAATCTTTGTAGACTAGAGTTATAAGGAATTTCTGCACAAGATATCTTATACTTAATATATAACATAATTTATTTATCTTTTTTTAAACAATACCCAATGCTTGCTTCAGGGGAAAAATATGAAGATTTAAAAAAAAAAATTGATTTAAAATAGCTGCTAAAAAAAGAATGATTATTAAATGTACATTAGAAATAAAATTGTACAAACTGAATTAGGCTCAGAGGCTATAGTTCTGTTCTGTGGTAAAAAGGGGCGTTTAAATGTGGTGTCACTTTGTGTCTTAAAGGCTGGATCTGACTTGGACATATCTTCTATAACATCATCATCAAGGCTTATCAACTGGGCTGTCTTGACCTGTAGAGGACCACATAAGTTCACCAATGCATGTTGATATACACTAACCACGATATCCTCAGATGATTAAAAATGTGATGAATACCATTTCCTTACTTCATTGCTTGAAGCACTGGTGACCAGCCTTTCCCCGGAGCCTCCCCTGTCACTGAGAGCATGATTGAAGCTGCTGCTTTGTGTCAGGGGTGCCTGTAGTGGGAACTGTGGCATGGAGTTGGTGTACATCTGGTACATGCCCATCTGGTGCTGCACAGAGGGAGAAGCACTTATTGAGTGGGCTAACATCTCGTTAAAACACCGTCTAATGTTTGATGATATTTCAAGTCTACTTCATGTCATAATATTAAACTTTAATTACAAGTTTGTGAAAATTTTGGACCAGTTTATAAAAAAAAATGCATTGAAAAAGCCAAACCTACCCAGTACTTATTTGACAAAGCTACTATTTTGTAATTGAAGTTGATGAAAACCATGTTATCACAAACCTGTTGAGGCATGAACTGCTGTTGATGACCATAGAAAGACTGAGAGGGTGTGATCATGTTGGTCTGAGGGTAACTTGTCATGGGGGATACCTGGGGGACAACAGGACCAAACATGGGGGACACTGGCACTGCCATCTGGCCAGGGTACTGTGGTGAAGGGGCTGGCTGGGGGCCAACATCCACTGCCAAAACAAAAACACACTCTACATGCTTACCCACTAAAGTAAGTAATCAACTATTTTCAATTTTTAAGATAATAAATCAAAAGTATCCTAAAGAATGTTATCTGCTATGATAGTTGAAAACTAAAAATGTGATAAAACATCACATAAGAGATAAATGTGAGAAGATAAGCAGATGACTAACCAACTGGAGTGTTGGGGTTGCTGGCAGTTGGTCGCCGTCGAGGTGCGATGGATGTCTGAATAGGAAGTCCAAGGGAAGCTGACACTGGCGCAACCTGACCCCGAGGCCTTTGTCGTGGAGCAACTGTCGTACTTTCTACAGTGACGATTGTCTGATTTCTAGCAAGTAATGGTTAAAACTTGTACATTTCAATTAAATGTAACATTACACTACAGTATTTCACTAAATATAGGCCTGCATATATTTTATGATAAATAATGCATGAGTATTTTACTAATGATTAATCAAACTGCCATTTTAGATTCCATTAGCAAATAAATGAGTTTTTTAAAAGAAAGAATATTTAAAACAGATATTTTAAATGGGCATTCTTGTATTAGTCAATAGGCAAATACAGTTTACTTCAAAGCATTAACAAGAGGGGTTATATATGTCTTTTTAACAAGCGACTATTTAAAAAAAAAAAGATTTCAACATGTGCCTACTTCTGTGCAGTTGATTTAATTTGTTTAGCCTCTGATTCTGTCAGTGGAGTTGGTAAACTTCTAAGATCAGGCACAGCTGAGGACTGAATTCATTCACCATAACAATTCAAATCTTGTGCCATTTACATAAACATCTATAGAACTCACATTTTAAATGCTAAATAATGCAAATCCACTATACAAATAACCCCACATTCAGTACATATTGTGTGGTATAAATTACTATTAAAACTTTTACCCCTATCAATGCATTAAATCCTACTTATATTTTCAGTAATATGCTATTACATGTTAATGTGGTGTTAAAAAATTATTGTTACACACTTACATTCATATTTGGCACTGGATTTTGTTTACCAGCTAAATGAAAGGCAACATACGAAACTTGGAAAATATCTGGTCTTTTTTGTGGATCTTTCTCAAGCATATATGCTGGAATAAGAGAGTTAAGATTTTAACATTGGTACATAGCAAGCAGAGAGTGTTTAATAAAATTTTTTATAATTGAATTTAGGTCTATCTTAATTGTGTAGCTGAAATTAACTGTTAATTTAAAAATACAATAGGTATAGCATATGTGTAGCTGAAATTTACAGTTAATTATAAATACCATTTAGGTGTAGTATACGTGTGTATCACCAAGAAAGTACCTATTAAAGACATGAGAGCAGTGGAGTATCTACACAAATCTGGAATTGTATAGTTGACACTCTGTATGGCAAGGGAGCTCTCACCAAATGGAAGGGTGAAAAAACACAGCTTATACAGTAGACAGCCTAATGCCTGGGACACAACAAAAAATGTAACAAATATGAATTGAATGAAAAATCACAACCATCCAATAAAATGACTTCTGTCATGTAAAACACCATGAAATTATTTTTTTTCCTATTGTTTGCTATTTTATTCTTTTAAATTGTTGATCACTGGTACTTTAGCTACAAGCATAAAAATCCTTAGGATGTAGCATTTAAAAAATTAATATAATATTACATAGCTAAGCTAAGTAATTAAAAAAATGTATTAAAATTATGTTTAGTAGCTACCCAAATGTCTGATTTTGTAGTTATAGGGGTTCCACCATATAAATCTATCATTTCTGGAGCTCTGTATGAGAGTGTGGTATATCTGAAAAAATAACATTTTTATTTACAGAAAATATTTCACAGGGGCAACAATTACATACATTTATAAGCATATTTTAATTAAAAATAGAAATCAATTTTATTAAAAATCTAATCAAGCTTTAAAATAAATTTATCTTTTAAGAGAAGATTATAATAGCTTTCATACACTACATTTATTTTAAATGGAAGGCAAATAAACATACTTTTGAATTTCTTCTTCAATAGCAGTAACCTTTTGTTGTGAAGGATCCATTACCCTTCCTGTAGCACTTCCAAAATCACATAAAACATAATTACCACCATCTCCCAGCAGTATATTTTCAACCTGAAAATACAGGGATAAACTTACAAAATCACTCTAAAGATCTAACATGCCGGTTGATTTGTAACTTCAAGTCATTAACATTTTTTTAAATTTATCCAGTTGGTAATCCATTAAGTTTAAAAAAAAAAAAGACAAACCTTAAGATCCCTATGTATGATTGGGGTTTGACAATGATGTAGACGCGAAACAGCTTCACAAGTGTCACAGAATATCTTAAGTATTTCTTTTTCTGTAAACCCTGAATCTATTTTTTCATTCATTACTTGTATAACAGACCCTGAAAGAGAATTGGTAACAAAAGAACACTCAAATAAATTCTACACTGACTGGCAAATATTCAGAGGGATGACAAAATTCAAATTACTGGCAAGTAAAGGAAATAGAGTCTATAAAAATTTGTGAAATAAATGAGAATGTATTGAAGATTTACCTCTACAATATTGCATTAAAATAAGTACTTCATAAACACGATTAGACGTCACTGTTATACTGGACTCTATGTAACGTATAGTGTTTTTGTGGCCACTCAGATCTTTCTGAAATGTTCAATTGATAAATCCTATTTAGCAACTGCTTGGATAAAAGAGTTAATACAAGTCACTTTAACAACTGGCTCTTAACATAATGTCAAAGCTATCTCATATAGATTTATTGCCACTGCTAACATCTCAAATAAAATAATTTTTAAATTTGATATTAACTTCATTTGGAATTACTTATAATCACCCAAAAATTTCAAAATTTCTTCTTTCCCTAACAATTATACAGTTTAGTCCATTACAATTATTGTGACTCAACATTTAACATTGTAAACATTGCAAAATTAAGGTTTAGCTAAGAAATAATAATTACCATTATTTTTATTTCTTTTTGACACACGGCAAGATCCCGGTCATTGTTGACATACATTCTCTTGAGAGCAAGTCTGCTTCCATTAGGAAGTTTGACAAGGAAAACAACAGCAAATCCACCTGTTAAACCAAACACATCATCTTGTTATAACAGATGCAAAGTATAGATTTAATTGTGCATTTAAAATGACAATTAAGATTTAAAAAGTTAATAGGGTTAGTAATAGGATAAAAGCTATTATTAAACTATAATGGGTCCTAGTTTCAAGTATTAGGAAATGATTGCAGATGAAAATGATTTGTGTTCTAGAGTGCTGAAATGAAATATTACTCAGATTAAAAACTTAAACTAGTATCTTGCAATAAATTCATTCAGCCTATATTAATGAAATGGTAATTTGGCCTCAATTATAATTAAGCTCAGTAATATAGCTATTAGAACTATGAATTAGGCTACATTCAATTTAGATCTACATGATCATAGTAATAAAATAGCACATAGTATAGCCATGCCATAGACCAGGGTTGAAACAACTTATTTTGGGACAATAGGAGATTTTCAATTGACATTATTTAATAACAGACAGTACAGTTATAAATAGATTATATGTGACATATCTGACTTTTAAATTCAATGTGAGTAGGATTTATTATCCTCTTTTAGTTTTAAGTAAAGTTTAGTACAAAAGGCAGAACATCAGTAGTCTGCAACCAGGTCAACAGCCAGTCTTGTTGAGTCTAACTAAGTCAAGGCAATCAACTTGTATTATAAAAAATGATGAATAAGCCAGTGTGATATTTTGATAATAGAGAGATTGCTCTGCAAAGAAAACGCAAACATATACTATTTTACAGTCGTTTATGTGTAATCAACCCGTGAGTCTAGTCTAGACGTTAAAGAAATGTTTTGTTTGGCTAGCTGCTAGGAACCGCCCACTCCCCGCCCCTAGGACTGTTGTGCTAGAAAAATTCGGGCTCACCTTCTGCAATTACATCGTCAACAACTACAGAATATCGCCCGATTTGAAAGGTTTTCCCAATAAAGGGATTTTGCTGATTCGAACCAAAAAGTTTTTTCATTGTATGGTTCTTCAACCAACAAGAAGTACTTTCAAAATAAAAATAACATTTTTTCTAACAGATTACTCATAGACGGTGCGCGACAGAGAATAGCCACTTCCTGTTTAGTTTACTTATGACCACTTCCTTATAAAAATTAGTTTCGAATCATTTATATCTATATATAAGAAAAGAAAATATTGAATAGTAGTTCTCTTTTTAAATCCATATTGTTATCTTATTATGCAGGCCTAAACCAAGAATACGATTTAATCATTCAGTGTTTAAAAAAGAAACATAAATTTTATTTTATTTGAAGTCGGGGGGGGGGGGGGGGGGGGGGGGGGGGGGAATACCTTAAAATTAAAAAGCATCACCATTCTACTTTTTGTTTGTTGATGAAACGAAACATGCTGTCACCGCTGTGTTGTTTCTTAGGTGTATTAATTTTCTTAGATAGTTTTTCGATAAAAGCAGATGAACTTAAAATTGACAATGGTGGCTGGTAATAATTCATTTTTATTTTAAAGTAGTCTTTACGTTTCAAGCTTAAATCACTAAAAAATGGTACAATTATTTTTGTCCTCCTCGTAGCCAGGCTCAGTCAAAAGCTCAAAAGCTAGTCTACGTGTAAAAAAAAAATTCATAAAAAACGTTTTAATAACAAGCTTTTATGTAATGATGCACTAAAAAGTAGAAAATAAATTATAGACTACTATTTAAATAACTATAAAGAAAAGCGTGGGTCACTTTAGTATCTATTGGATACCTTTACTAATGTTAAGGAAGACACCCACGCTTTTCTTTATAGTTATTTAAATAGTAGTCTATAATTTATTTTCTACTTTTTAGTGCATCATTACATAAAAGCTTGTTATTAAAACGTTTTTTATGAATTTTTTTTTCAGTACTTTACATGTTTTATTTACAATAGAGTTACATGACTAAAAACCATTGCGCGCCTACTGAACATCACGTTCAGTAGGCGCGCAATGGTTTTTGAACGCAGCCATTACGTGATGGCGCAGCTATTGAAGGTGATGACGCGTGTGGTGTGGTTGGCTAGACATGCCTACTAATTCGGTCCAAATTTTAATTAATTCATAAAAAATTAATTAGGCATCCAATTAAGTCAAACTTAGATTCAGATTGCATTGTCTTCATGTCTTGACCCACGTGCCAACTGTGAATCGTATCGGTCAAGTAGAACTGTCCGAATTTTCACTCCTGCGTTTCCGTCTAGACAGACAGACTGTCGACAGAGGAAGTGAGTTAAATAAAAGCTTGTAAAAAGTGTAAAGACGAGAGAGAGACTCTTTTACTTTACTTTAATTTTACTCGTAGACTTTACTCACTTTATTAAAACAATGACTTAATAAAATGATCTAGTCTATTAATTCATATTACACACTTTTCCCAAGTTCCAGAAAAATGTTAAATAAACTCAAATTATGGTAATCTATCGTTTTAGTTTAGGTACATAAAATCGCCCGCGGCTAGTAATGTACGAAAAGGTTACCTCATTTTCAAGGCTTTAATCAAATATTATAGATAAATGAATAATAAACCTAAATCAATGGCTAAATATATCAATATAGGCAAGACATTAACTTTAAACAGCAGTGTTTGCGAGCAGGATTTGCTATATAAAAAGCAGCCATCTGTAAGTTAGAGTGGCTTCCCCTGAATCTTGCGCTATAAGTTTACAATAAAAAAAAAATAAACAAGATGGCTGCTATAGTAAATGAGCATGGTTGCGTCTGTTGGAAACATCGCTAGTCTAAATTTATTACTGAAAAGTTTTAATTCGATTGTTTAAAAATAGGTACATAAATGAAGCAAGGAAACATTTTTGTATTTTTCAAAACATACAATCCTCCTCAAAATGTGAAGTAATTATTAAAATTTAAGGAGTCACCTGTTTTTCACATTACTAGTCGCGGGCAATTTTAAGTACCTAAAACGACAAATTACCCAAATTATAACCTACTTAACTTAAAGGCCTATTATATTATAATTTTTATACTTTTAATAACAGATAACTTAGGCCTAATACTTATCTATATATATAATTCTCTTCTTGGAGACGTTAGAAAACAAGCTGTAAACGCGCCTAGCAGTCCCCTCTCTTCCTCTCTAGACATATCGCAACCACCCTCACCCCACATGGTCTGGTGAGCTGTGGTTCACGCTAAATGTTTAAAATCGTAGAGCCGAGTTCAGTGACGCCTATTAGGGGCAGATAATTTAGTTTGAAACGATTTTAAACTTAGGGGGGGGGTAACTAAGAGGAGGCTGCTTTCACGGGGGGGGGGGGGTTGGGGGAAAGGAGGGATTTAGTGTTTAAAGCAAATTTTTTCTGTGACAGCAATTCACAAATTATGAATTTCTGAAAAGTAGAAAATAAATAGCGGCGTGTAATACGCCGCGGATCGGCTCGTTTAATATATTTAACTTATTTAATATTTATCACCTTTTTTTACGGACATTAAAGATTAAAGAAAAATACAGTTAATTCTATGCAGACTTCACCAATCTGCACTTAGGTGAAGTATTACAACCGTGATTTGAATATTTCACAATAACTGAACACAGATTTATTTTTAATGTCTAAGGTTTACATCAAAAGCAGATATGCTGGCTTTTCCTGGACCCTGTGACATTGAAGTACGAGAAGCATCAGGATTATCTCAAGAAGAATTCTTAGATAGGTTAGCTTAGCTATTGTGCATATTTTTCTACTGGCTACCTCTTACATTACATGTGGTATGTTCCCTGATTCCTCTAGGTTTCAAGTCAAAATTAAATGATTGACCTTTCTATATTCACAAGACTGTTTAGCATAGACGACCGACTTGGTATAATATTAGTGCTGTTACTCTCTAAAATTATAAATAGCTGCGTCAATGCTCATTAATTAGCATTTTTTTAACCTCTTTTTCTTTTTACTGAAGAATGCTTTCTATCTCTAGACTATGCAAAAGCTTGATTACAATTTTTGCAGCTCTTAGTGGTTAGTGTAGAAATACAGTCATGATGATAAATGTTGTCGGTGGTAAATGGCATTGATAAAATTAGTCATCGTAAGTTGTAAGTAATAAAGCTAAATAAAAATGATGTTGGTAATTAATGTAAAAACTGAATCCTAAGCAATTTCATTTTATACTAAAATTTTCTGTGTCTCATTTACAATCAAGTAAACATTTGCCTAAAATATATTATTTTTTTTTAGATATGCTTTTGACAGACCAGTTGTACTGCGAGGAGCTACTGATAATAAAGTAAGATAATAATGTATCAATTTGTGGCTTAAGATATTTCTTATTTTAGTAAGAGTGCTCATTCAGTTTATATAAATTTTCTGTTTAGGTTTTTCAGGATCTATGTCGTAAAGATGCACTATTAAATGAGCATTCTTCCAAACGTATACGTCTAAGTTCTGCTAATACACATTCTTATGACAAAGGTTGGTTTTCTGTGGCATTTGTTTTGCTAGCTCTCTGATATAATGTAATCAAATTTTACTACCATTGATAATGTAGTTTTGTAGTTGTAACAATTATTTATTTTCTTTCACTAACCCACAGTGGATGTAACTTTGGAGTATTACGTCAATCATGTCATGAAACCCCAAGCACTTGACACTTTAGGCAATGGTAATTTGCTTATTCATATTATTATTTATTATATATATATATATATATATATATATATATATATATTTAACTTAGGATTATCGTTCCCTGAATGAATATTTTGTTATCTTCCTTTATTATCTCTCAGAAACATTTTACTGGTTTGGTGACAACAATTTTACAGAGTGGAAGTCTTTGATAGACAAGTACACGCCCCCTCCTTATTTCCTGCCTCGTATGTCAGGGGCTTACAGTTTTGGACTTGCAGGTCAGGCATCAACCACACCCAACCCAAAATTTTCATGTGTTTGATACTTTGATCATTCTAGATTTACAAAAGCAATGATGAGTTTCTATTATTAAATAATAACAATTAAGTAATATGTTGCTGCTACTATTTATATATTTTTTCTTTTTAGTCACGTAACCGTTACTCGTTGCAGATACCCCAGACATGTTGAGACTTATCAAATTAATTTATTAAAATTTAAAATGAAGTAATGAATTTACTGAATATAAAGTATTTTTATTTTGTTGGTTTGTTTTTATTTGGGTAAACTTAAATTGGAAAAAAAAAACTTTTTTTTTTTTTGAAATGCAATTTTAGGGGCAGGAACCGGAGTTCCCTTTCATTTTCATGGTCCGGGATTTGGCGAAGTTGTTTTTGGTCGTAAGGTATGCTTTACATCAACCTGGAAAAGTGAGGTCAAAAAATAGTCAGTTAAAAACATAATACAATTGTTTTTGCCTGTTGAACTTTTTGCTACACTATTTAACATAATATCAAAGTGCTTTTAAAGTGTAACAATTTGTTGTTTAATTTTCATCAGCGCTGGTTCATGTACCCCCCTCATAAAACTCCACACTTTCACCCCAACCGGACAACACTACAGTGGCTGCATGAAGACTACCCTGATCTGCATCCTTCTGATAGGCCATTAGAGTGTACTATAGGACAAGGGGAGGTAAGTCTCTGACAAACCATTAGTGTATACTGTAAAACAAGGGGAGGTAAGTCTCTGACAAACCATTAGAGTGTACTATAGGACAAGGGGAGGTAAGTCTCTGACAAACCATTAGAGTGTACAATAGGACAAGGGGAGGTAAGTCTCTGACAAACCATTAGAGTGTACAATAGGACAAGGGGAGGTAAGTCTCTGACAAACCATTAGAGTGTACAATAGGACAAGGGGAGGTAAGTCACCGACAAACCATTTGTGTATACTGTAGAACAAGGGGGGGTAAGTCTCTGACAAACCATTAGAGTGTACAATAGGACAAGGGGAGGTAAGTCACCGACAAACCATTTGTGTATACTGTAGAAGTAGAACAAGAGGAGGTAAGCCTCTGATAAGTGTTTAGAGTGTACCATAGGATAAGGGGAGGTAAATCATAGACCATTTGTTTATACTGACTAGTTAGCCGAATGTCACAGTAAGATGAATGTTACTGACTTTTCTCTCCACAGCTGATTTACTTCCCTGACCGCTGGTGGCATGGGACTTTGAACATAGACACCAGCGTATTTATATCCACATTTCTCAACTAACTCTTGGCTAGGCTTGTAATTATTTTTACACTTAATTTATTGAGATGATTTTTATGTGGTTTATGATTTCCCCATTGATTTATGGTTGGCTTTTGTTTCTGTTTTTTAAATTCTATTTGAACTGTTCGGGATTTAAAAAATTGTATACCAACATATCAGAGCTTGTTACTTTAAGGAAGTTATACGTCAACATGTTAGCCTCTTATGTGTCAAGAATGTCATATGTCATTACATTAAGAAACTCATGTCAACATATTTAGAAAGATATACATCAACATGTCACAGTCTCTCATGTGTCAAGAATGTCATATGTCATCACATTAAGAAACTCATATGTCAACACATTAAGGAAGTTATACGTCAACATGTCACAGTCTCTCATGTGTCAAGAATGTCATATGTCATCACATTAAGAAACTCATATGACAGCCTATCATACACTATGCACTATTGTTAACATGTAGCTAAAATGTGAGTTTCTGTGTTTGTATGTCTTGATGTTGGAGAAGATGATGTTTACCCTCTGACATCCTGATGTGCTTGGCAATTTTATGACTTGAGGCTCATTGTATGTTTATGTTCTTTTGTTGATGAACTGAATCAAATGTTAAAATTGATGTTGATCCATAATTTCCACAGTTGTATGTTGATAACCATATATAGTTGGTGTATGTTGATGATTTATATATTAAAGAATTATTTTAAACCATCTCTCTGTTTTCTTGTGGTATTGTTTTCTATTGGATGACTGATTGTAGACATGCCACAATGGCATTTCGTGTGAACTGTTTGAATGTGTGGAGGACGGGGGTCTATTTCACCTAGCATCACTACTTGCACTTTAACCCCTTAAAGCCTGAACTATGTTCCAAGCGTGCAAAAAATTATTTGTGCTAATTTTCTCTCATCATACTGACACTGAATTTGAGGTATATAGTTGTTTTTGAATTTTGACTTATTTTTGATGATAATTACGGTATGTCGCGAAAACGCGACATCAGGCACTTATGGACCAAACAGTAATTTAATTTTTTTTTAGTCCGGGTCATTTTACTATTTTTACTGTTACATGTTTCTCTAAATATCCATGCACAAACAATAAAATATCACAAACTGAAGATACGGACATGCAAGGAGATGTAGAATCACTTGCAAAACTCATGAAAACTATACTTTATTAGCTCAGGCATAGAGTTACATAACTCTGCTGCACCTGCTCACTGACTAACTCTTATGAATAGGTATTTTGATGTCTTTCTGTCGTAATTCTACTACACTACAGTAACACACTACATATGGAAGGACTTCCTTCAATGTGTAGAGCCTTAGTTGTCCCCGGTTACGTAATTTTCGTGAACTCTTATTCAAGGTCAACTAATAAAGACGCATATTTCTCATTGGACCTATATTTGCTATACACACAAAGCACGTGAACAAATACTGTCCTAAATGACAGTGTTCAGCCATTGAATATTCGTCCATGCTCAATGCAGCTGCTGTGGGTACTTAGTGTCACTGCTGTGGGTACTCATTGATACCGGCGTGGGTACTCACTGCTATTGTTGATGGTACCCTATGTTTCTGATTCGTGCTTCGGCTATTGTTCTCGACTGATTCTGATATTGATTACCAATGACAGTGCTGTAGCTACATATTGCCACTGGTATGGGTACTCAGTGCTGAAACAGTGGGTACTGAGTGTTGAAGCCATGTGTACTGAGTGCTGAAGCTGTTGGTACTCACTGTTGAAGCTGTGGGTACTCAATGTTACTGCAGTCTGTTCTTGGTGTAACTGCTGTGGGTACTCAGCGCTGGAGCTGTTGGTAATCGATAACGTTGATGTGGGTACTCAGCCTTAGCAGTGGGTACTCAGTATCACTCTGTGAGTGCTTAGTGCTCAAACTGTGGTTGCTTAGTGTCACTGATGTTGGTACTCAGTGCTGAAGATGTGGGTACTCAATAACACTGCTGTTGGTACTAAATACCAGTATAATGCCACTATTCAATATAACTGCAAAGTGTATGTTTGTCAGTAATCAACCTTACTGTATTTATTACGAGGTGTAGGTCTATGCTCAGTGTTATTATTGTCACGGTCACCGTGAAGACCTTTATTTGGTGCTATCCAGGATAGTGGTCCACCACCTCACTTCCTGTTGTCTATTATGTTTTTTATGTTCTCCTAATATTTTACAATACTATTTCAAAGCTAAATTCGTTATATTGTACCCAGCAACATGATCACAACATTCCAGCATCGCTCTCTCTCCATATGCCAATGTCAATGAAACAGGTGAACTCTACTTCACCTACCACATGGACCGTAACGTTCTAAAGTGCACTTTTATATATAGGCGAAGACTATATTGTAAATCCTTTACTTATTTATAATCATACTTGAATGAATGACAGCTTGGCGATGAATCGTATTTCGTTATACCTGCTTGGCACTCAAGTTCCATTTATGTCTTATTGCCGGATGTCGCGAAAACACTACAAACCGTAATTAGCAGATAACTTCCAAAATTATTCTCATACTAGGCATACTGCCTAGCTTCGCTTAGGTTTTTAAATAACATTTGAGAATTTGAATACTTAATTATTTAGCGATGGATTTGGTGTTGAGTCAGTGGCGGAACTAGAAAAAAAAGGCTCCCCCGCAAAGAAAAAATTAGGGCCCCCTATATATATATATATATATATATATATATATATATATATATATATATATATATATATATATATATATATATATATATATATATATATATGCAAAAAATCTATATCCTAACTGAGGCAACCTTTTGAAGCGGAAGAGCCAAAAGTTACAATTTTCAATAGTTCCTTGGTTTTAAAGAGCCACTAACATTTTTTTTTATTTAAAATATTTTTTTTTATTAAGATTATTAGTATTTGTTCAAGGTGGTGGAGAGCCGCATCTTGATATCAAAAGAGCCGCATGCGGCTCGCGAGCCGCAGGTTGCCGACCCATGGTCTACTTCATTGCAATATATAACCATTTTGAGAGAACAAACCGGACAAATTTAGTCCTAACTCATCTTGGGCTAGAAATAATCCTGACCACTATAAAACATGCTGGTCAAAAATATATAAAGTCGTAAGCTTGATTCGTGAATGGTTTCTCGCGTTATGTTTATTTTTTCATTTTTGGCTTATATAATATCAATTTTGAAAACTTTGATTTTTATAGCTATATCATTGTTTAGTACGTCTTATTTAAATAACAATTCAGAGAATCAATTGCTTTTTAATATACATAGTACAAAACTATTTAAATGAGCTTCGTGGGCATACCTATTTTAAAGAAGGGCAGTAAGTCATGGAATTAGTGTGAATGTTTGCCTACCTGTCAAACTATAGCTTTTGTAGATTTTAAAATATTTTTCTACGCAACAATCTCTGCTATAGTAGACCTGTTTTTTTTTTTTTTTTTTTTTTTTTTTACAAAACCACTTTTAAGATGCATGAAAAACATAATTTTTGAAAAAAAAAATCATTGTTTTTTGGTCGGAACTGGGCCCCTAAACGTCCTGGGCCCCCCCGCATTGCGGGGTCTGGCGGTATGGTAGTTCCGCCCCTGTGTTGAGTGCTTTAATTTTGAACAGTAATGCTAACTTTAGAAAAAAAATGTTTTAGTTTGTCATTTAAATACCGTTCTCAGAGAAATATCGGAAAGTACGCAATGTATAAGTAAAATGGAATTAGAACTACACAGCTTCCATGAACAGTACATCTCATAGTTTTTATTACATTGCCTTTTGAAATTTATTTATTTATTTAATTGGGATACGTAACTAAATTAACAACTTAATTTTGTACTAAAACAAATGCTATACTTCGTCATTTTCTGTTTCTGTTTAAAATAGTATACAATTATTTGAAAAATAATAATTTAAAAAACGTTACCTCCCTTGAAAACTGAACGTATGACGTATGTCTTTGGTTTTTTTTTTACAAACAGTTGCTATGCTTATATAAGAAATTACGGTACATGAACATATTTAACAACTATAATGGCTGTTTCCGACGGGATTAAAGTTTTTTTTTGTTAGCCTCCAGGGTCGGTCTACGACGTCACATAATATTAAGGGGATCGTTCGTCAATTTATTTATATATATATATATCTCATATAAGGAGGATTTCACTCAAGATCATCTTTTAGCCCTCGTCGAGGGCTTTGAGTCTGACCAACAGTTTTTCCATACGGCCTAGTCATCTATAGTAGTGTATGCAAAAAATTAGCCAGATATACTGAGCTTAAGTACCCTAAAGTCTGCGTTGAAATGACCCTCTGTTTTTCCCATAAAATACAAAGATTATATAGGGAAATACAACTGGTCAGTTTTGACCGCTTTACAAAGTTTTCCCAGATATGCCGAGTTTTTTGTGACACCCCTAGGTGTTCTTCTACCACCTCACAAAATATCAAGGGGGGTCGTCGGAGGAAATTGTTTTTCGTAATAAAGCTCATATAAAGAGAATTTCACTCGCGGTCTCTTTTTAGCCCTCGTCGAGGGCTTTGAGTGTGACCGACAGTTTTCCCTAAAGGTCAAGCCATTGACCTAGGAGCATGCAAAGTATTAGCCAGATATACTGAGTTTAAGTACCCTAAAGTCTGCGTTGAAATGACCCTCTGTTTTTCCCATAAAATACAAAGATTATATAGGGAAATACAACTGGTCAGTTTTGACCCCTTTACGAAGTTTTCCCAGATATGCCGAGTTTTTTGTGACACCCCTAGGCGTTCTTCTACCACCTCACAAAATTTCAAGGGGGGTCGTCGGAGGAAATTTTTTTTCGTAATAGAGCTCATATAAAGAGAATTTCACTCGCGGTCACTTTTTAGCCCTCGTCGAGGGCTTTGAGTGTAACCGACAGTTTTCCCTAAAGGTCAAGCCATTGACCTAGGAGCATGCAAAAAATTAGCCAGATATACTGAGCTTAAGTATCCTAAAGTCTGCGTTGAAATGACCCTCTGTTTTTCCCATAAAATACAAAGATTATATAGGGAAATACAACTGGTCAGTTTTGACCCCTTTACGAAGTTTTCCCAGATATGCCGAGTTTTTTGTGACACCCCAAGGTGTTCACCTACCACCTCACAAAATTTCAAGGGGGGTCGTCGGAGGAATTTTTTTTTCGTAATAGAGCTCATATTAAGAGAATTTCACTCGCGGTCACTTTTTAGCCCTCGTCGAGGGCTTTGAGTCAAACCGACAGTTTTCCCTAAACGTCAAGCCATTCACCTAAGAGTATGCAAAAAATTAGTCAGATATACTGAGTTTAAGTACCCTAAAGTCTGCGTTGAAATGACCCTCTGTTTTTCCCATAAAATACAAAGATTATATAGGGAAATACAACTGGTCAGTTTTGACCCCTTTACGAAGTTTTCCCAGATATGCCGAGTTTTTTGTGACACCCCAAGGTGTTCTCCTACCACCTCACAAAATTTCAAGGGGGGTCGTCGGAGGAATTTTTTTTTCTTAATAGAGCTCATATAAAGAGAATTTCACTCGCGGTCACTTTTTAGCCCTCGCCGAGGGCTTTGAGTGTAACCGACAGTTTTCCCTAAAGGTCAAGCCATTGACCTAGGAGCATGCAAAAAATTAGTCAGATATACTGAGCTTAAGTACCCTAAAGTCTGCGTTGAAATGACCCTCAGTTTTTCCCATAAAAT